CCCAGCCCCACTCCACCCCTCCCACCCAGCCCCACTCCACCCCTCCCACCCAGCCCCACTCCACCCCTCCCACCCAGCCCCACTCCACCCCTCCCACCCAGCCCCACTCCACCCCTCCCACCCAGCCCCACTCCACCCCTCCCACCCAGCCCACTCCACCCCTCCCACCCAGCCCCACTCCACCCCTCCCACCCAGCCCCACTCCACCCCTCCCACCCAGCCCCACTCCACCCCTCCCACCCAGCCCCACTCCACCCCTCCCACCCAGCCCCACTCCACCCCTCCCACCCAGCCCCACTCCACCCCTCCCACCCCAGCCCCACTCCACCCCTCCCACCCAGCCCCACTCCACCCCTCCCACCCAGCCCCACTCCACCCCTCCCACCCAGCCCCACTCCACCCCTCCCACCCAGCCCCACTCCACCCCTCCCACCCAGCCCCACTCCACCCCTCCCACCCAGCCCCACTCCACCCCTCCCACCCAGCCCCACTCCACCCCTCCCACCCAGCCCCACTCCACCCCTCCCACCCAGCCCCACTCCACCCCTCCCACCCAGCCCCACTCCACCCCTCCCACCCAGCCCCACTCCACCCCTCCCACCCAGCCCCACTCCACCCCTCCCACCCAGCCCCACTCCACCCCTCCCACCCAGCCCCACTCCACCCCTCCCACCCAGCCCCACTCCACCCCTCCCACCCAGCCCCACTCCACCCCTCCCACCCAGCCCCACTCCACCCCTCCCACCCAGCCCCACTCCACCCCTCCCACCCAGCCCCACTCCACCCCTCCCACCCAGCCCCACTCCACCCCTCCCACCCAGCCCCACTCCACCCCTCCCACCCAGCCCCACTCCACCCCTCCCACCCAGCCCCACCCCACCCCTCCCACCCAGCCCCACTCCACCCCTCCCACCCAGCCCCACTCCACCCCTCCCACCCAGCCCCACCCCACCCCTCCCACCCAGCCCCACCCCACCCCTCCCACCCCACCCACTCCACCCACCACCACCACCCCTCCCACCCAGCCTCACCCCACCGACCCCTCCCACCCCTCCCACCCAGCCCAACCCCACCCACCCAGCCCAATCCCACCCACCCACCCCCACCCACCCCTCCCACCCCTCCCACCCAGCCCCACCCCACCGACCTCTCCCACCCCTCCCACCCTTCCCAGCCCAGCCCCTCCCCACCCAGCCTCTCCCTCCCCACCCTCCCCTCTCCACTCAGCCCCACCCCTCCCATTTTTGGATGCACGACGGACGGATGGACACAATCATCCCCTGTGGGCTGGTGTGACCAGTAAAAGAGTGGTGTAAATGAAGTCCAGAATGTGAAACGCTCAAGCGCTGTTTGTTTATCTACTAAAACAAGGGCGTGCAGAGGACTGGACCCAGGAGTAGATGAATCCACGGGTGTAGTGAGTACTAAGTGCAGTGCCCGCAAAAGATGTGATTTGTAGACAAGCTTAGAGCAAATGGTCATTTGTGCAGCAAGAAAACACACCTTTGAAAACAAGTTTGTGATTGTTTACACAGTAAACATTTATTATATAACATATATTTCAGTGCCAATAATGTGAAGTCGCTTTATGTATCCCTGCAAAAAACCAAATGAACACTTTACGATCTAGTAAGGCATTATTGAGGATCACCAGAGAGAGGGGAGTAACAGGTAAGATGGAAAAAACAGCAACATTTTATTCTTCTGTGCAAGCATCATGCAGTGGCATTATTTTCTACATGAACAATGATCGCATAAAGGTCTGATGATCCAGAATGAAAATCAAGAGCACACGACATTCCCATTGTCCTGCTCTCTCAAGGCCTGGCCTTCTATCCCTTGCAGTTTCTGAATTACTTGAAAATCAAATAAGGGGAGTTTATTACTGTATTCTCCAGATTCTAAACACCCTATGGAAAGAGTGTTTTATAAATGGGAGGAAATCATATTACCCAGACGAAACCATACAGACAAGGGTATAACACTCAAAAGGTCTTCACAGATAGGTTTATAAATCCACTAGCAGTACTACTATACTTCTGGCCACCCTACAGCCAGCGGGTTTGGGTGGTTCACAAACAAGTGATCCGGGACCCCTCACCTCCAAAGTGTTGCATCATTTACGTCGCTTTTTTACACAGCACCAGCAGCTGATCGGGATGCACGTGGATTGCGCAACCGGAGTGACCGTATAGGCCAGCGGTGGGCAACCTGCGACCCGTGAAGCCTCTCGTGGTGGCCTGGTCTCAGTGTCTCGGGTGATGCGCGTGGTCATAATTAGTGCACAAGTATGATGTCAAGCTTGTGGCCCACTGAGGTGAAGGAGGGCTTCTCATGTGGCCACGTGGCTCACTAACTTCATCTGGGTTGCCCATCACTGGCCAATTACGAAGCACGTTGTACGGCTACGAGGCACACCGGCGCTACCTTAGTGGTACAGGGTGCAGCTTGTGTCCTGTCTTGCACACAAGCTGCTCGGCGTGGATGCGCAGCAAACGTGGGCTGTCCTCAAACTCATCCACCACATCCTGAGAAGGAAAACGAGCTATTGTTAGGGCTTTTAAATCTCCACAAGCAGTACGATTATTCCACTTTGGACAAATTCTGAAGTTTTTGGCGATTCACCTTGCAGATAACAATTCTGGATTATTATATATTTTTTATAATGGTAAAGTTTTATATTTTTCAATGGGTAATAGAGCAACTGCAGCACCAGTTTGCTGCCTCAAGAGCCCGCTGGAATCTTACGCTTAATTTCCATAAACCAGTGGAAGGCAACACAAACATGCTCAGAGCCCCATGCTCCGTGTGTCTCACACCATGGGTGCTTTGACTTTGAGGATCATGTTCCCAAGTGATTCTTAAAACGGCTATAATCACTAGCCCAATGTCCCACAAGTGTTTATTATTTGTCATTAAAATGGTTTTCAATTCAACGTAACTTTCAAGGTTGAAAGGAGTTGATTGCATAAGATGGTTTAAGCCAAAAAAAGAAATGACGATGGACCCCTGTGTTTGATTGTACTCAACATGACTTGGGATATGCAAACTCGCTGTGAGTGGTCCATGGGAAATCACAGCAGGGCCTTGAAGGAAAGCTGACCTGTAACTGGTTTATAAGGTCCTGGTTGAAACGGTCTGACAAATCTCCAACACACCACGCCAGACTCATGTGGAACGACGTGTCCTATAGCACATAACATCAACACACACGCATAAAATGAACACACACATTACACAAATGAAAAAAAGTCTATTACTCTATACACATGCACAACTTGCCATTACAGTGTATGCTAAAAAAACGTCTAAATGATGATGTTTTACACTCAATGCAATTTCAAATCATCCTTGCGAAACGGTAGTTGTCAGGCACCTTGAAAAATGTCTGCAGCTGGAACTCTTGCATTGCTCCATCGATCTCTGTCACCAACCCCAGCAAGTCCTGCTGCCCTCGCGTTGCCTCTAGCCCCAAGAAAGTCCTGCACAGGGACCACCGAGGAGTCACTCTGCACGTCGTGACTTGGTACGCTGAGACAATTCAAGTCCAACAGATCAGTACGATATACACATTTTTAAAAAGTTAAACTTCCTATTCTTGAAATATGGTACACTTCTAAGAGGATGTCCGAAAACGGAGATGGGAGCATTAATATCAGCTGTTGTGCAAGTGCTCGTTGGATTATTACATTGCAGGATCATGAGAAGTGGAAAGGGTTTGGGGAGGTTTTCAGCCAGCAGTGAACTCACCATGGGTGATGATGACGATGCTTATGGAAATAAACGCTGTAGTACTTGCAAGCTTACAGAATAATTGCACTGCAGCCAGTAGGCTACTCTTTGGTTCTTTCGGTAAAGTCACGTAGGTAGAAAAATTAAATACAAAATAATATATCACGATGTTTCAATCGCAACACAAGCGGTCGTCCTCAGGCGGAAAAAATAATAATCCAACAGTTCCACAGCTGGATTTTTTTTTTTTTACCTATGTGACTTTACAGAAAGAACCAAAGAGTATGGATTCCTGCAGTCACGAAAGTTTCAAATCAAGCCATTTGGATGGTTGTACTGATTAATGTTGGTACGTACACTCAGTCAAGTTTATAAATGTGCACACATTTTCATGAAATTTGTATATTTTGGAAACTGGCAAGCAATAGAAATACCATCCAACAATACAGCAAATTACTTTTTTAAGTTCAACAAATTATAACGATATATAACTATACATCATTCTTATTTTATTTTATTTCCACTACTGTTTCTTGCACTGACAATATTAGAGGTTAACTAAAATAATAGCGGACGTTTATTTTTTTGTCACAGAGGAAATGAAGGTAGACATTACAGCCAACTGGCCTTCAGGAAAATTGTTATGAATTAATTTTAACCTCTTATTCTACGCTAGTTTCTGAAGCAGAAACTTACCAATTATATTATCAACAGATAACACATAAGTTTTGCACAAATATGAACCGACTGCACCGTTAGTTTCCCAGAACGGTGTCCGTGTGTCACAGGGTGTCTGCGCTGCTCACCTGGTTCTCTCCTGGTTCGTATATACCTTCACCTTGTTGGTGAAGCAGTTAAATCTACAGAATCAAGCAGCATTCACTTAGCATGCCAATCTGCATCAAGGGGCATTTCTTTTCCAATGGCAGTTGCAAAACTATTACATTTAACAGGTCTTTCCAAGTCACCAAACCTCTAGCAGTGTGATATTTGCAACTCGCTCAATCACAATGGATCTGAATGAGAACAAAAAGTGATTCCCTATTCATATGAGCATGGAGGCAGTGCTCACCTCCTGTTTACAGCTCAGCCAGTGGTGGAAATTCCACATTGCTATGGCAGCAGCGAGTCTACCGATAGGACAACCATTGTTGAAGTGGTATTCATTTTATCGACCCTAGAGGAATGATGGGAGAGTCAACCCCCCAACCAGGATTTGAACTCACAACCTTCTGATCACAAGCTGCTTGCTCTACCCCTGAGCCAAAAAGGCTGAGTCTGGACTAGTTCAGGATTTTATGATGTGCTCCGATGGGTTTGAAACCAGTACTCGGGAGACTTAGATTAGCATGGGGTGCCCCACTAAATAATGTAAGTGTAAATAATATTAGACAATGGGCTATGGCGAAAGGAGGTGAAATATAGCAGCTCGGATAATTACAGGGTCGGGTACACGGAGTTATCTCACCAACTGCTTATTAGGCAACCATGGGATGGATGTTACAGTTCTTATGCAGCCTCTGGTTAGGTAAGTTACAATGTAGCCCAACATCTAATTGCAAAATGAGGGACTATTAGCAGTACAACTCATCTTAAATTGTGGATTTCGGCTCACCGGTGGTAGGAGCCAAGGCGCTCTCTCAACGTTTGCAAGAAGAGGTTGATCCAGTGGTAGCGCAGAACCACCGTCTGCGAGAGGCTGATGTGGAAGTCTTCCTGTTTACTCATGCGCAGTCCAACATCGCAAAGCCGCCTCAACACCAGGTCCACCAGCTCATCAAAGTCGGAATCCCCTGAATCTGCAATTGATCCATGGGATGTGTATTACCGTTTTTGCTTCAGTGAACAAAAAATGCAAAATGCAGAATAAACACAATAGTGATGCAGTATTTACTAAACGAGTAACACAAATTACATTTGTTTTTCCTAGACAAGCGTTCTGCATGGTAAGAATAGTGGATAGCTCAGATGAAATGCATCACACTCAGAAATCTATACAGATAGCTTAGCAACCCATTTGCTGTGCTGCTATGGTCACCTCATAATCCCTGCAGGCAAGAAATACTGGTACATGATGAAATCTGCATTTGACTCCTCGAGATGCATGTAACAAAATTCTGATTGTTTTAACCGAGTATAAGTACTTCAGTTTTTTTAATCACGTGCAATAACTCTTCACAAAGTAAGGGTGTAGGGGGCTCCTTTAGAACCTGCACTTTCGATTAGCACGGTTGGCTACATACGGTACGAAAGAAGTTCAACAACATACAGTATATACATATCCTGGCCAGTGCCATAGCGCGGCATGATCGCCACTTGTTGCAGTGGTTCACGCTTCCACATGAGCGGCCGCCCTGTTTGTTAGTGCCGGTTTACGAACCAAACGTGTCGCGCCGTCTGCTTCACAGTGGACGTTAGAGATCCCCTGACGTCATACGAAAGAGGTCAAAATGTGCCGGTGTATAGGGTCCAAATTGGCCAAGTAAAAAAATTATCTGCACAGTACCGAAAATAAAGTAAAGCCAACTGAGCTATGAACTCCTTTTCAGGGGTGACCTGGCCACACACATTACCTAATCGACGTGGATTATATCATCACGTGAGAATTTATAGTAGCAGCCAAATAATCCAAACACATGTCGTTTCGAAATGCGGAGGGCAAAACCGGAGGACCCGGAGAAAAATCCACGCTACCACGGGGAGAGGTAGCATGCAAACTCCAAATATACAGGAGTCGGGATTGAACCCACAACCTTCTGCTTACCAGGCGAATGAAATAACATCTCGCCACAATCATCACCCTTAACTTGTAGAATAATACTCAAGGTCACGTTTTCAAACGAGACTAACGTGGTATCTTGAGTTCTTACCTTGTTAAATTAAATAAACTTGAATCCTACTCTTGTAACTTAAAGCTATGGAACACATCGGTAACTTTCCAAGCCACAACACAAGGTGGTTGAGTGACTCGTGCCATCAACTCTGCTTAATCTGGATAAACGACCACTACTATTGCGCTATCTAGGTCATAAACGTCTAGATGCAATTATTAATCATGAGAAATATAGAGAACCCCCGCAACATTAGTTTGCACACGTGGCAGGCACACACATGAATAAAACAAAATAAAGGCATGCAAACATTGGTCCGCACAAATGGTAAGCAACGAATGAGTGATGAGCTGCACAATAGACCTAGTGCACCTTAACTGACGTGCCTCACCAGGGCAAAAGAGACATACATGGCAGGTAGACGTAAGTCGCCCAGTTGCCTCTCTCATGGGCGAAGGAGCGGAGGCGTCCACCATGCTGGCTTCCATCTTCTGCATCGTCGGGTTTCTCATCCTCGTCAGCAAACATGCTGCGTACACTCTCGGGCAGGGGAAGTCGTCCTCCAGCGGGGTGGCGTCTTCCTCGAATACGAACCAAAGTGGAAATCGAACAGGTTTGTCACGAATCAACAACGTCTGTTCAGGAAACATTCTTAGCATGCTGGATATATATAAGGTCATCAATGAGTATGCATCGAAATTAATATCAATAGTGCACATGCAAATGCGTATTTAGATATTACTCAGAACTGATTCAAATAACTGTTAGTGGAACAAGGGCTGTTTTTTTGTGATTTAACTTACAGCTGCATGGTACAATGCATACATTGAAATACCGCTCAAAATAAGTGTCATGCACAACAAATTATCACTCATCTGAGACTATCTTCCTTGATGCCGCAGATAATTCACGGAAAGAATATTTGTGGCTCATGTATTCCCAACGTTACTTTAACATCCACACTGAAGTCACATTCCTTGGCAACCGAATAATCCCAGCTGACTCCATGTGCCAAATTCAGACGTACGTTTTTGTGTGCAGATAATTATAGATGCATTTTTATTTATATTCTAATTCCCTAAATTTTGATTTAAAGCTTTCGTGGAGTGATTCATATTCTTGGTTCTTTCGGTAAAGTCACGTTGAAGGGAAACAATAAACTAATAAAAAATATATAAAACAATAAAATTCTCACGACGTTTCGACTGTAACACAATTGATTGTTCACGCGTACGGTGGCTTTCAGACAGCACATTAATTTTTCGTCTCCCCCCTCCTCTTTTCCGAACATAGATGGACTCGTCCATCTAAACAAACTGTGCAAATCGCTCTCCGTGGTGCTAACGCTTAAAAATAAATAAATGCCGTAACTTCTTTTTAATGTTCTTGCCGTTGGTTTTCACACCTGATGATGACTGCTTGTGTTGCAGTCGAAACGTCGTGAGAATTTCATTGTTTTATATTTTTATTATTTTTATTGTTTCCCTTCAACGTGATTCTAATTCCCTGTTAATGTATTATGTATGACGTCATGACTCAGCAATGTTTACCACTACTGTACAATGAAGTTGGTTTTAGGAAATTGAACAAAATATTTGTTGATAGTGCGATGGCAAATAACAAAATACTCAACACGTGCGTCAATAACGTCGCCTTAAAGGAACAATTGGCGACGTTTGGCCCTTATTCACGCCACATATAAAGGGCCATTGCCCATAACGTCGCTTAAGACGTATATACATCATCTTTGTATAATTTCCTTCTAAGCTAGTGTCATTGAATGTTGGATTTTTAAAATTTTCATGAAAGCTGACATTTTGACCCCACTGTACAGCCCTCAGTACCCACAACTGTCAAAAGGTAAACTTCCTCGGCTATGCATCTTGCATATGAGTGATATCTCTGCTGTAGATGTCTCCACTACAGATGAGTGATGTCTCTGCTGTAGATGTCTCTGCTGTAGATGTCTCTGCTGTAGATGTCTCTGCTGTAGATGTCTCTGCTGTAAATGTCTCTGCTGTAGATGTCTCTGCTGTAAATGAGTGATGTCTCTGCTGTAGATGTCTCCACTACAGATGAGTGATGTCTCTGCTGTAGATGTCTCTGCTGTAGATATCTCTGCTGTAAATGAGTGATGTCTCTGCTGTAGATGTCTCCACTACAGATGAGTGATGTCTCTGCTGTAGATGTCTCCACTACAGATGAGTGATGTCTCTGCTGTAGATGTCTCCACTACAGATGAGCAATGTCTCTGCTGTAGATGTCTCCACTACAGATGAGCGAGGTCTCTGCTGTAGATGTCTCCACTACAGATGAGCGATGTCTCTGCTGTAGATGTCTCCACTACAGATGAGCGAGGTCTCTGCTGTAGATGTCTCCACTACAGATGAGCGATGTCTCTGCTGTAGATGTCTCCACTACAGATGAGTGATGTCTCTGCTGTAGATGTCTCCACTACAGATGAGTGATGTCTCTGCTGTAGATGTCTCCACTACAGATGAGTGATGTCTCTGCTGTAGATGTCTCCACTACAGATGAGTGATGTCTCTGCTGTAGATGTCTCCACTACAGATGAGTGATGTCTCTGCTGTAGATGTCTCCACTACAGATGAGCGATGTCTCTGCTGTCGATGAGTGATCTCTGCTGTTGCATCATCATCATCGTCGTGGTCGTGATGATAACGATGATATAATCTGTGCGCCCGGGCGGTGCCTCACCCCTGTAGTTCTCGGGCCGTGCCGGCACGACGAGCAAGGCGTTCAAGAGGACGGGCAGCTTGAGGAGGGTTCATCCCCACGTCCCGGCGCGCCTCGACCGGCCCGGGCCGCCCGCTGTACACGAGCCCCGCCTGATCCTCCGCCTCATCCTCATCCGAGCTGCTGCTGCTGCTGTAGCTCACCAGGCCCGGCAGCATGGTGCTCGCACGGCTCCGCCTCGCCTCCTGCCTCGCCTCCCGCCTCGCCGCGCATTCGCCCCGCGGGGGGTCGCGGTCGAGAGGTCACGGGGCCCTTTGGGGGCCTTGCGCCACGCGAGCTGCCCGTCTCACTGGGGGGGGGGGGCGTCGCCCTGTTGCCAGGTTCCCGAGGATTCACCTCCAACATCGAGGGGGGCGTCGCTGTTGCCAGGTTCCCGAGGATTTACCTCCAACATCGAGGGGAGGGCGTGGCCCGGTTGCCACGCTCCCGAGGATTTACCTCCATCATCGAGGGGGGTGGGGGCGTCGCTGTTGCCAGATTCCCGAGGATTTACCTCTAATATCGTAGGGGAGGGCGTCGCTGTTGCCAGGTTCCCGAGGATTTACCTCTAACATCGAAGGGGGGCGTGGCCCTGTTGCCACGCTCCCGAAGATTTACCTCCAACATCGAGAGGGGCGTGGCCCTGTTGCTAGGCTCCAGAGGATTTACCTCCAACATCGCGTGAGAGGTTCCATCACAGCTGTCAAACCCTATACGATTTAAAGCTTTCGTGACTGCAGTAATTCATATTCTTAGTTTTTTCGGTAAAGTCACGTTGAAGGGAAACAACAAAATATATTTTATTATTTTGTTGTTTCCCTTCAACGCGACTTTACCGTATGGGGTTTATATTCTTAGTTTTTTCGGTAAAGTCACGTTGAAGGGAAACAACAAAATAATAAAATAATAAAATATATTTTGCTGTTTCCCTTCAACGTGACTTTACCGAAAAAACTAAGAATATAAGAATATAAACCCCATACGGTTTAAACCCCGTATTAGTGTTGCAGGGAAATTGAGTTTTCACCGTACATGCGGCGTACAGCCGTATCAATACGGGTAAATAAACAAAAACAACGTGTCTATTTGTTCGTCTTTCTCAGGGGCCGTCCATAAATGACGTAACGCTCCTAGGGGTGGGGTCAGACATTTGTGATGATGTGTGACGATGGGGGGGGGGGGGGGTGTATGCTCACATGTCACTAGGATTACACTCTCATGCTCACATGTCCTTTGGATTACACTCTCATACTCACGTCACTAGGATTACACTCTCATGCTAACATGTCACTAGGATTACACTCTCATGCTCACATGTCACTAGGATTACACTCTCATACTCACATGTCACTAGGATTACACTCTCATACTCACATGTCACTAGGATTACACTCTCATACTCACATGTCACTAGGATTACACTCTCATACTCACGTGTCACTAGGATTACACTCTCATACTCACATGTCACTAGGATTACACTCTCATACTCACATGTCACTAGGATTACACTCTCATACTCACGTGTCACTAGGATTACACTCTCATACTCACATATCACTAGGATTACACTCTCATACTCACGTGTCACTAGGATTACACTCTCATACTCACGTCACTAGGATTACACTCTCATACTCACATGTCACTAGGATTACACTCTCATGCTCACATGTCCTTTGGATTACACTCTCATACTCACGTGTCACTAGGATTACACTCTCATGCTCACATGTCACTAGGATTACACTCTCATGCTCACATGTCACTAGGATTACACTCTCATACTCACATGTCCTTTGCATTACACTCTCATGCTTACATGTCACTAGGATTACACTCTCATGCTCACATGTCCTTTGGATTACACTCTCATACTCACGTCACTAGGATTACACTCTCATACTCACGTGTCACTAGGATTACACTCTCATGCTCACATGTCCTTTGGATTACACTCTCATACTCACGTCACTAGGATTACACTCTCATGCTAACATGTCACTAGGATTACACTCTCATGCTCACATGTCACTAAGATTACACTCTCATACTCACATGTCACTAGGATTACACTCTCATACTCACATGTCACTAGGATTACACTCTCATACTCACATGTCACTAGGATTACACTCTCATACTCACGTGTCACTAGGATTACACTCTCATACTCACATGTCACTAGGATTACACTCTCATACTCACATGTCACTAGGATTACACTCTCATACTCACGTGTCACTAGGATTACACTCTCATACTCACATATCACTAGGATTACACTCTCATACTCACGTGTCACTAGGATTACACTCTCATACTCACGTCACTAGGATTACACTCTCATACTCACATGTCACTAGGATTACACTCTCATGCTCACATGTCCTTTGGATTACACTCTCATACTCACATGTCACTAGGATTACACTCTCATGCTCACATGTCCTTTGGATTACACTCTCATACTCACGTGTCACTAGGATTACACTCTCATGCTCACATGTCACTAGGATTACACTCTCATACTCACGTGTCACTAGGATTACACTCTCATGCTCACATGTCCTTTGGATTACACTCTCATACTCACGTCACTAGGATTACACTCTCATGCTAACATGTCACTAGGATTACACTCTCATGCTCACATGTCACTAGGATTACACTCTCATACTCACATGTCACTAGGATTACACTCTCATACTCACATGTCACTAGGATTACACTCTCATACTCACATGTCACTAGGATTACACTCTCATACTCACGTGTCACTAGGATTACACTCTCATACTCACATGTCACTAGGATTACACTCTCATACTCACATGTCACTAGGATTACACTCTCATACTCACGTGTCACTAGGATTACACTCTCATACTCACATATCACTAGGATTACACTCTCATACTCACGTGTCACTAGGATTACACTCTCATACTCACGTCACTAGGATTACACTCTCATACTCACATGTCACTAGGATTACACTCTCATGCTCACATGTCCTTTGGATTACACTCTCATACTCACATGTCACTAGGATTACACTCTCATACTCACATGTCCTTTGGATTACACTCTCATGCTCACATGTCACTAGGATTACACTCTCATACTCACATGTCCTTTGGATTACACTCTCATGCTCACATGTCACTAGGATTACACTCTCATACTCACGTGTCACTAGGATTACACTCTCATACTCACATGTCCTTTGGATTACACTCTCATACTCACATGTCACTAGGATTACACTCTCATACTCACATGTCACTAGGATTACACTCTCATACTCACGTGTCACTAGGATTACACTCTCATACTCACATGTCACTAGGATTACACTTCTCATGCTCACATGTCACTAGGATTACACTTCTCATGCTCACATGTCACTAGGATTACACTCTCATACTCACGTGTCACTAGGATTACACTCTCATACTCACATGTCACTAGGATTACACTCTCATACTCACGTGTCACTAGGATTACACTCTCATACTCACGTCACTAGGATTACACTCTCATACTCACATGTCCTTTGGATTACACTCTCATGCTCACATGTCACTAGGATTACACTCTCATACTCACGTGTCACTAGGATTACACTCTCATGCTCACATGTCCTTTGGATTACACTCTCATACTCACGTCACTAGGATTACACTCTCATGCTAACATGTCACTAGGATTACACTCTCATGCTCACATGTCACTAGGATTACACTCTCATACTCACATGTCACTAGGATTACACTCTCATACTCACATGTCACTAGGATTACACTCTCATACTCACATGTCACTAGGATTACACTCTCATACTCACGTGTCACTAGGATTACACTCTCATACTCACATGTCACTAGGATTACACTCTCATACTCACATGTCACTAGGATTACACTCTCATACTCACGTGTCACTAGGATTACACTCTCATACTCACATATCACTAGGATTACACTCTCATACTCACGTGTCACTAGGATTACACTCTCATACTCACGTCACTAGGATTACACTCTCATACTCACATGTCACTAGGATTACACTCTCATGCTCACATGTCCTTTGGATTACACTCTCATACTCACATGTCACTAGGATTACACTCTCATGCTCACATGTCCTTTGGATTACACTCTCATACTCACATGTCACTAGGATTACACTCTCATACTCACATGTCCTTTGGATTACACTCTCATGCTCACATGTCACTAGGATTACACTCTCATACTCACATGTCCTTTGGATTACACTCTCATGCTCACATGTCACTAGGATTACACTCTCATACTCACGTGTCACTAGGATTACACTCTCATACTCACATGTCCTTTGGATTACACTCTCATACTCACATGTCACTAGGATTACACTCTCATACTCACATGTCACTAGGATTACACTCTCATACTCACGTGTCACTAGGATTACACTCTCATACTCACATGTCACTAGGATTACACTTCTCATGCTCACATGTCACTAGGATTACACTTCTCATGCTCACATGTCACTAGGATTACACTCTCATACTCACGTGTCACTAGGATTACACTCTCATACTCACATGTCACTAGGATTACACTCTCATACTCACGTGTCACTAGGATTACACTCTCATACTCACGTCACTAGGATTACACTCTCATACTCACATGTCCTTTGGATTACACTCTCATGCTCACATGTCACTAGGATTACACTCTCATACTCACGTGTCACTAGGATTACACTCTCATGCTCACATGTCACTAGGATTACACTCTCATACTCACATGTCCTTTGCATTACACTCTCATGCTCACATGTCACTAGGATTACACTCTCATACTCACGTGTCACTAGGATTACACTCTCATGCTCACATGTCACTAGGATTACACTCTCATACTCACATGTCCTTTGCATTACACTCTCATGCTTACATGTCACTAGGATTACACTCTCATACTCACATATCCTTTGGATTACACTCTTTGGGTTGCACTATCACGCCTTTGGATTGCACCACTCTTCGATTTCACATTAACATGCTAATTTCTCACATTAACATCACGCTAATTTCTCACATTAACATCCTGCTAATTTCTCACATCAACATAACTAGCCCCGCCCACTTCTGTATGACCCTTGGGCTACACCCATTTCAAACCTTTTAAAACAGTCTGCATCAGCAGCAGACCAAAACTTTCCCACCTGATGACGGACGCTTGTGTTGCGCCCGAAACCTGATAATTTTATTGTTTTATATTTTTATTATTTTATTATTTCCCTTCTACGTGGTGACTTTACCGAAAGAACCAAGAATATTAATCCCTGCAGTCACGAAATCTTTAAATCAAGGTTTGAAGCATGTTTTATATATTTTTTTGGGGGGGGCGAAGCTTTGTGACGTCAAATTTGAGGGGGGGGGGGGTCTGACTTTTTGTGACGTCTTGTGACGAAGGAGGGGGGGGTCAAAAATCGTCCAAACTCGCGTGACGTCATTTATGGACGGCCCCTGAGACTGTAGTGTTTGATGCGTACAGGCAGCGGGAGGGGGGCAGTTCGCGCATGCGCGCTGGGTCCCGCGGGCGTCTCGTTGCCATGAGAACGCGGCCTGCGCTCCGGCTCGGCGGGGCCGCGGGAACCGAGAAGTAATCCCGCGACGAGGTAACGGAATAACGGAGTAACGAGGTGACGTAGTAACGGGGTAACGAGGTAACGGAGTGACGGGGTAACGAGCCAGAGCAGTGAGGAGAACCCGGGCTCCTGGAGCCTTCCCTGTTTGTCCGTCAGTCGATGGGGCGTCAATATCGCCTCCCCCCGCCGCCCGCCCGGTGTGACGAGCCTACGCGGACTCTGATTGCGAGCGGTTTGAGGCGATTCACGTGTGGGGATGTTCCACTCGTTCGAAGGCGCCACACGGTGATTCACTTGCCTTGTTCAGATAAAGAAGTGGGTGCTTATCAAAGGCTTCGGCGACTTAAGTGGTACTGGGATATCTGTCTGCGTGAAGGCTGTGTGGGCTTGCGTACTTGTGTGTTGTGAGATTGAATGCTTTATTGTGAGATTGTATTTTGTGTGGTTGTGTGCGTGTTGTGTGTGTGTTGTGGTTGTGTCTGTGTGTTGTGGTTGTGTCTGTGTGGTTGTGTGCGTGTTGTGTGGTTGTGCGTGTTGTGCAGTTGTGGTGGTTGTGTGTTGTGTGCGTGTTGTGTGGTTGTGCATGTTGTGTGTGTTGTGTGGTTGTGGGTCTTGTGTGTGTGTTGTGTTATTGTGTGGTTGTGTGTGGGGAGCGGTAGTGTAGCGGTTAGTGCGCTCCGACACTAATCCAACGACCCGATTTCGATTCCCACTCACGGCCAACACCGGTGACGATTATCTGAACCGGTCCTGGGCCTCCCCCTAGGTCGACTCAGCCTCAAATGAGTACCTGGTGCGGTGTGTAAACATCGCCACTTAGGAGACAAAGGCGGCCGGGCGTGGTCCTGGACATCCACCACCTCGTGTGCCGTGCCAACCTTAATAGTGTAGGTCAGTGGTTCTTCACCTTTACTGCAGCCTTTGGTTCTCAAGCGTTTAAAATGTATACCTTTAATAAAGGCGTAGGTTTGAGGAAACAAAGCAGTTGTACTTACGTGCCCATGCTTAATTTGTGTTTTCGATCATGAACCTTGAAAAAAAATGTGGCCATGACTCGCACCCCCAGAAATGGCATCCCGCACCCCCAGGGACGGATTAAGATTTTGTAGGCCCTTGGGCTACAGGTACTGTGAGGCCCCCAGTAATATTTTCAAAAGGAAAACAAAGTTAAAGAAAAATAAAATTTATTTTTTACAAGGCTAACAACAAATTAAATTCAGCATTCACAAATGAAATAACTTTTCACTTAATCTGGGCTTGCAGCCCCTAAAGCCCCATGCCTGAATCCGGCCCTGGGTGGTGCACCCTAGGTTAAGAAGAAGAACCACATTGCTCTAGGTCAGGGGTGGGGAACCTTGTTTCTGCCAAGGGCCATTTGGATATTTATAACATCATTCGCGGGCCATGCAAAATTATCAACTTAAAAATTAGCCTGTTATATTTGGTCAAACACGTAATTAATTCACCCCTAATGTGATGGCTGGAACTGCTTCTCATTGGTGAAGTGTGTGATGATGTTCGCTGGTATTGACGATGTTGCTGCTGCTCGCAACTGCTTTTCCAGGTTTGCTCCTAGATTTATTGAATTTCGAGTCCCGCCTGCGGTTGCCTTGGCAGGGCCAGACCAAATGATTTTGCGGGCCTCGGTGCTCGCTAACAGGACTTGCTCCCCCAACAGTCTGTTAAATACTACATGGGGGACCGTTGTTGCGTTTCGCTCTGTGTGGTCACTGTCTGTGCAGGAGCCGTTCTCAAGCCGACGAGCCGAGGCTACGTTAGGAAGAGAGCATAGAGGGCCCCAGGGTGACTTATATGTGAGGAATATGTCCAAGTGACACGAATTACATTTGATGCGTGTTTGTGTAGTCGTGGTGATCAAGGAGCTCAGACCCCGCTACAATTGAGAACCCAGTTTAGTCATGAGTGACCAGCACAATTTAAACGGAGGATGTCAGCGGTGGCAGCTTAGCACTCTGATTTACAATTGTCCGAGCCGGCTAGACCCCCCCCCTACCTTATGAAAAAAAAATATTTAAAGACTTTACCCTATGTCAGTAAAGTGTGGATGGAATATACGAAGAGTTGCGTTGGCTACCAAATTAAACGGGTGTGTAACTTTTGCTTAAATGTGCTGTTACGAGGCAGGTGTGGGATTTGATCGTTGTACAAAAAGTGAAAAAATAAAAGTCCATACTTGTCAACCCCTTATCAGTGCCTACCTTATTACAGACCAATTCAGACCTTATTGGTCACCCCGTGCGCTTATAAATCTCAACGTTCATCCTACAAAGTCCCATCACAAGGGAGAAACACAAACAAATCGACAAAAAATATTTTACTAAACAATTATTTCCCATATTGAAACGGCTGTACACCATATGGGCCTGAAAACTCACTGTCCCAGTGCAAGAATACGGGTAAACCGTATGGGTTGACAGGTATGAAAGTTACAGCGCCTACACCAACTAATGCAATAGAACGATTCACCCCTAACGGCACACAGCCTACCACACGAGCCATCGGACTCTATCTCTATAGTCTCTCCCCCTAAATAGAACTCCACCTTCTGCCACTTAAACACAACACGAACTATGTGTATGCACTCCCAGTGGGTGCATATAAGGGCGTCCAACATTACTTCAAAGCTTTTATGAGGATATGTTTATTTAGCAGGAAGCATGATTTAAAATACACTGCTATATTGTTCGATGAGGTTGTTCTTGGGATATGACATGTATTCTGCGTTAAGAATGCCATACGTGTAGACTGAGGAGTGTCCCATTGGATATTGTGGACACGGTGCTTCCCTTGACCCGCTTACATGTTATTTCTCCACCGTATCGTTGCACTGAGTTATCTGTGCAGCTCCATTACTAACCATCAGCTTCAGCACTAACCTACAGGCACGCTGTTGTCCTTTCACCTGTATTCTCGAAGTGAGAAGCCCCGTTACTCCAGCAACGTCGTGAAGTGGTGCATTGTGGGGGTCGCTGTGTTTTCGTCCGTGGTGCTCAGTGTGTAAGGGATGCCGAATGGCAGAACACCGATTTGTAACTGAGAGCCGGGATTTGAGAGGTGAACCGGACAATTTCTACATACAGAAACAGATTTCAACTGCCAGATTGACGTGGACTGATTTTGCTTTGTAGATGAATAGATTATCACCTAATCGTACGGTGTGATGGCCTGTTCTTTAACCAGGCTTCCAGCTGCTTCTCTGATTATGACGCGATGGATACGCTTCCTACGTAGAGCCATCAGCACCACGTTTAATTTTACAGGCCCACGATTTGTTTTTGTCAACTTAAGTTGAATGTGAAAGGTAATGCTGACACAACATGTTTTACATTTACCTGGGGGAAAATCAAACTTGCAATGTTAACATGGCTGAAGTTTAAACCTGCATGTAGAAGGTATTTTACTTAAAAATGCACCCCCTCCCCCCAAAAAGTGCTTCACATTATTTTAAGTGTAACTGGCCACTGTAGCACAGTATATTGAATCAGTTTCTATAAATAATAATATTGATGTTTCAGCTCTTAAACCCAGGCTACCGGATAGATGTACCTCTGATTTTTTTTTAAATCCTTAACACTCCATGCATTCCACACTGTGTCCCCCACCACGCAGAGTACTGTATAACATAGCTTAGTCAGGATTGAGGGCTCTCATTTTGTGAATGAGCAGAATTCAATGGAAGAACAAAACAACTAAGAAGGTAAGAATAGCATGAGCGTGGTTAAGTCACGTAGAAGGGAAACAATAAAATAATAAAAATTTAAAACGATAAAATTCTCATGTGTATGCATGCGAGGAATATCATGTGACGATAGGCATAACACAGCAAGAACTTATTGCAATACAATGCAATTCAAATTGATCAAATATCACATTCAGAAGATTATGATCGATGGCTTAGCATTTGCTGTGGTGCATTTGCCTTTCTAGTTACTGCATTTGAACAAAGTTGAATAATGTAACGAGCGGAATTGTGCCCCCTAGCAGGTGCCATGCCTCGCCGTTTGGGCTTCACAGTGGTTGACGCATCAGGCCACGAGGAGGGCTACAGTGCTGTTGAGCTCACGTCGCACGGACCCACAGTGCAAGGATGGAGATCGCCACGGTATGAACTTTGAAAGCACATGATGGTACGACATTGCTCCACCCAGGGAAACCAGAATTGTAATCGTGAAACTTTCTCTATATTTGCAAGCTCTGTCGGCCTGAATTCATGATATGAAAAGTCCAATTCACATCCTTATGTCCGTTTTTGGCTTAGTCATGTCTAAACATGGTGCTCCATCAGGGTTAAATGGTTGTATGCCAGCATGTGCATCATGCCGATAGAATGAGTATGGTGAATATGATGAAATATGCTGACTTTGTATACTGTTGTGATATCACAAGTGCATGCTAGTAGCACTTAATCCAACAGCACTCCAGTTTAAATGTGTGTTCATGTGTGTTCATGTGTATGTTTCTCTAGGTATTCACTTTATCCCCAGGAGTTAGTGCTGTGCTTAGAGGGGTCATGCCATGTGCAGAAGCTACAAGTGCTATCCCACCAGTTCCTCATCTCCTCCAAGCTGGAGATCTACATCGGGGAGAGCCAGCATCAGGGCAGTGCCTACACTCGCCTGGGGTTAGACAAGCACAATATTACACGGCACACAGCGTGATCTGGCACAATATACTTTACTGGCTGGGTTTGCTTTTGACATTACCTGCGCACAGCCTAAATTTGTGTTAATTGGAAAATATATAGCAGATCATACACATAAAACGACGTGTATATGAACTTGAATAAATGTCAATATTTAATTAAACATGCTGAGTATATACTAATGAGAATTTTACCACTTACAAAGACGATACTGATTACTTGTACATAAACCTCAGAAAAGTGTATATTCACCTCGGCCTGAATACTATATATTGTAGTGATCTAAGTCAGCTCCTTTTACAAATGTAACTATTTTAACTATAACCATACTCCAAAGTGATTTCAAATGCATCCAGATTTTATGACTTGCAACCAGTACTGAAAAAAGGTTGCAATTGGGACAATTTATGGGTCGCCAAGTTCGAAATACCGTGTTGCAGGGAGAAACAGGCAGCAGGGGTTTGAGGGACGGGCAGTGGACGCAAAGCCCCTACTGTAGGATGCATTGGGGCTATATGTTTTTGCATTTACATTTGTGAATGAATGTATATCTCCCTTTATTTGAGAGTGATTGGAGTGAATCGTTGAGTGCAGGAGTATGAATCAAACGAACTGCAATGTAATGGATTATATCGAGCAGAGTCAGAAACTAGGGGCCACGATTCGAGAATCAATTCTTTTTTGTTACAAATAAGGTGCATGTTTACATCTGGAGTGGCTGCAGAGTTACCATGAGCTTTGCGTGCATAGTTAGTGTAAGAGTGGAATATATCCTTGCATGCCTAGCATGTTGTATGCTGTGCTTTTTAGGTACGTGGCCCTGTCTGACAATGAGAAGACTGGCTTCCGTGCACGGGAGCTCAAGTCTGTGCATGTGGATGCCACTGGCCGCTATCTAAAACTCATTATCCACAAGAACCATGTCAACAAATACAACATCCACAACCAGGTGACAGCTCTCAACAACTGATCCTCCGCACTCGCAGCAGGAGTTGGATATTACTGCTTTCAGGTTTTACCATTGTCTTTTACCAACATCAACACATCTCAGAAATGCAAACTTGTATTTAATTCTCATGTTTAAAAAAAAAAATCATACTATATTATAACACAAATTGTGTTGGCTGGTGTTAGGGCAGGAAAGTGTACATGCGCTGGTGACGTCACCGCGCACACTTGTGCAATGACGTCACCCGCATCCGACTTTGAGAGCAGCGAACGTTTTGGAGTAAAAATAAATTGTACATTTTTAATGTTTATAATATCTGTTATGTGTTGCCTCAATATGTGCTTTGGCTTTTTTTAGGTGGGACTTGTAGCAATCAACATCCTTGGAGATGCCGTGGACGATAAGGATTCTGGAAGTTACTCTCCTGGGGTGAGTGCCATTCTCCATGGACACTTAACATCAGCGTAATGGAGGGGACAAACATTTGAAGGAATTCACGGACCCCGTTTCTGTGTGAAGACACACAGCCATTCCACTATAGCGAGTGTCTTTAGCACCTGGAACTTGCTGCTCCTGATGAACATTGTTCCTCTCTGCAGGAGGAGGACCATTCCCAGACATTGTGGTTGATGTACATTGTGGGCATTTCTTGGAACTGAAACAAATTCAGCAAAAGTTGCTTCGTAGAATTATTTAATTTCAAGGACTACCGGCAAACATGAACGTGATTCCATAAGTCATTGCAGACAATTTGCTATCATAAAGGAACGCTTTGGCATTTTTAAGTGGAAAGGTGTCATCAGGAGCTGATGTGCTCCACTGTATCCAATGTACATGGTTAGTCTTGTGGATTGTTCTGCTGTGGTTTACCTGGATGTTACACAGATGAACATGGTGTGCTTTGGTGTACTGTGAATTTGTGAGACCACAGGCAGCTGATCGCCTTATTAGCCAGTACCTCAAGCACCATCCTGATGATCCGGCTCTGTCATCTACCACACAAAGGTACTTGTTTCTAAATGTCACTGGAGAGAGACGTTCTCCGATTATGTAATGATGGGTATTAAATATATTTTACAGTGGTTACATTCACAAGACCCTTAGAATATATATAACATTTGTATATGACCATCTTTAAGACAAAGTCAACGTGCCTGCCTGCTCAAACAAGCAACGAGGTGGTGCACATCTTCCCTGGTGCCTCCGAGGTGGTAGTCGAGATTTAATGTTTTTATGGTGGTAGGGCAACTCCATCCATAGGACGACTACTGTTGAATTACAACAAAGTTGTACGAAGTGGTATATATGGTTCAGGATTGCCACAGTTGACTCCGATCAGATTTTAACTCGCAGATTTCTGTTTGCTAACCAGAACACCAACATGCTGCGTTATATGGAGGGTAATCAAGTTCAATACAACCATTGCATAAATATACATTAGTACGTTGTTGTCTCTTGTAAAATGAAAAGATACAACAGGTGTTCCCTTTGTCTACGTATCATCAGGCAGGAGGAGTTCGATCCATTGGACGATTTAGCGTTTGGGATGTACGTGGACCCGGAGGTGGCGGGAATGATAAGGACGCTGGATGCACGTAAGCGAGCCGCTGTGAGAGAGGAGAAGTTCCATGTTGCCAAGACCCTTAAGCAGGCTATAGCTGACCTGCACAAGGTACGTGTGTCTGTAGTGGACAAATGCACGTAGTACAATGTGTGCATATTTGTTGTTTAATTAGCACGTCCATTAGTAACCATGGTCCCAAGGAACCATACTGTCCCGCTATCGCTCCGCACGGTCTTTACACTTGTATTCTTCATGGCTGCCATGATTCCCCGCTTGTTACAGGGGAGGTGCAGGAAATTCTTGGAATATACCTCAAGTGCATTGACCCGCTAAAGTATTTTGACACTGTCAAATGAACGATACTATATTAATTCGTGTGTCTAAAAGGGCCAATACAATGGCGGATTGCAGACTTATTTTTACAGCACATATTTGCACTTGGATACACTCACATACTAAACATATATATACCCACACACACCCTACATTAATCACTGGTGGGGAATAAAGCCTGTGGTGTATGTAGGGTGTGCATATGCATACAACACTGGTATTTATCCAGGAAACCCTCACAGAGTCTTTTCTATTTTAAAAATGGACTTGCATTGTAATTTTAAGACAATCCATTAATCAGTATCTTGCATATAGAAAGCCATCAAGGAAGCCCACATAAACAGGTGTGAATGTTAATATATCTGTAGAGATAAATCAGCAGCCCATTTGCTTCACTCTTATCTCCTGACCATTTTGTAGTCTAGAAGGTGAGGAGGCTCATGCACACGACAACATCTGCGTAATCCACCAACCCCACTTCTGAAGTGCTGCGTTACAGCGATGCATCCCCATGTTCAGAACATATGGTGGGCAGGTGCTTGTTGTTGTTAATGGCATACCTGTCGTGATTCTGGTGGTGTTCACAATGCATTTAATGCTTGCAAAATGCCGTGTTTTAGGTTGGTGAGCGATTAGGTCGGTATGAGGTGGAGAAGCGGTGCGCTGTGGAGCAGGAGGATTATGACCTTGCTGAGAAAAAGAAGCAACAGATGGAGGAATACCGGCAGAGGGTTTACCAGGAGCTGAGGCTGCATAATCTGCTGCAGGTTGTCTGTGCAAAGTACTTTGCTTGCATACATTGTGGTGAACACACACGCTCCAATAACAAGGGCTGTGGGTGTACAGTAAGAAATATGATTTCAATGCCAAAGAGTAGTGGTTCACAATCTCTTGTCCGCAGACAACTGGTGGTCCGCAAGGCCATGGAAAGTGTTCCGCGGAATTGTTGCAGATATGTTTTTTTCATTAAACAAACTGCGTGGTGGTACCTGAACATGATTAAACAAAAAAGGAGCTGTAACCTGTGACTATCTTACTTTGTCATATTCTGATATGAATATTCCATGTTGTATTGCGTGCTCTGGTAGGAGGAAGAGGTGGAATGGCTCAGTTCACCTCTTTTTAGATATGAAGGTCACGGCACAGAGATGGGCTCTCCCCGGGGATTGAGAGGCAGCAACTCGCAGATAACTTCTCCAGGGAACACGGCACGTACTAAGGGGGCAGCCTTGCAGGAACGTGGGACACCAAAGGGCATGTTGGCTGCAGGGGAAGACGTGCACACACATCGTAGTGAGTCTGAACGGATGTACTCCACCCAGGTACGGACATCATGCCACTTTTATATCAGGTTGACTCTGATTTTCAGTTTATTATTTTCAAATGTAAAATTAATAAAATAAAAATGGTGGTTCGAAATTCAACCTATCATGTACATTTGGAAGGTTTCAATAGATATGCTGTCATCTTCACAAAGGAATAGGAAACTGAACTTTGAATGTGCACACCACCTTTCGAAACATTGTATATTATAAAACAAATTTAATATTCTTATATAATTGTGTGTCGCAATTGCCTCTTGTAATTTTCGAATAACTTGTGGCTTTTGTTAAGTGTTGCTAAAATGTGTTGAAGATAATACTTTAAAATGTCATCAAGTAATAAAGAAAGTGGCAGTGCCATTCACAATTGTGGTCCGATTGGCAGCCAACGCGGCAAAACCCTCCCTCTCATGATGATCGGCCAATCCCTACGGTGGTGCGGCAGCAGCACAAGGCACAGGACGACGCAGGAGACAAAGACAGTCTCTTGGCACAGGTGGGCATTGTTCTTTGTAAGCGTGCCCGTCACCCCGTTGGGGCAATTTGTGGTATAAGGTGGATAGCCATTCGTTATTCACCTGTGATTTTATCAGTTTGTGGTTAAGGTTTTAATATATTTTTGTTTTTCTGAATTATATTCTTTAAAGCAGTAAAATATAGAAAAGTGTTTCTATTGTAATATTAACAATTGAAAAGCAAAACAATGTGCCACATACAGGGTGGCTCGTCAAAAGGGGCCTGGGTTCAATTCCCGACATGGGCTCCTTTCTGTGCGGAGCTTGTATGTTCTCTCCCTGTTGTGCATGGATTTCCTCCAGCTTCTCTGATTTCCTTTCATAGCTAAAAAAAAAACCACAATGTATCTGGTATTGGCCAAAATATCCTGACGCCGAAAAATTACTTGCAAATTACCCAATTAAGGATTACACACAGCAACATAGCTTTTGACTGTGAAAATTTGGCAAGACCATCCTGAAAAATGGTCTTGAAACTCAGACTTTCCTGGGTAAACCACCATAATGATGGTGAATAATCATATCATCATTGTGTAAGTGTACAATGCTGTTTTTGACTCTTGTACGTTCAACAGGCATGGGTTGGAGAGGACGCACTCACGACTCCGTCAGCCGAGGGTGGAGACAAAGCAGGGGGAGAACCGTCAGCCAAGCCGGAGGAGGGAGAACCGCGGGGCAGTGGTACCCCAGAGCCGTTAAGCGAGATGGCGCTCAGAGAGGCTGGGCCGGTCATTGACGTGTTTGGGGAAGGGCTGGTGAGCAAATGCGTATTCGCCAAACTCCACGTGTGCTCAAGTACTTTTGTGCATGTGGAAATCTTATGCTTAAAAAATACACAGAAAATACGGTGTAAGACCAACATTGCATGGCAACTTGTGGTAGTTTTAAGTACTGAATCTGGACACTGATAATATGGATGTTTTTGTCTTTGTTTTGTTGCTGTGCTTACATACCACAGAGCTCCCTTATAAAATATCTGGGCAACTGGCTTAACGGGATGATCTGTGTAACAAATAAAATAAATGTAACTGGTACATTAAGGTGAGCTTTCCTAAATGTAGTTGATGGTGGAGGTGAGGGACCTCCATCTGTATTCCAGGTATAAGAGGGAAGTGAGAATGTTGAGTGGAGGACTTTGTGTATTTACTTTCTAATGTACATATTATCGGGAGGTAAAAATTCATCTTAAGAAATTAGATGATCAGGTAGGAGTAAAGTCAGTGTCTGATCAAAGAGCTGGACCCTCAGCAAAGCAAGTAGTAAAAAAGATGTTTGTAGCTACGGAATGTAACTACTTTTCCATGAATGTCATGGCTTGATAGGGTAAGCAACTAGAAAGTTAAGAATACAACATTGTCACTGCAGATGTAATGAGGAACATGAGGTTGTTTTCAGTGAGCCATTTATGCAGGCTGGAGGAGGGAAGGTTACTAAAATGAGCATTAGTATGGCACTCACAGCTTGGTAATCACCAAGCCAGGTGACCCAGCCAAATGATGGGATATGATAAGAGCAGGTTTTGGAGGTCTTCTCTTACATTAAGTCTTGCTGTCTTTATGTGATGTCTGCACCTGTAGGTTGCAGGCGCCTACTCTAAGACGTGGTCGTACCGTGAAGATGCACTTCTGGCCATCTATCGCCAAATGGCTGAGCTTAAAGAAGGGATGGCTCGAGAGGATATCAGGGCAATGCTGAGGGCTGCCATTTTCCTCGTCCGTCGGGCCCTACGAGACCAGGTCACCTCGGTATGTATTAACACCTGTTCACTCCAGCCTCGGTACATGTGGCTTTCAATGCACAATATGGAAAGGTACTGTATGATGACTGTCACAACCTAGGAATCACACATTTTTTGTTATTTTTCTTTAGGTTATGAGCCAAGGACAACTTTGGCTGATTGCGTAGCTCATATAGAAATTGTTACGGGATTAATTAATTTATTGAATAATTAATTGATCAGACCACTAGATTATGAGATATAGAGTGTTAAAGTTACATTTATACGTGTTATTTTTAAAAATATATAATATCCAAACGTTCAATTGGGTCGTCTGTTTGACGCAGGTGTTCAGTGCATCCCTGAAGGTGCTGAAGATGCTGGTGACCCAGTTTGTTCCCCAGCACCGTCTTGGCCGAGTCGACCTGTCGCACTGCGTAGAGGGCACGCTGCCCGGGCTCATGGCGCGCACCGGGGACACTACGACACGGCACCGCAACGCCGCCATGTCCTTCATACAGGCAAGTCGCAGGGCACGCTGCCGCTCCCTGGGCTGGTGGAAAAGTAGGCGCAGCACCACGCAATAGCTTTGGACTATTTACGCTGATTGATTAATTGCGGTCCAGTTCTCCTCACGTCTGTTCAAGACTAACACTGTGAATAACATTGTTACATGTGATTTTGCAAGCTCAGCCAAGATGGGTCAGTTAGTCTCAAGGGCAGGGTAAATCCGTTCCAGATGTGATGGATACATTTCTCTCTAGTATGGTAGTAGAATGTATTCATTTTATAATGAAAGTGTCTTATGATTAATTAACAGTTATTGTCCTTTTGGTCCAGGAGCCGCTTAAGTCACACACGATGATGGCTCCGACTCCTGACTCTAGCCTTGTTTCAGCTGTCCCTGACATAATAAACCATACCATCCACCTGTACGTTGACTAAATAATTCTCATTCTTCACGCTTTTGTATAGTACTGCACCAAACTTCTGCTGTGATACCCAAGTATTCCTTATTTTCTGCACCCCTTTAGTGTCCGTAAGGCTGCACTTGTGGTTAAGAAGGCAATGCCCCTATATTAATGCAACTGTGCATTACTTATGCTCATGTAGTACTGTTTGTGTGTATTTGCACGTCAGGAGCTGGCCTTGCTGCAAGCAGTGCGTGCTTTGCAGCTGGTGCCCCCGGTGTTACTGCAGTCTTTCGGAGCACATGCAGCATCACGTCTCGCTATCAGCCAGCTGGAGCTGCTGCTGCGCCTGTTGCCTGAGCTTGGCCTGGACGGACACGGTCTCACTCCCACCAATGTCATGAAGGTGATGGCATGGAGGCACAAATTTGTAGACACGGGTTCCACACACCCTCACTGATGGCACAACGTGTGCTTGCTTCAAGGCTTATTTTATCTATTGCTAAAATCTGCTCTTTCAGTTTTCAATTAAATCTGCCAATTTGCTGGAAAAAAACGGAGGAAACTCATAAAAAGTTGAATCCAGCTTCCACCATGTGGAAAGTAATTGCCACTTTCCACATGAATGGCAAAGTTTCCCTGCAATTTATGATCAGCATTGCTGCCTATCGAAACCATAAACATCGATGTTCATGGGGTGTACCGAAAGATGTGGGCATGGTCATGGTGATAATTTTGGCAGGTGAAAGTGTGTTGAAAGAGGTGGGTGTATTCACACTTTACCCCACCACAAGCGACCTGTGGTGTACCCATTTGTAATGCTGGTTGGACAGAGGTAGTGGGGATTTTAGGAAACTTGCACCATTGTTTCAACTGCCGCACTGAAAAATGAAATCAAACCAGCGATTTCTGGATTTCAAGTGTGGTGTGCTAACCATTACCATTCCTCGTTGAACGGGGTAGATGCGTTCCTGAAAAGTGCTGCATTCAACAAAAATGGTGTGAAGTGAGGAATGACTGTACTGAATCACACTTGCATTCTAGTTTAAGCCTGCAGTCATCCCATGATGGGACAAATAACTTATATGAGGGTATACCACGTACTGTATCATTCCGTGTACTGTATCGTACTGCTCAGTCATGCAGGTCAACAAAGCAGTCCGTCGTCGACCGCTCAGAAACCGCGTTATAACGGGGCGCGATCTGCGGAAAGTGTTCTAGAATAGAAGAAACCGTGTTATAGCTAAAACGTGCTTATGAAAACGCGTGAAGTGAGGACTCGCCGTACGTGTTAACGGCTGTGTCCACGAGCAGGTGGCCCAGTGTGGCCTGGATCACACGGGAGCGGATGTGCGGGAGACCGCGGTGCGGCTCGTGCTCGCTCTCTATGGGATGAAGCGTGAGGCGGTGCGTGCCCTGCTGCCCCCGGATGATGGCAACACTCGAAGGAACCTGCTCTACCGCGGCCTCTTTGACGCCATGGACCGCATTGATGGCAAACCCACGCATGCGGAAGTGCAGGTAATGTGTTTGGCGTATGGGTGTTGGAGATCTTTCCTTGGTTGGCTGATTACACGGATATCATGTGAATCTCCCAAACCCGGCATGGTGGCTTATACGTGGAAATACAGCAAAATAATTATTAAATTAATTGTGCAGAGTTTTTCTGCGTTATCCCCTTATATGCACACGTTTTCCATGTAGTCTGTTATCCTCCCACATGCAAAACATGTAAAAATAAAGGGGACAATCTTATTACATCCTGCAATGTAATAATCCATCTAGGTCACGCACACGAGCTGATTTTATCGCTCCATCTCCCCTCGGTGGAAATAATCTCTGACACATTCCATTCCTTTATAACTCCATGATTGTTACTCTTTGGTTCTTTCGGTTAAGTCACGTAGGTAGAAAAATAATAGATCACGACATTTCGATCGCAACACAAGCAATCGTCATCAGGTGGGACAACCACAGCAAGAAAAAACTGCTGAAGTAGGCAGTCATGATCTATTATTTTTCTACCTATGTGACTTTACCAAAAGAACCAAAGAGTATGGATTCCTGCAGTCACGAAAGCTTCAAATCAATCCGTGATTATTCTTGGTCACTAGCCATCATCTCTTTTAGCTATATGTCCTGCCCAAGCCCACTTTTCTTCACTGTTTAATTGATGTCTTTAACTTGCATATGTTCTCTAATCCACGTGACTTGTGTTCACAGCTAAAGTCAAATTGTCTCCGTGCTCAAACTCGTAGTGGGGTGGCGTTCATCTGCAATGATAATGCATAGCCATCGGTGTAAGTTCCCCTTCGTGAAGGCCAGTCTTTACATAGGACGGCTGCTCGTGACTTCCCATTTACCTTGTGGGTGGATTGCGGTATCTGCAGGTACGCCGCAAGGCAGCAGCCGAAGAGGCAGAGAGGCGTAAACAGGCAGAGATACAAGTCCTGCAGCAGCAGCTGTCGGCTCTGCACGAAATCCAGGCACAGGTGCAGCTTACCAAGGTACTCGCCACCATGCACACCACTCATTTCACGCATGCCAAACTTGCTGTATTATGTCGACAGCGTATTCCATCCAGCAGGTTATAAGAGTTGCGTGTTTATAAATGTTATTTGCAACCTAGCAAAAGAGAGGACAATGCTAATTACAGGTAAAAATAACACGGTTAACATAATAAAACATCTAGTTTAGGGGTTAAGAATTTACATTCCAAGTAAAATATTGAAATTCCTTGTAGCAAAATTGTTAAATGTATACCACCATTTTGAATAATGAAATAACTATTATTTAGGGGCAGTGCAGTGCAAGTGGAGGCACAGTGAGCAAATTATTGAAACAATGTTGCGTAGTTCGCAGCTTTTAGCAAAAGAAAATCACATACCCCGTGAAACAAATGATCTTCAAACAAGAATGTTCCAGATGTTACACTTAAAGAAGCCATGAAAACTCGGAAATCTCACAAATCAGATGGAATTCTGTGGGCATGATCAAAAATGAAGGACCAGTTGTGAGATCAAAATTAGGGCACCTATTTATGAAATGTTTAGACAAATACCTCAATCATGGAGACAAAACTGATGAAGAAATGATCGATGCATTGGCCTCTGATAAAACATGTAGAAATTGTTCACAAAGATCATGTAGCACTAAATAGTTGGACAATCTGGATTTTAATATCTAAATATATATTTTTGTAAGGTGTATTGTGCTCCTATTTGTGTTATGTTTTTTACAGGAGAAAGAAAAAGGCCGTCCAGGCAAGAAGCGAGGTAAGATGTCTTATTCATTAGGGCACGCATCTTCTACGTGGCATGCACATCAACAGCAACCGCCATTCGCCACTATGTAGTGGTGACATCACCACGGTGCCTGTACCCAGCCAGATGCATCCCAAGACCATGTAAAATGTCAAAGGCTAGCTGGCAGGAAGTCATGGAACAGACCAATGTGCTATGGATTGACTGACTGAGATCACTAACAGACGCACCGCTTGTGCTCCCCACTGTGCCACCTTGCTGCGTTTTAGCTACCCAGCTCTCCGCTCTTTGTTGTGAACGTCACTCCTTTACCCTCCGCTGTTGTTGGAGGGTGGCTGCCTCCAACTGCCCAGTAGCGTCCTCCACAAACCTCCATGCACATCAAGCACAATGAGACCTACACCATGCACTAACTCCAAACGCTTCTCCCTACACACACGCTATCTTATTGTTATTGTTGGTGTGTGTGTGTGTTTAAATGTGTATGCGTATGTTGTGTGTGTCCTCAGCAGAGGAGCCAGCAGTTGCCTCCCAAGGCCCCCAGCCTGTGGAAAATCCCCCCAGCGCCTTGCCGCAATTTCTCGAGAAGTAACCCTAATTACACACACAATTAATGTAAAAGAAAACATACAGCTTTACGTTAGCTGTATTTTTTTTTAAACAGCACAGAAATGATATATATGATTCTCAATCGTTTCACCACATACACATGGTCAAATTGTATACATCTAAATCAGGATAAGGATTTGGAGTAAATGCCACAGTTCATAAGAAACTTGTCAAGAATAATTAAATATGTTAATGATGGGAAAATCCATCGTAACAGAGCAATCAGTGCAGGTTGAAAGCAACTTCACTGATTGTCAAGGATGAAAACTTGTTGCAGCTTGTCAATATTTTTACATTATGCAGTACACATCCATTTACTCGCATGATTACAATGCTATATTGTGTTGCCCGTCAAGATGTATGATTTAAGATGTATGGGGTTTGTGTATATAATTTAAATAAATGTGTTGTTAAAATTCATATTATTTTGAATGTTAACCCAAATGCATTAAGAGGTATATGAAGCTTGTGAGTGTTTGTCCTAAGCATGTCAACAATCAACAATTTAAAAGCTGAATATTACTCTCTGGTATGCCAGTGAAATGTGCAACAAAGTGCTATCCTGAGTGATTCTGTGCAAGAGAGCAGTAGTCTGCATATCATTAACCATATGATATCATTAACCGTGTAATATATAAAGTGGCCATACTCAAGTTTAGCCATTTAAAATAGCTTGTCATTAGAAAGCTACTCGAAAGATACACACTCGAGCCAGTTTGTAATAGATTTTAGCTCGGAAAGGGATATTTAACTATAATCGTTGACTTCATTGGAGGCAATGACAATTATAACAACAAAGAAATAACAGATACAGATGTGGTGTTACAAAATGCACTCCCAACTGTAACACATGACATCAACTCCACAAGGTGAAACCAATGCAGTGCACCAGACATTTTCGTGTTGTCAGCAATGGCCCTCAGGCATGTCATGATTCATGTTTCAACCCTAACTTGGGTACGACTACGGGTGCGACTTCATCACAAGTTGTCGGTGATGAAGTCGCGCACGCAGTCACACGTGAACACATAAATAAAATGTAATCAAGGCTGCGGAAACCTCAATCTAAGCACGTTGTTACACTCTTCCGGGATGTCAGTGCCGTCTCGAGCGAGTGCCGTTTGTGTGCGTTGTGCTGCGGGCAGCATCTGTGTGTTCTGTGGGGAGCGGAGCGACTCCTTCACCGACGAGGGGCTGGACGTGCACTACTGGAGGCACTGCCCCATGCTGCAGCGCTGCGAGCACTGCAAACAGGTGACACGCAAACGGATGCAAAGTGCGAGAATTCACATTCAAGCGGTCATCGTGGCCATCCTGCAAAGCTTTACCGCCTTCATCTTTAACCCTGAGTTTATAGCACACAAAATATACAGCCAGCAAACATTCCAGGCTTTCGTTCACGCTACCATCAGAACAGAAAGAGGGCGATGGACTGGCATGTAGTCGCTAGTTGGAACGGAGCTTTACAGTACGGTGCATTTGATCACAAACAGATTGCACTGTGAGTCGCCTACTCATTTTGGCTACTAGGATTAGCTTGTGGGCTTACCAAAACTGTGACTGAGACAAGTGCGCAGAGGCGCGGATGGAAGTAGTAAATAAAATAATGGGCGGGCCACGCGCGGACTCACTGCTCACCTCCTGCTGTGCGGCCCGGTTCGTAACAGGCCACGGACCGGTACCGGTCCGCGGCCCGGGGGTTGGGGACCCCTGGCCCAAACGGATGTTTGGTCAATACCTTCATGAGTGTATTGCATGTAGGAGAACTGGAGTACATGGAGGAAAGCCATGCCGTGCATTTAAGGAAATAAAACTAATGTCTTCACAGACAAGTTAAAAGCCAATGTACTGTTCTTACTTCCACTCAGCACATAATGAAATCTGCATTATCCACCAACTCTGCAGCTAAAGTGTCAGACACCCAACCGACAGAGATACAACTTGGCCTATAATTTCCAGAACAAAATATATCGCGGAACTATATGTACAATTTTGTAGTCTGCTGACATGCATCAGTTATATGTGTGCACCCTTGTCTAAACCCCGAATGGGCAACAGTGCTTAGATCCTGGGTATTAATGCCCCCACATTTTGGGATTAGTCTTAAAACCAACATGCCTATGGAACACTCCGAAATGTGCACAGAAAAGTGGAATGTTCTGGCTGTCGAGCCGTGTGTGGGCTGCCTTGTAGAGCGGCAGGTTTCAAGCATATGATGACGTGATCAACCAAACTCACCCTGAAAGCACTGAACTACAGGCCTGAGCCACCACTTACTGCTGGATGACGCTATGAGGATTGATAAGACTTGCTGTGGCCAAATCTCATATACAGTGAGGGAAAAAAGTATTTGATCCCCTGCTGATTTTGTACGTTTGCCCACTGACAAAGAAATGATCAGTCTATAATTTTAATGGTAGGTTTATTTGAACAGTGAGAGACAGAAAAACAACAAAAAAATCCAGAAAAACGCATGTCAAAAATGTTATAAATTGATTGGCATTTTAGTGAAGGAAATAAGTATTTGACCCCCTCTCAATCAGAAAGATTTCTGGCTCCCAGGTGTCTTTTATACAGGTAACGAGCTGAGATTATGAGCACACTCTTAAAAGGAGTGCTCCTAATCTCAGCTTGTTACCTGTATAAAAGACACCTGTCCACAGAAGCAATCAATCAATCAGATTCCAAACTGTCCACCATGACCAAGACCAAAGAGCTCTCCAAGGATGTCAGCGACAAGATTTTAGACCTACACAAGGCTGGAATGGGCTACAAGACCATTGACAAGCAGCTTGGTGAGAAGGTGACAACATTTGGTGCGATTAATCGCAAATGGAAGAAACACAAAAGAACTGTCAATCTCCCTCGGCCTGGGGCTCCATGCAAGGTCTCACCTCGTGGAGTTGCAATGATCATGAGAACGGTGAGGAATCAGCCCAGAACTACACGGGAGGATCTTGTCAATGATCTCAAGGCAGCTGGGATCAGTCACCAAGAAAACAATTGGTAACACACTACGCCGTGAAGGACTGAAATCCTGCAGCGCCCGCAAGGTCCCCCTGCTCAAGAAAGCACATATACATGCCCGTCTGAAGTTTGTCAATGAACATCTGAATGATTCAGAGGACAACTGGGTGAAAGTGTTGTCAGATGAGATCAAAATGGAGCTCTTTGGCATCAACTCAACTCGCCGTGTTTGGAGGAGGAGGAATGCTGCCTATGACCCCAAGAACACCATCCCCACCGTCAAACATGGAGGTGGAAACATTATGCTTTAGCGGTGTTTTTCTGCTAAGGGGACAGGACAACTTCACCGCATCAAAGGGACGATGGACGGGGCCATGTACCATCAAATCTTGGGTGAGAACCTCCTTCCCTCAGTCAGGGCATTGAAAATGGGTCGTGGATGGGTATTCCAGCATGACAATGACCAAAAACACACGGCCAAGGCAACAACAGAGTGGCTCTAGAAGAAGCACATTAAGGTCCTGGAGTGGCCTAGCCAGTCTCCAGACCTTAATCCCATAGAAAATCTGTGGAGGGAGCTGAAGGTTCGAGTTGCCAAACGTCAGCCTAGAAACCTTAATGACTTGGAGAAGATCTGCAAAGAGGAGTGGGACAAAATCCCTCCTGAGATGTGTGCAAACCTGGTGGCCAACTACAAGAAACGTCTGACCTCTGTGATTGCCAACAAGGGTTTTGCCACCAAGTACTAAGTCACGTTTTGCAGAGGGGACAAATACTTATTTCCCTCATTAAAATGCAAATCAATTTATAACATTTTTGACATGCGTTTTTCTGGATTTTGTTGTTGTTATTCTCTCTCTCACTGTTCAAATAAAACTACCATTAAAAGTATAGACTGATCATTTATTTGTCAGTGGGCGAACGTACAAAATCAGCAGGGGATCAAATACTTTTTCCCTCGCTGTATATGAAGACATCCCTTGGCACCCTTTGACCAGAATTAATGTAAGTTAAGTTGTATTTTATTGTGTGACACCTCTGCCCTTGTTTGTGATATTTTATGATTATAAAATTATCTTAACACTGAATGTCACTTTATTGTCTGTATCCTGCAAAAGAACTGGAATTAAAACAATACATTGGGAAATAAAACTGTTCAAACAATAAAACAATTAGAATATTCCCATGCATTTTACAAGGGTGTCAACGGCTATGTAACATACAGGATTAATGCTCATTGCTCTTGGATACTATGGAAAATTACATTTGACATATATGTGTGTGACACTTGTTGTCTTTGTGTTGTGAATGTGATGCGTTTAGGTTGTGGAGATTTCAGGCCTCACGGCTCACCGGCTCGGGGAGTGCGAGCGTGGCGATGGGTACGGGAAATGCCCTCGCTGTGCGGAGGCCGTCCCCAAAACAAAGTTATCCGAGCACATTCAGGCCAAGAGTTGCGCCCGTATGTACCATGTACACCCACGCTCGTGCATGTCAACAACACACACACACACAGCGGCACCCACACTATTATAGTCACACCCGCTTGCATATTGTCTACATATCTCGAATGCATAAGCTCTGATATGCCCAACAATGTTGTTTTCTTGGCATTTAAACATTAACATTGCTAAAGGTGATTCTAAAACGTTCACAAAAGCATGCATTAGTAATCAGAGTTGATTTAGCCATCATCCAAGGTCGGTTAAATATTTACTGATGAGTTATTTTGTCTGAAATCAGAATTTGGTTGTTAGTCATTTGAAGAGGCTGGGCTAGGCCATAGCCTTCTTATTGCCGAGAGAAGATGGTAAAACATTTCTAAACTATTGAAGCTGCAAAATGATGAGGTGGAGAATTCATATGAAACAGATGAGATATTTTAGGAAAATTTCGAATTTTGTATGTCATGCATGCATTCAATTTTCTACTTTATTGACCTGACCAGTGTAATTTGTTATCTCAGGAATGTAAAACAAAGCCAAAAACAAATAATTCTCAAGGTTGGTGTCTTCACGGACTGCTGTGTTATTACAGTGATAAATAAGAACGTTCGCTTCGCCTTGCTAGATATTAGGCCACATTACGACTGCGGCGCATCTACCACAAGCGGTGGGATGCACTGTGAGCTCGCGTCCACTTGGAGCGACCTCCGAGGGAACGAGTGGCTCACAGCCGCCCTGCGCTAAAGCCAGCAGCCACTTTCACAACCCAGACATTCATTCATAGTTGCTGCTCAATTCATATCAATGCGAGAGAGGGAGATACGCGAGGCTAAACCATCTCGGCCATCTTATCCCATTGCAGCTGCAAAGCCTGAAAGAGTGGCCAATCGTTGTCCCCTCTGCCACACGGACTTTCCACCTGGAGAGGAGGTAAGAGATGGCTGCATGCGACTGTTTTTTTCCAATCAAGATTGAACTGTTCAATGCATGAATGAGTCGCGCTTTGTCCTCTATCACCAGTTATATCGCATTTATGTCATCAGTCCTGATGAGGATAGATATCTTTACACAATACATCTTGTTTTTCCTTGATATATAGGTTACTTGTAATCCCGTTTTTTCCTAATTATTGTTGATTATACAGAAACAACTGATGGTTTTGCTCCAGCCTTTGTCTTTAATAGATCATGTTTCCATTCTGTGCTGCTTTTCATGTTGGATCAAAGATGATATCTCCATAACTGTTGAATGGATATTAGATATCTCTGTCTAACCTTTGGGTTTGTCTACGTTGAATGTTGTTCTTAATATCCATTTAAAATGCAATGTATTGGTTGTGATAGGCATGGAAGCCTCACCTGGTGAGTAAAGAGGGGTGTACGAAAAATCCTCGCAAAGAGCAGTACCTCCAACGGCTACTAGAAGGTAGGAAACCCGAGTGGAATTCGTACGGTGCTTTCCTGCACTGTCTACACTTTTGCAGTGCTCTTGCACTTCTAGATGTTAACACATTCATGTAACAAATTATTGCTTATTTAGTCAATGTGCTGGAGTTGCTTCTTCTTTCGTATGGCTAATGTAGATGTAGAGCAACAACTACAATTTCACATTCAGGTGGTCAAGCACCTGCCATGGTTTGTGCGGATGCCATTTAGGGTGGACCATGAGTTTTGTGGAAGATCAAATCCAGGGATCTTCTGCGTTGGGTCTTTCCCAGGGTGTTTGTGAGTTCTTTTGAACTCCATTCAGCTCTACAACATTCATTGGGGTTGAACTCGCATCGTTGAAGGTTAAGTGCACGGGTCCAAAAGGGCTTGCTTGACTTCAAGCGATGACGGGGGATGTTTTTGAGGTCCTGGTGAATGGGAAGGCGACTGTTTTCCTAGATTCGTAAGCACTTCCCGGAGGGTTGCAGCATTGCGGCGGATGGGTGGGGGAGAGATTTGTGACAGCACAGGCAGCCAGGATGTTGGGGTCAACTTGAGGTTTCCAGTGATACGTCGCATAATAGTGTTCAGTTGGACATCAACAAGTCGAGTGTGACTACTTCTGGTCCATACTGGTGCACAGTACTCAGCTACGGAGTACACAAAGGGCCATCGTTGATGTCCGTAGCACTGGGTGCTGATGCTCTCCCCAGGTTGTGATTGCCAGTTTCTGGACCAGGTTGACCCTTGTTTTGGTCTTGGAAGCTACCTTTTTCAGGTGATTGTGGAAGATTAGCATACAGGTCCAGCTTCACTCGAAGATAGTTTGGAGTGGGGTCGTGTTGCAGTTTTGCCGGAGAAGGTCACTTTCAGAGTGCGCCTGGCACTCCCATTATTAAGATGAAATGAAGTGACTGTTGTTTTGTGGGGATTTGGCTTAAGCCTCTATTTCTGGAAATGTTTCCCCATGGTGTTTAGGTCTTGGTTCAGAGTGGATTCGACGTCGTTGAAAGTGCCCGCTTTCGTTGCCAGGCGAAGGTCACCCGCATAAACAAATTTGCGTCATCCGGTTGATGGCACGTCACTCGTGTTGACATCGAAGAGTGTTGGACGCCGGAGTTGCTGGTTTGTACGTACTATTTCTCGTTATGTGCGTATCGGAAATGCCCGTTATGCTTTGTCCGCAGCTCCGAAAGGTGGAGGAGCTGCCAAGAGCGGTGGGGCCGGGGTCAAGGCGGGCGGAGCACCGAAGGCACAGCCCCGTGGAGGCATTCCCAAGCTTCAGCCGGCCAATAGGAACGCAGCGAAGTGACGAGATTGTGTTGTAGCCTCGGCGATTGTATCCGGTTATAATCCTCTTACGACGTAACAAACGAGCAGCATGTTAACCTAGTTTGAAGAGCGTATTAAAAAATAGAAAATATGAAGTATACATTGGGTTTCATTCACTTCATTCAAACTTGTTTTTACAATTTTTTAAGACTGAATATCACGTCAAGTATATACGCATCAAAACAATGTCGTTTTTTCTGCTTTCATGATTTACAACTAAATACCTACCACTCAACACGACCAAGAGTTAATTTTTTACAATTTTACAATGTTTTTCTTATTTAATTGCCTATTTTTCTTATTAATATATGCTAATAATTGTAAGCCCTTTGTCAATCCGCTTCTAGGTGAAGGCTTCTATACCATTCAGTCTAGGGGGCTGTTTGTATGTATGTTGAACGTAGCCAACTGTGCTAATCGGAGGCGTGGCGGAAGGACAACAAACTAAATACAAAAAGCAGTTCTAAATAAATGAGTTTTCATTTTATATTTAAAAGTGCATAGCTCCAGTCGCTTCCTAATTTCGAAAGCATGAGCGTTCCAGACGGCCGCAGAAGCGCACCTGAAAACGCGCGATGCAGTGACCCTCTTTGTTCGACGGTTTGACCATACAGCACAACACTGGTCAGTGCAGGTTAGGAAAGGGCAGTAGGATCCGTTCATATATCACTTGCCACTGATGTTAAACGTGATGTTGAAATCAGGAAGCCAGACTTGTAGTTCGGTCCGCTAACCCGTGTGCCAACATTCCTCCCCACTGTACAGTTAAACATGGCACAAATGGGAACGCAATGAGAAAGAATTTGTAATATTGTACGCTCCAGTGCTTTTCATGTAATCTTTGCTCGTTATACAACCAAGTTTACTTAGAGCTGAAGGAGTTACTTTGCAAATGTGTACTTTTATTCACAAGAGACTATGGCATTATATTGCTACTCTCTAATCGTCCTATGAACACTCTGCTAATCATGACCTTTTCCCATCACGGATTTTTTTTTATTTTAAATAATAAATTATATTCATTGTGAATATCAAACTTATATAAAAATCGGAACAATGTTCATTCCAACATTTTGGAATATAAGAGATTACCATGAAAAACTGTCACATCACCATGATACATATTAAAAAAGACACCCATAGTTGCGTGTGCGCTTTGCTGTAGGTCCCAGCACCCATCACGTATCTGACATTTCCATTACCACTGAATGTGCACCGAACCCAACGCTAGCCCTGAACGTGCCATCGCGGGAAATTCCCACGTCCCATCCTAACACCCGGCCCACCAATCTGCAGCCGATATGTAATTCTAACCTTCCACCAGCACCCAGAACCAAGGTCATGCAGTGCTTGAATCGGGATGGTTGTCAATCTATTACACAACCCCTTCTTCCCTCCAGAACCTTCATCCGTTCCCCCCAAGCCTGCCTCGTCCCATGCAATGTCACAAAACGTCTCTGGCCAATTTAACTCCCTTATGCCCTGCTCGAAACATAACAACTTTCCAGGGAATGCTATCAAACTGCTGGCCTGTACTCACAAGTAGGCACTGCACTGGCAACATAGCAACAGTGATCACTGTAGGACAGAAATCGGCGAACGTCACAAGGAGGGGGCACCACAATATTAGGGCGGAGTTGGAGCACAGATCCACACTCTCCATGTAAATAAAACTCAACACGTTGCATAATGTCAGAGCTGATCTTGGGTGTCGGGTGTCCACTTGCAATATCGTACAGAAGAATCTATGGAAAATTGCGTTGTGGGCATCAACAGCATCAGTAATGGTCTCGACTAAACTTTTTTAAACGATCGGCCAGATTCTCAAAAGACGTCAGTAGGTCTCCCTGTGCAGAAACAGTAATGGATCTAAGATGCCCTGAAGCAGTCTTATGCCTTAAGGCTGTGATGATGGTCTAGCAAACAATACATTCTTACATGTAGGCTTTCTCGGCCAATATAATCCATAATAGAGGTTGCTCGGGTTAGATCACGTCAATATATAAATGTGTCGTAAAAAACCCGCCACCACCCCATAGCCAACTAGTAAGGGTTGTCACGTAAACAGAACGTGGCCAATTCGTGATATTCTCGCAAGTTTTGATGTGACTCATCTGTTCACGAGGGTTCCGGTCAACGAGTCAATTAAATTACTCGACACTGGTCACGAAGAAAGGTTTAGCCAAAGATATCCCAAGACTAGCTGAACACTGTCTAAAGAACACTTCTTGTGGCAAGGTGACTTCTATCAACAAAAGGAAGGAGCAGCAATGGGCTCTCCTTTGTCTCCTGTGATAGCTAATTTGTACATGGAAGATTTTGAAACAAAAGCAATAGCTTCAAGCACATTAAAACCATCTGCTTGTTTTAGATATGTGGATGACACATAAGTGGCCTGGCCACACGGCAAAGATACACTGAACGCATTTCTAAATCATCTCAACTCGCAAAACCCATCCATCCAGTTCACCGTGGAAGTGGAAGCTGACAGAACTTCACCATTTCTGGATATTCTGTTCGGACGGGGTCGAAATGGTAAAATAACAGAAAGAAAATGCATACTGACACCTATCTGAATGCAGTTACACCATCACCCTGCACAGAAATCTGCTCTTATCAAAACGCTCGATCATCGAGCTAAGATAGTGTCAGATGGTGACAGTCTGAGACGTGAAATCCAACATGTTAAAGAAGCACTGCAAGTTAACGGTTATAATGATGCACAAATCAACAGGGCATTGAATGCCAAAACCAAATAAAATAACACGAGCATTAAAACTGCCGAAGTAATTAAAACGATTAAAATACCAATTCTAGATTTGAAACTTTCCTGACTGCAAGGATCTATACTCTTTGGTTATATTCGGTAAAGTCACGTAGGTAAAAAAAACAAGAGTATGATTAAAATACCGTACATTGCGGGAGTAACTTATAAACTAGCCAGATGTTTGGAAAAACAAAACATCCGAGTCAGATGTGGCACGGTACATAAAATACAGAATTGAATATCTTGAACAAAAGATGTATTACCAAAGCTATCAACAGAAGGTGTGTACAGGATTAACTGGACGTGTGGTAAATGTTATGTTGGGCAAACAGGACGAATGATCAGCACTAGACTAAAAGAACATCAGTGAAATATTAAATACTCCCAGATACAACTGTCAGCAGTAGCAGAACACACGTGCCAACAAGGACACTCAATTGATTTTGATAATGTTGAAGTTCTGTGCAAAACTAGCTACTAACTACTAGCTACTAGTTTGCACACTACTGGCCAAGAAAATCTATCGATATTGAAAGAAAAAAAATAACTTTAACCGTTCGGTTAGCTACCGCCTTAGTGCTGCGTGGAAGCGAATAATCAATACATAATTTAAATGCATGCCTACAAAAGGCAGCTTACTTCAATCGGGATTACCGTTGGTATGGCTATTTTTATACACAATAGACAGGAAGGACAAGTTCAAAGGACTCGCATAATGTACATGCATCATATTCTTGGTTCTTTCGGTGAAGTTACGTAGAAGGGAAACAATAAGATAATAAAAATATAAAACAATAACATTCTCACGACGTTTCGCCTGCAACACAAGCAATCGTCATCAGGTGTGAAAGCCACATCATGTACGTTGCCTCAGTAATTCCCCCCCCACCCCCCACCACGTGGCGCAAGAGCGCAGAAGCGTGGTGAACATAAATCTGGCTTTCGCCTGATGAATATAGTTGTAATTACTGGCGAAACGTCGTACTCGGATTGTAAATGGTGTGGCTTGGCTCTCCAACACACCGGTGTGCTGTACTAGTGACGAATTGTCATGTTCTGTTTACGTGACAACCCTTACTAGTTGGCTGTGTCGGGTGGTGGCGGGTTTTAACGACACATTTATATACTTACGCGATCGAACCCAAACAACCTCTATTATGAATAATTCTAACCTTTAAAAAAAAACTGGCATTCTTTTAATAAAAGCAACAGCAGCCGTTTCCTGTTCACCGAGGCTCATCCCCAGCGCACATATACAATATCACATGTCACAAACATTAGTTATTGGTGAGAAGTCGGAATGCGGGATGGTAGCGGTGAATGTCTAATAAAACACCATGAAACTGTGAAGGCTACCAGATTTGTGTCCAGGGTATCAGAGCATGACCGCCCTGTCGAGTTAGTGGAGGGAGACGGGGGGGGCGGGCGGGATTTCGTGGTAAATCGGCCGGTCTGCTGTATGGGACAATTTAATCTTTAACAACACATCGCTTCTGCGTTTATAAATACGCTACGCAAACACGCAATACTTAATCCGTCTCGTGGAATAATGCCGAGAGTTCTCCGAAAGTCGTTTTTTTTCTTCACACGCCGGCGGTACGGTCTCTCTGCTGTAGCGTGAATCGACTGAGAACTTAACGCTCGGACTAAGACTCCAGCAGCTCGTTACTGCGCTGTCACGTGTACTTGTATGTATGTCGACCTTCTTTCGCACCGTACGTCGACACCCGCGCTAATCGGAGGTACCCCACGGGCCCAATGCCTCGTCTGTACCATCTTAAAAAGCGCCAATTTCCCCTTGTTCGTCTGTTTGCGCTCAATGTTAATGTAGGTCGTACAATAAATAAGCTCACTCTCTATGTTCAATGCATAGGTTTTGACCAGGTTAGCTACGTGCTATTTAAGGGCCATTGCCCAAAAAGTCACCTGTATACAATATATGTTTTATCCTTTTAAGCCCACAGTGTTGATGAAGAATGTGCCCAGAGCTTTTATTGTTGTCATGTGCTTGTGCACCACTGCCAACGCAGCATCATCAGCATCAGCAGGAGCATCAGCATCAGCAGCAGGAGCATCAGCAGCATCAGCATCACGTCGCGCGAGTAACGCAGCACGCGAGCGTCGCGCCGGACGAGAACGGCGATGAAGCCACAGCAACACGCGGAGGCCACCCCGGTGATGCTCGACCGCACCATTGGCTTCCTCTATGGCATCTTCATGCAAGTCGGGATGATCATCGGCAGCGGCATCTTCATCTCCCCGTCCGGCGTGCTGCGCCACGCGGGCTCCGTGGGGTGGGCGCTGATGGTGTGGCTGGCCTGCGGCTTCCTCTCCCTGCTTGGTCAGTCAACAAATACCGTACATAACCCCCCCCCCCCCGCCGGCCCCCCATGATACAGGTTTTTCGGGTTCGATCGTGTAAATATCAATATGTCGTTAACCCCACCACCACCCCACACAGCCAATTAGTAAGGTTTGTCACGGTAACAGAATATGCCAATTCGTTACTAGTACAGCACACCGGTGTGTTGGAGAGCAAAGCCCCATTTACAATTCGAGTATGACGTTTCGCTGGTGATTATGACCAGCTTCATCAGGCGATGGCCATATTATGAGAATGTGAGTTATCCCGTGTGTTTATGTAGTTTATGTAGTTACCCTGTTGGGGTGTATAATAAACGTGTTTGCCTTCAAGTTACCAGTGTCTGCCTCCGTGGGACCCACTACACTAGTGACGAATTGGCAAGTTCTGTTTACGTGACAACCCTTACTAATTGGCTGTGTCGGGTGGTGGCGGACTTAACGACACATTTATATATTTACGCGATCTAACGCAAAAATCCTGCATTATGGATATTGGTCACGAAAGCCTACGTGTTAAACCGTACAGAACATTAACCCAGACCCACAAATCCTTGCCAAAAGTATATATTTGGTGTTTGAACATCTTAACACCTGTTTTATTGCCAGAAAGGGTAAAACCTATTCTTATTTTTTATACCGTACATACCATCAACCCGGACCAACTCCAGTCCCCATGACTCACATTCTCATAATCCACAGAGCTTTGTGCACGGTGCCTAACGTGTTTTCGAGGGTTTGTTTGGCACCTGGGAGAGTTTTTTTTAAACAAGTCAACAAAAAACACATGTACTACACTGGACAGGTGGCAACCCTCCCAACATTCGGCGACAACGCCACCTCTCGAGCAACAGATCGATACTCAACAGAGCTCAACAGAATTATGCAAGATGGCTCTGACCAACGTACACACCGTCGGGCGACCCAGTCGCCTTTGTTGGACGGGTCACAACACCCTGCCGTAAGTGACTCAAGACGTTGTATGTACGGCGTGGGCTAAAGGTGGCCCGCTTGTGATAAAGTTCAACACTCGTGCGAGGTCTCGGCACAAATCAATTCCCGCTACACAGATTCCGATTTCTCAGATTGCCTGAGTCAAACCAATATTATACTCCTGTACCCTATGTGAGCGTTGCCACGTGTCCCGCCCAAACCAATGATGTTTACATTATTAAATATGTGCATTTTATACAATGTGTCAATATTCAAGAGGCCAAACCCAAGTTGTTCAGGCGGAGATGTTGCCTTGTTTTGCTTTAGACCAAACCACATGGAATGTGGCCGATCTTAGATCTCAGAAGCTAAGCCCGGTTTGAGCCTGGTAAGTATTTGCAGACTGCTCGGGCTTAGCTGCAGTTGTAAACTTGTTCTGCAGTGACGGTAAGTGCAGCATTGGTTTCTACGCGTGGAGAGCTCTTGAGCACTGTCACCCGCGTGCGCTTGTGGTGGATTTTCTCCAGCTCGGATCCCTGCCACGTGATTGAATGATGCAGGGCCCTCCTGAAACAGGTCTTGAAATTTAGCGAAACTTTGCCTGGGTAAATAAAGGGCATTTTATTACTCTTCTCGTTATAGACTTTAACACCATCAATTGTGTGTAAAAATTAAAATTATTCCTCCCACCAGAGCCATCCCTAGGGTACACGGCGAATTGTGGCGACCGCCTAGGGCCCCGTGCTTTGGGGGGCCCCGTGCTTGGATGTCACGATCTCGGTTGTAATTCGTCCGGTTTAGTTTGAAGACAGGGTGAGCGGGGTACACGGTGGGATTTGTCCCGGGGCCCGCATCCCGCTATGGACGACAGCCCTGCCCCCCACTTTTCATCAAAGGCTGCCTGAGGTTTCGCGAGCGGCGCGCGGTCTCTGGCGCACCGAGCACGAGCGAGCCCTCCGCGATGTTTCACGCGCGCAGGTGCCCTTTCGTACGCGGAGCTGGGCACGACGATCCGCCAGTCTGGGAGCCACTACATCTACTTGAGAGAAACCCTCGGGACGCTCCCTGCTTTCCTCTTCCTGTGGGTTGAGTTCATCATCGTCAGGTGCTGCAAATCTACCGCACCTGCCCAACGGATTGCGTGCAATCTTTCGTCTTCGTAGTCGAATTTTTTTTGCTCAGAGCGTTCCTCCACCACGGTCCAATCGAAGCCCGAGAACTTCGTGAAGGCAAGGGGTGGGGTGGGGTGGGGGGCATGAGGGCGAACCTGTGGAGTCAATGGAAGCGTAGAGCTGGCGTTTCGTCCGCATAGGAACCACGGTCGATGTTGAAGCCACGGAGTTTGTCGCCGAGCAGGAGGGGCCGTGGGGCGGGTGCCGAGGGGATGGGGGGCTACAGGGGGGCAGAGGCACGTGCACAGCACCCCATGCCTCTGCCCCTCTCGCTGGGAAAATCACAAAAACAGAACGCATTGGAAGAAAGAAAACCGCACACATAACGCATTCGCCTTCACATTTCACCCTTCGTGCTATACCCACCTGGCGTTACTACACACAGGGCTAAAACATCATTGTGTTCTCGCTGCCGCACGTCGGTAACATGCGGAGATACGCGTCGAGCGTGACCCTCGCCCGTCTCCCGCAGGCCTTCCGTCATGGCCGTGGTGTTTCTGTCGATGGGGCAGTACTCGCTGGAGGCGTTGTACTCGCCCTGCGCCGTGCCCCGCATCGCCGTCAAGCTCCTCGCGATGGTCTCCATCTGTGAGTCCTCGGGTATGGGAGGAACACGCCAACGGTTAGGGGCCACGGAGTTTGGGCAATCGGTGACTGCCGGTGTTTTTTGGCCGTGGTTGCCGCGTGCCCCGCTACCAATTCTACGATCTACAGTTTGCACGACAACCCCCCCCCCCCCCCCCCCCCCGTTACTCTAGCGGGCAGCACACGACCAAAACCAGCTCCCGAACACCGACGCACGCTATCCTTGCTGTTACACACAGCTGCCGAGCCACACGGCTCACCTCGCATTCTTCGGTGAAGTCACGTAGGTAAAAAATAAAACAACAAAAAATCACGACGTTTCGGCCACAACACAAGCGGCCTTCATCAGGTGAAGGGATCAGGCGTGGCTGTGTTCCACTCCAGCGCTGTCCTCGAGACAGCCTGATCCCTTCACCTGTTGAAGGCCGCTTGTGTTGTGGCCGAAACGTCGTGATTTTTTGTTGTTTTATTTTTTACCTACGTGACTTTACCGAATAGAACCAAAGAGTATGGATCCTTGCAGTCACGAAAGCTTTAAATCTAGAATCACCTCGTATTCTTGTACGGGGAAATTGAGATTTCAGGTCCATACGGCGAACAGCCGTTTCAAGAATTTGTAAGGATGCACGTTGAGATTTATAAGGGCACGGGGTGACCAATAAGGTCTGAATCGGTCCGTGATGATAAGGGATTGACAGGTGTTGTGTGTCCCCTATGGATCTGCATCTATATTCATTTCTTTTACACAGTTTCTGAACAAAGGCCCAAGTGGTCAGAACGTGTCCACAGATGACAAGGGCTGCTGCTGCGTGATTTACGGGTTCCGTTGCCCGTCACACAAAGCAGACTCTGCACACATCAAGGCGCGCAGGCCGGATTTACGTTCAACCGCTAAACTCGGCAGCGGGGGCCGTAATCTTGGTCGAGTCGACAAACACAAAAGTCACGGATTTCCTACCACCACGGACCGTTTAAGCCACGCGCAAAGTGTTATTACTGCTCGCGTGCATTAAATTATCTCGATCGCCGCGGCACTTCTAATCGCGTACAATGCTCCCGTGCATCGGCAGCGTTCGTGGTGTGGGTCAACACGTGGAGCTCGACGCTGTCGCTGCGCGTCCAGTCGTGCCTCTCCGTCAGCAAGTTGGCCGCCCTGGCCAGCATCATCGGCGTCGGAATCGCTCACGTGGCGCGGGGTGAGTCCTCGCCTCTCCGGGTGAAGCCCACCGTCGCACGTTCGCCCCCTAGAACCTCACCCCGGGGCCCAGAGGAACGCTGCTGCTGCTGCTGGGCCAACGTAGTGGGAGAAGGCGGACGTCCAGGAATCAACACCTCGTTCGAGACCCGAACATCATTGCACCTCCCCCTGGCTTTGACATTCCTCCTCGAAGGCGCTGTTCGTGCAACTATAACACGATGTCACGCGATTTTTCTTCCTGGGTAGTAAGTGTTATTTTCTAATTGCTCATGCCTTAAAAGTACAGAAAATGCCTATTATTATTCCCCACAAACTTTGCTTTTGTGACCAGGACTTTACGTGAAGGAATGACACAAATGCACACCACGTTTTCTCATTGAAAATAAGTAAATTTCTAAATATCAATGTTCTGCTCACAAAAGCAAAGTTTGTCGGGAGTAATAGCCATTTTTTGTATTTTTGAGGCATACGCAATTAGGAAATAACACTTACTACCCAGGAACAAATAAAAAATATTTTGTTCCACAGTGAGCTATCAACCGCATCGGAACATCGCCAGGCACGATGCACGCGTCTCCTTCATGTATAGAAAACGAAAGACGCAAGTCACAGTTGTGCGACTGGCCATGCAGTCAAAACTACGGAACCACACAGTTAATCCATAGAGACACGCAGAGACTCAGAGATACATAGAGACACGCAGAGACTCAGAGATACATAGAGACCCGCAGAGACTCAGAGATACATAGAGACACGCAGAGACTCAGAGATACATAGAGACACGCAGAGACTCAGAGATACATAGAGACACGCAGAGACTCAGAGATGCATAGAGACACGCAGAGACTCAGAGATGCATAGAGACACGCAGAGATTCAGAGATACATAGAGACACGCAGAGACTCAGAGATACATAGAGACACGCAGAGACTCAGAGATACATAGAGACACGCAGAGACTCAGAGACACATAGAGACCCACAGAGACTCAGAGATGCATAGAGACACGCAGAGACTCAGAGATACATAGAGACCCACAGAGATTCATTGCAGACAAGCCACAGTCGAGCGGCCGTGGCCATGCAACCCAAACTATGGACCGACCGTACAGCAAAACCACTCTAGTCTGAGCTCCTTCAACGGAGGAGGAACAGCAACACGACACAAACTCTCTCCCGAGGTACCTCTCTTTTCGTGGTCAGCAGACCTCGACAGCGGTCGCCCTTGCCAAGGAGGCAATGCTGCTCCGTGCCTCTCCATGGGGCTATTCCTTCTCAGGGCAACAACAATAGCAACAGTCCACGTGCGTTATGGGGCAGGTGACAAAATGTTCTCCTCTCCGAAAACCCCCTCTGTCAGCTGCTTAAGAATAACAATGAAAACGTGCGTTTATAAGAGTGGCATCGTTCGTGCAAATTTCATTTCAAAACGATGCTGCAGAATTTCTAACGTGCACGGTGTCTGTTAGAGAGACGCGAAAAGCCACTCACAGGCGCTAGGAAAGGCAGCCAAAGCCGGCGTCAACAATTGCCCAAGCTCTGTCGGTCCTATATTGGGATGTTTAGCCAACGCCACGAATCAGCGTTCACGCACAGTGGAGGAAAGACACTGACGCCGCCACCACACTGCGAATACTGCGACCACTTTACAGTCGTGAAGTCTAACTCCATCACGCTCTATCGGAGCTATGTGCTTCAGACGCACTTAGTAATGTGTTTACGGCCTGTGGGTAAACAGTGTGGGAGCGAAGAAGTTGTGGGGCGCAGGGTGGCAGCATCGTGGATGCCCACGACCGCACTGAGTGCGTGGCAGAGACGGAGCCATCCGTGGAGCGGCAGCACCAGGCAGGACGCCTCAATGAGTGGCGGTGTGCGGCACCACTGGGAGACGATACCGACGCAGCACTGGGGCAGAACATCAATTGAAACGTCTGATTGTGTGACGCTTCGTATTTCCGTTGCTGTGTCTGATACGTGCGACGTGAAAGCCTCCCGACTTCCCCGCAGGGCGGACAGAATATTTCGAGAACGCCTTCGACACCGCAGACAGCCGCCCGGGAGGTCTGCCGCTGGCGTTTTACTCGGGGATGTTCGCCTATTCGGGGTGGTGCGTGAGCCTCGCACCGCACCGCCTCGCTCGGCTCACGACGCTGGACTCATGACGCTAGGCTCACGACGCAGCGCGCGGGTCGAGGCTGCAAGTAGTTCGGCGCTGTTTCCATTACCCTGGGGGGCGTGCTGACGCTTCGGAGTAAACCCTGACTTCGTGGCTTCACCGCTTTTTTTTTAAGAAGACTCGAGGGAAACCAAGGCTGGATTCGTCGCTTCAACGAGAGATGAGCTATGTTACCGCTCTGTTAGCGCTGTTATCGTAGCCTGGTGGCTGCGCTGCACGTGGCCGCTGCCTGTAATCCAGGACTGTGCAGGCAGCAGCAGCAGCAAGGATTGGTGAATCACCGCACAAAACGTTGCGAGAACTCCCCTTCCCCGTGAGTGTTGAGGAGGAGGTTATATCCTGGCTCGCCAGGAGAAGGCATTCGAGCAAAAATGTGGACTCCCACCAGTTACGAATTTTCTCAGGTTTACTGTGTTTCCTCTCACACATATAAACACCGATAACAACTTAATGTGTAATGGACTGCAGAGCACGGAGCTATTGTTGGCGCTGGATCAACGCGTGGCTGATTTCCTGCTCGTATGTGGCTCCTCCCAGCCTAGGGCATCGTCCTCTCTTTACGAGAGCTGCGAGCGAACACCGCTTTACGAGTTTATAGCATCGTCACATTTGTAACAAAAATGAGAGAGGAAAGTGCAGACCCAATTTACTCTCTCATTGGACGCTTGCGAGCCATGATTAAGGGCAATTAAGAAGCAGGTACGTATTAAGTAAAAATGCACAATTAGCGAGTTTAGCGGAGCTGCAAGGTAGTCAACCTGTTCACAGTACACAGGAGTACTGGCGAGACGACGTGCCTCATCTTTCCGCGGGTCGCGAATAGGGAATTAGTATGCATTTAGTAATTCGCCAATATGCGAAATTCGTAAATCCAGAACTCGTGAGTAGCGACGGTTTTACTGTAATTATTACCACAAATTCACCTTTTAGCGTCTCCAATGATTGTCAACCCGTGTTGAACTCAGTCGTTGCACTTCAGTAGTTTGTTTGGGGGACATGCATTGCGCTAAAAGCCGATAGTCTTTGGGATGCGGTGGGTGGGGGGGAGTTGGATATGGATAATCTGTAGGGGGCTGACATTTCTTGAGCGCTGCTCACATGCCGAGTGCACTTCCCCCCTGCGGCTGGATCCCTTTCTTTTTTGCCATTTTGTTTTGCAGGGCTTCCCTGAACTCTGTCACGGAGGAGGTGAAGCGCCCAGAACGGTAACGCAGACGCACCGCTCCGCCGTCTACTCTGCTGCACGATATTCATCTCCATTCCCGTGATGGGGATCAGCACGCGCAACGATCACTTCCCAAGAAGCGTTTTTTTGTTGTGTTCACCACAGTGACGTCGTGATTGGCTGATTTGACGCCCCTCCCCCCCCCATCTGGGTTTTAAACTCATAGCCATCGTATGGCTGCGAGTAGGATGGCAGTTTCACGTTTTATGCAGACGATGAACATCCGATCCCCGCAGCAGCAGCAGCAACAACAGCAGCAGCGCCAGCATTAGTAGCTGAAGTAGTAGCAGCAGCAGCAGGAGAGAAGCCAGATTTAGCCTCCTCTTGGGTCTTCTGATTTTATCTTGTGTCCTGAAGCCAAAGTTACACTTATCTTTGCTTTACATTGAATACCTCCGGTACAATTCCTCTTGCCGACATATTTTTTTGGAAATATTCATACAATACAGTGGTTGTTTTAATCTTGATTTGAAGCTTTTGGTGACTGCAGGAATCCATACTCTTTGGTTCTTTCGGTAAAGTCACGTAGTAGGTAGAAAAAATTAATAAATAATAATATATCCTCAGATGGCGCTTGTTTGTATGGCGATCGGAACGTCCTGATCTGTTATTTTTCAACCTACGTGACTTTACCGAAAGAACCAAAGAGTATAATTGTTTAATATTTTACGCCGTATCGCTTGTACACTACTTTTATCACCTGGTGCACAAGTGGGAAATCAAAGACTCTCTCCTGCGTGCGAGTGCGGGCACAAACACCAAATCGTGGAACACTGAAATTCGTACTGTCCCAAACATACATTTGAAGGTAGTGAGTGGGTTAGGGGGTGGGTGTTTGAGTGGGTGGGTGAGTGGGCGGGTTGGTCAGTGACTGGCTGAGTGAGTGGGTGACTGGCTGAGTGGGTTGGTGAGTTGAGTGAGTGGGTGAGTGATTTGGTGGGTGGGTGAGTGATTTGGTGGGTGAGTGATTTGGTGGGTGAGTGAGTGGGTGGGTGAGTGGGTTGGTGAGTAGGTTGGTGAGTTGAGTGAGTGGGTGAGTGATTTGGTGGGTGGGTGAGTGAGTGGGTGGGTGAGTGAGTGGCTGAGTGGGTTGGTGAGTGATTTGGTGGGTGAGTGAGTGAGCGGGTGAATGGGTTGGTGAGTAGGTTGGTGAGTTGAGTGAGTGGGTGAGTGATTTGGTGGGTGGGTGAGTGGGTGGGTGAGTGGCTGAGTGGCTGAGTGGGTGAGTGGGTTGGTGAGTGATTTGGTGAGTCGGTGGGTGAGTGGAGCCGGGGCTACGCTCCTGATGCTGAGACACGAACCCCTGCACAACCCCCGGCCCAGCACGATTCCGGTGGTGATCTGCGCCTCGCTGGCCATCGTGACCGTCGCCTACCTCCTCGCCAACGTCGCCTACTGCGCCGTGCTCACCCCGTCGCAGATCCTCGGCTCCGCTGCCGTGGCCCAGGTGAGCGCGCGAGCTTCGTCTCCACGTGGATTCTGCGAGCGCAGGTGGTGGCGGTCAGCGGCGCTCCGCGGATCCCAGTTGAGGAAACAAACATCCACCTCGGGTTTCACCGTCTCGGGTGACGTGTACAGGTGAGCGAATTGATCCGGTAACTGGAACGCAAGGCAACGGCATGGTGGTGATGCTGCTGCACCATCGCTGGGTTCCACCAGACTAGTTCCCCAAAGAATCTTAGTGAGCCAGCGCATTCCAGTTTCTTAGCATGGGTCTGTTTACGAGTGCGTGGGTCTCTATGCGAATCTGTGGGAAGCTGCGTCTGTGGGTCTCGGTGCGAGTATGTGGAACTATGTGACTCTACGTGGAGATGAATCTGTGGGTCTCGATACGAGTCCTCTAGGTTAATCTATGGGGAGATGAATCTGTGGGTCTCGATACGAGCCCTTGGGTCTCTATGTGAATCTACGGGGAGCTTAGTCTGTGGGCCTCGATACGAGTCCTTGGGTCTCTATGTTAATCTACGGGGAGATGAGTCTGTGGGTCTCGATACGAGTCCTTGGGTCTCTATTTTAATCTACGGGGAGATTAATCTGTGGGCCTCGATACGAGTCCTTGGGTCTCTATGTTAATCTACGGGGAGATGAATCTGTGGGTCTCGATACGAGTCCTTGGGTCTCTATGTGAATCTACGGGAAGCTGAGTCTGTGGGTCTCGATACGAGTCCTTGGGTCTCTATGTGAATCTACGGGGAGCTGAGTCTGTGGGTCTCGATACGAGTCCTTAGGTCTCTATGTTAATCTACGGGGAGATTAATCTGTGGGTCTCGATACGAGTCCTTGGGTTTCTATGTGAATCTACGATGAGCTTAGTCTGTGGGTCTCGATACGAGTCCTTGGGTCTCTATGTGAATCTATGGGGGGAGATGAATCTATGGGCCTCGATACGAGTCCTTGGGTCTCTATGTGAATCTACGGGGAGCTTAGTCTGTGGGTCTCTGTGAGAGTAAACTACGGTGAAGCCACTGCCAGCGCTGTCCTGTTCCTCGATGAAGCCCCCTTAGATGTTCTCACCCGAGTCCGCGATCTCCTCTCTCGCGTGGAGACAGCCGCCTGCCCCACGTCGTGGCACTGAGCGCACAACGCGCAGAGCCGTCGGCGTCGTGCCCGCGACGCTCTCGCCGGTAACCCGAATCTCGACATTTGCAGACATTCGCCGAAAACACCCTGGGCAATGCGTTCTCGACCATCGTGCCTCTCTGCGTGGCCCTGTCCTGCCTCGGCGGCAGCATGGGCTCGTACTTTACATCACCCAGGTGAGACGTGCACACGCAAAACACCTCGCAACGCGGCCTTCTGCATTTCGTATGAAAGACAATTCCACGTTCCTCTGACGGGACCAAGATTTTTTTTTAATCGCCAATTATTGTTACTGTTTTTTTTATCACGAGTGCACGTGCATCAACCGGGAAAGCCTCACTGAGCCTCACGACACTCTGTCAGGAGGGTCCTGCCAAGTTTTCACAACGTGGTGCCGTAATTGCACAACTACTTAATTGGGATCACACCCAGCAGCAATCACCGCCCCTACTGGCAGACTAATGCCCCAGGAGGGACACTCCTGCTAACGAGGCTCCATCCTGCTGGTCTCTTGAGTTCTCACCACCTAGGTAAACAAAATAAACTTGAACATGATGATGACTTGGGTATCTGCTCGGCTGATTGTCACCGTGCCCTGGAAGTCTTGCATCTGCCCATCCCGTACATCTGAAACCTACACAGGCCCCATTTGCCAATGCCCAGATATAACGTACTTATATGCACGATTGTGCAGCACAATACCTAGAAACTGTAATGTTTATGTTTTGTAAAGTGTACCGTGCGACACGGCGGGCAGATGACTGCGCGTGCACGTGGGTGTGAGTGCGCGTGTGTTCACCGTGCGCACGTGGGTGTGAGTGCGCGTGTGTTCACCGCGTGCACGTGGGTGTGAGTGCGCGTGTGTTCACCACGTGCACGTGGGTGTGAGTGCGCGTGTGTTCACCGTGCGCACGTGGTTCTGAGTGCGCGTGCGTCGCGCGCTCCCCCCCTCCCCCCGCGTGCAGTCAAACCCCGCGACAAAGTTCGAGACTCCCTTGACGGACCGCCTTGCGCAGCTCGTTCCGGCGTCTCGCCCCATTGCGTCGCGCGAGCTTTAAGCTTCTGCAACCGCGGCAGTCGAAGGTGTCAATAACGAAATCACCATCCAAGGGAACGACGCTAGGATCCGGAACGGCGACCGACAGCAGCCGGTCACCGACGCCGGTGTCGTGGGTAGGCGAGGACTCAGATCGAGCTGGTGCACGCCAACGGAACGTCACCCTCCCCACCGTGCAGGGTGTTCACCGTGCAGGGTGTTCACCGTGCAGGGTGTTCATGGTGGCGTCGCGGCAGCACCACTGGCCGAGCATCTTCAGGATGATCCACGTGAGGAGGCGGACCCCCTGCCCGGCCATGCTTCTGCTGGTGAGCCTCAACGCCGAGAGGGCGACGGCGCTGCCGCTCGTCCCGCGGCGTTGGCGTGCGCGTGGCGGTCTCATCACGAGCGCGGCGGTGTCATCACGAGTGCGGCGGTGTCATCACGAGCGTGGCAGTGTCATCGTGCGTGTAGCGGTGTCATCACGAGTGTGGCGGTCTCATCACGAGCGCGGCGGTGTCATCACGAGTGCGGCGGTGTCATCACGAGTGCGGCGGTGTCATCACGAGTGTGGCGGTGTCATCACGAGCGCGGCGGTGTCATCACGAGTGCGGCGGTGTCATCACGAGTGTAGTGGTGTCATCACGAGCCTGGCGGTGTCATCACGAGCGTGGCGGTGTCATCGTGCGTGTAGCGGTGTCATCGCGTGTGTATCGGTGTCATCGTGCGTGTATCGGTGTCATCGTGCGTGTATCGGCCGCAGCACTGGGAGAGGAACCCCCTCCCCCCACCTCTCTCTCTCTCTCTTGCAGGAGCGCTGAGCATTCGTCGATTAAATCAATGAAAACAACTCGATCAGTACATTTGGTGTTTGTTCCATTCCCCAGGGCGAGGCTACCCTAGCTTTGTCTTTGCCACAGGCGGCGAAGACGTTACTCTTGCGGTCGAGTCGTGAGACCATTTGTACGTTACCCAGTGCACAGTAACACTTGTGGATGAGAGAAAGTTTGGGATCCTAGGCGGCGGTCACTCCAGGCTGTGAGGTACGGTTGTGCAATCTGCCGTCCCGCTGGGAGAGTAGCGATGCGTGGACTGCGATCCAGCACTTTGGAGGCAGCGAGGGTTGGTGGGTCACGCAGAGATGTTGCGAAACTCCCCTTGCCCGTGGCTGTCGAGGAGGTGCCATACCCCGGCTCGCCAGGAGAAGGGAGTACAGCAAGTGTGAACTCAACTCAATGTGTTCCATCTGTGTGGGATATCGTGTTTCCCCTTTGGCACGCTTGGGTTATCGTTGGGTGCTCCGGTTTCCTCCCACATGTAAACGCTTAATATACGGCGTGCTTCAAAAAAGTGTTAACACTTCGGAGAATTTGCAACAACACCACGAGAAGTGTTGTGCTGCCTCCGGGCTCTGGAGACCACCTGGAGAAGATTCCAGGCCGCGCGTTGACAACGATGGCGAACAAGTTGGAGACTCTTTGACTTTTTGAAGCAATGAGCACACATTTGTTATCACGTTGCAGCGTATTATTTATCCGTTCTTTTTCCATTAAAAACGGCAGTCCCGTAATACGTGTTAACGTTTTTTTGAAGCGCCCTGTAGAGAGGCCCGCAGAGCTCGGGCAATTTCTGGCACCGGCTCACCGCGTGGCTGCCTTCCCGTCTGCCCGTGGCTCCTCGCGCTTCCGATTCGCCCCCCCAGCTCTCTCTCTCTGTACGACGCGTTACAAGCTGAATCTATCGTCACCATCATCCCAACAGCTGCCACTGCTGCTCTGCTTGATGTGGTTGGGGGACGTGCACGCGCTGATCAACTACTGCAGCGGCCCCCAGTGGTTCTTCGTCGGCCTCGTGTCGCTCGGCCTCGTGCGCCAGCGAGTCCGGCGGCCCGATCTTCCGCGCCCGTTCAAGGTACCGGGCGAGCCGGTCCGCTCCGTTTGGGGGGCCACGTTGGGGGGGGCCCGATCCAATGCCTCGCGCGATGCAAAAAGAGCATCCCTGTCAAACCCGCACGGTTTAACGCCGTAGTTTCTTGTACGGGGAAATCGAGTTTTCAGCTCCAATACGGCGTACAGACGTTTCAGTACGGGCAACAAAAATAAATAAATAATTGTCTACTTGTTTATGCTTCTCCCTTGTGATGGGACTCTGTAGGACGAACGTCGAGATGTATAAGGGGCTGTCCATAAATGACGTCACGTACCTAGGTTGGGTGGGGGGGGTCAGACATTTGTGACGATGTGTGACGAAGGGGGGGGGGGGGGGTTGAGAAATGTGACATCACATCAAAATGCGCAACCTTAAATATAAACACGTTCTACTTAATTAAATAGACTTTTTCATAGAACATTTTATCCTACATCAGAGTGCAGCGTCACATTAAATACGCACTACAATGACAATAGTTTAAAGCGATTTGAAGGATCTTTTATTTTCAAAATGGAAATATGGTTATGGCGGGGGGGGGGGGGCAGAGCTTTGTGACGTCATATTCGAGGGAGGGGGGGTCTGACTTTTTGTGACGCCGTGTGACGAAGGGGGGGGGGGGGGTCAAAAATCGTCCAAAATCGCGTGACGTCATTTATGGACGGCCCCCTAAAGGGCGCGGGGGTTACCAACAATTGGCCCGTAACAAGGTAGGGCACTGATAAAGGGGTTGACAGGTTACGAAATAGCGCACAGAAATAGCGCTTGCACGCCCGTGCCGCTGCTGCTGAAACCCGGCCACCACCACCACGGCCACCACCACCGCGGCCACCACCACCGCGGCCACCACCACCACGGCCACCACCACCACGGCCACCACCACCACGGCCACCACCACCGCGGCCACCACCACCGCGGCCACCACCACCGCGGCCGCCACCACCGCGGCCGCCACCACCGCGGCCGCCGCCGCCGCGGCCGCCGCCGTGTTCCGAGTGACCGGCGGGCGCCGTCTCTCGCGTCGCCCTCAAGGTGCCCCTGGCGGTGCCCGTGCTCTTCTCGTGCTGCTGCCTCGGCATCGTCGCCTGCTCCGTCTACTCCTCCCCCGCCAACCTGGGCATGGGCGCCCTCATCACGCTCAGCGGCGTGCCCGTCTACGCCGCCTGCCTCACGGCCCGCGGACGGCGCGCGTGGCCGGGGTGCGTCCAGCGCCACGCCGGTACGGACCCCGTTGCAGGGGGGGGGGGGGAGAGGCGGCGGCGTGGAGCTCGCGAGACGCTTCTGCCACGTTGCCGTGGTGGGGAGTAGAAGCCCTCCCTGTTAACGACGGGCCTCTATAGAGCACAATGTGTAGTGTATAGTGTAGTGTATAGTAGTGTAGTGTATAGTGTAGTGTATAGTAGTGTATAGTGTAGAGTAGAAGCCCTCTGAACGAGCACCCCTGTTAACGACGGGCCTCTATAGAGCACAATGTGTAGTGTATAGTAGTGTAGTGTATAGTAGTGTATAGTGTAGTGTACAGTGTAGTGTATAGTAGTGTAGTGTATAGTAATGTAGTGTATAGTGTAGTGTATAGTAGTGGTGTATAGTGTAGTGTATAGTAGTGTAGTGTATAGTAGTGTAGTGTATAGTAGTGTATAGTGTAGTGTATAGTGTAGAGTAGAAGCCCTCTGAACCAGCACCCCTGTTAACGACGGGCTTCTATAGAGCACAATGTGTAGTGTATAGTGTAGTGTATACTAGTGTATAGTAGTATAGTGTATAGTAGTGTAGTGTATAGTAGTGTAGTGTATAGTGTTGTGTATAGTAGTGTAGTGTATAGTAGTGTATAGTAGTGTATAGTGTAGTGTATAGTGTAGTGCATAGTAGTGTAGTGTATAGTGTAGTGTATAGTAGTGTATAGTGTAGTGCATAGTAGTGTAGTGTATAGTGTAGTGTATAGTGTAGAGTAGAAGCCCTCTGAACCAGCACCCCTGTTAACGACTGGCCTCTATAGAGCACAATGTGTAGTGTATAGTAGTGTAGTGTATAGTAGTGTATAGTGTAGTGTATAGTAGTGTAGTGTATAGTAGTGTAGTGTATAGTGTTGTGTATAGTAGTGTAGTGTATAGTGTAGTGTATAGTGTAGTGCATAGTAGTGTAGTGTATAGTGTACTTTATAGTAGTGTATAGTGTAGAGTAGAAGCCCTCTGAACCAGCACCCCTGTTAACGACGGGCCTCTATAGAGCCCAATGTGTAGTGTATAGTAGCGTAGTGTATAGTAGAGTAGTGTATAGTGTAGTGTATAGTAGTGTATAGTGGAGAGTAGAAGCCCTCTGAACGAGCACCCCTGTCAACGACGGGCCTCTATAGAGCACAATGTGTAGTGTATAGTAGTGTAGTGTATAGTAGTGTAGTGTATAGTATTGTATAGTAGTGTACTGTATAGTAGTGTAGTGTATAGTAGTGTATAGTGTAGTGTATAGTAGTGTATAGTAGTGGTGTATAGTAGCGTAGAGTAGAAGCCCTCTGAACCAGCACCCCCGTTAACGACTGGCCTCCATAGAGCCCAATGTGTTTTGTATAGTAGTGTATAGTGTAGTGTATAGTAGTGTAGTGTATAGTAGTGTATAGTAGCGTAGTGTATAGTAGTGTAGTGTATAGTAGTGTTGTGTATAGTAGTGTAGTGTATAGCAGTGTAGTGTATAGTAGTGTATAGTGTAGTGTATAGTAGTGTAGTGTATAGTAGTGTAGTGTATAGTAGTGTAGTGTATAGTAGTGTAGTGTATAGTAGTGTAGTGTATAGTAGTGTAGTGCCTCCATAGAGCCCAATGTGTTCGCTTACCGATCATTCCCCTGTTAACGACTTGCCGTTTTAGGTTCAGTAAATATTAATTAATGCATTAACCATTTTTTATTTTAATGTTTCTGTTAGTATCTTCACGTATTAACATCCATTTTAAAAATATTATAAAGTACGTTTTTTGAGTGAAAAGGGGTAACTTTCGATGCTATCTGAACGAATTAAGCATTTAACATGTATTTCCTATACTCACTTAACAGCACAATTACTTAACGACCGGTTTCGTGGAACCAATCGACGTCGTTAAGAGGGGTTCCACTGTACAGTACATAAAGATCTTCTGAATGTGCACAAAACTGTGCTTATATGAACCACCAAAAACAAACTTCATTCGCCTTAGTGTGGAGAATATAACAAAATAAATACGTTTACAATACGCCTCCTTTCCACAGTTATCTCTCCACTGAAGAACGAAAATCTTTGCAACGGCCACATGGCCTTCTGGGAGTGCATTTATTCAGCAGCATTTGGATGAATGCGAGCAAACTCTAAAAGTTTCCACGACATTCAGTGCCTCATCAGAAAAGTCAGGTTTGCTTAACCCCAACGCTGAACTTCACGTTATCGGCAAGGACCCTGTTAGATACAAGTCCGGGTTGTGTTGAACTACGGCCCACACCTGACACAGAGGCCCATGTGAGAGAAGTGAGGAACAGATAATAATTAAACCTGCGCTCATGCGAGTCTGTTCTTTATTCTCATAAGCATGGTTAATCCTCAATCTGGGTATTCTAACAATGATCTAGTTATTATTTTATTTCATATAATGGGCTTTGCAGAATGAAATATGCAAACTTGATAATACCTTTCATGAATGATTCAGTTTGCATTAACTTAAATGGGGGCCAATACAAAAATAATCTGACCTGCGCGTGGAGATCCAAGCTTGCTCATAAACCCGGGGTGCAAGAGGTCAGAGGTTAACTAAGGAGCACGTCTTAAATCGTAAATCGGGGAGTTTCTGTCGTGCATTTTTAATCAAATCTATAAACGACGAGAATACTAAAAAAATAGCGCAAGCCGGAAGAGCATGAATTTAAAATACGTGGTTTTTCACTGCAATTATTCATTTGCATCGTTTCCATCTCCACAGAGTGGATCACTCAGGAGCTGCAGTTACTCATGGAGGTCGTACCGCAGGAGGAGACCAACTACTGATTTCAACTGACCCAGGAGCAAAGCATCAGCACGAGATTTCAAATGAAACCGATAAACACGAACCGGTATTAGGAGGCAACTACTGACACAGTTCTCACTTCTCCTAGTGGGGCACATTTGTCTGGCAAGACACAAATTGCACCCGACCCACGTTTGACAAATCGCCACTTTTTGTGACAAGCCACAAGGAATGAGCATCCAATTGGATAAACGAGCCAAAAGTCTTCTGTTGTCGGTGACGTGGGCGAATTGTCTCGTTATAGTTTGGCCAGTGGGATGCGTACAATTTGAAAATCCCCTCGCAGACCACCGTCTGTAAACAGGACACCACTTCCACTCGACTGAGTTGTGCAACAGATAATTTTGGCCGTTTCAAAAATGAAACACCTTCAATAAATGCAATGGACATCTTCGCTTTTGTAAACCACTCGATTCGTACAATGCAATATATTAAAACGTGTATCGGAAGTGGTGTTTGACCGTTTGTCCACAGTGGAGACAAGCCCTCATGTATCCGCTCGTCCCCACTGTCACGTGTCTCGATTGGTCTGCGAAGCAAGGGAGTACTCCATGAATTAAAACATCTCGTTTAAATCGTCCACGTCGCCGGTAAAGGATGTCAGATATTGAAAACAGTCTCGCTTTTACTGTATAATACTTATACTTTTCATAGCCCTCTAAAGGGCAATGCCAGCTATGGAGCATATTGATGTGTGGTGAGTTTGTATTGTTTCAAGATACGAGGGTCAAGGCAAGGGATCAGTTAATAGGTTCGTCCGACTTCGTTTTTGGGGGTTATTAAGACAGCTGGAACTTTGCATTTTTCCACAAAAAGATTATTCGGTTAACGAGAGCATTCCCAAAAGAAGCATTTTTTTATGATTTATTACAAAAATACTGAAGCGTCAATTTAAATATATATAAAATTCTTAGCCAATGTACATGAATGTTTTTACACTTGTGGTTCAAAGCATTTCATGTAAAGTCCACTGCAAATTGTATCACTTCATTAATGATCACATATTGAATATCAATAAACACAAAAGCATTAGCAGCAACTTCACTCTTGTTGGGAGCCACCATTGCCAATTCACTCAATGATTGAATTATAACATGCATAACTTATTAATCGCGTTTATAGAATCTGAGGTTTATAATACGTTTCAATACCAAACATCTGAATCCTGCGTTATTTTCAGTCAAACATTGGGTGCAGTCATGAACAGAACACAATTGGAACTCTTGTAACAAAGAGATATCCCATCTTTTAACTTAGATGGCTGAAGCCATTCCACAAAAATGTATAAATATCTAAGTAATGCCACTAACACTCGTAGTGACGTGAGATAATTGTGAATTTAATAGTGACAGAAACTCAGCTTCATGATGCAATGGTCCTAAGCAGTAAACCCCAAGTCACATAAAGATAGTCCCTATTTATGGGGAATCTACAGACATTTAAATCAGTCAAAATGACATTACAAAAGTGTCGGAATTGAAACCGCAAATGTCCCCTGCTCCCAATAACTTCACGACAGACGGAACAAACAAAACGCAGAACTGCAACGGAGCAAGGCGTGTTATTTTTTGTCTGCCATTAGCCGGTTCCCATCATAAGTTGCACGGCTTTATTTGCTTGCGGTCACCGTTTAAGAAACACAACCGATGAGGCACTTCTTCTTGTGGTAGTTGAGTCCCGCATACTGTTTGAACGCCTTCCCGCAGCGCGAGCACACGCAGGGCTTCTCCCCCGTGTGCATGCGTACGTGCTGGGTGAGATAAGAGGAGCGGGCAAACGCCTTCCCGCACTCCTTGCACACAAACTTCTTCTCGCCCGTGTGACTCGTCATGTGCTTGGCCAGGCCCGACGAGCTGACAAAGGCAGCTCCGCAGCGCTGGCAGGTCACCGGCCGCTCTCCGGTGTGGATGCGCCGGTGGACCGTGAGAGCACTAGCCACCACGAACGCTTTGCCGCAGAACTCGCAGACGTAGGGCCTCTTGCCCGTGTGTGTCCTCTGGTGGACCGTCAGGGCGCACTTCAGCGCAAACGCCCGGCCGCAGACGTCGCACACGTACGGTCGCTCCCCCGTGTGCGTGCGCGTGTGCAGCCTCAGGCAAGCCACGCTTACGAAGGCCTTGCCGCACACCTCGCACGCGTATGGCTTTTCGCCTGTGTGGCGCCGCCGGTGCACGGTGAAGGTGGACAGCGTGTGGAAGCTGCGGCCGCACTCCTCGCACACGAACGGCATTTCTCCGGTGTGCTCGCGCACGTGGCACTTGAGCTGATAGCGCTGCGGGAACACGCGCTCGCAGTCCGTGCAGCGGTACGGCCGAATGTCGCCAGTTTTGCCTTCCTGGCTCGGGATTACTTGGCGAGCTTCGCCACAGGCCTCGCCTCTCTCCAGCAGCTGCTGATACTCAGCTGAGTCTTTCCCTTCATTGGTTTCAATGATGTGATCCTCAACACCACCACCACCGCCAATCTTACCAACACATTCTAGGCCCTGCTGTTCATCCTCTAAACTGCTGTCGCTGAAGGTCTCCTGGAAATAGTTGAAGTGCGATAAGGAGAGGTACTTTCCCTCAATCTCACCTAAACGAGACACAAAGGGTGATCATGAGTTGATGTGATGTGTTGATGTGTGATGATGTGATGTGTGGTGATGATGGATGATTGTGTGATGATGTTTGACGACAATGAGATCGTCGTTTTCTCTCCGTCTGCAGTCGTTGCCGATGCAACCGAGATGCGCCGCACTAATGTTCACGGCACAACACAGTCATCTTGTAATCAAGGATTGTTGTGGATCATAGGATGTATGTACAGCGAGGGAAAAAAGTAATTGATCCTCTGCTAATTTTGTACATTTGCCCACTGACAAAGAAATGATCAGACTATAATTGTATTGGTAAGTTTATTTGAACAGTGAGAGACAGAATAACAAGAAAAAAATCCAGAAAAACGCATGTCAAAAATGTTATAAATTGATTTGAAATTTAATGAGGGAAATAAGTATTTGACCCCCTCTGCAAAACATGACTTAGTACTTGGTGGCAAAACCCTTGTTAGCAATCAGAGGTCAGACGTTTCTTGTAGTTGGCCACCAGGTTTGCACACACCTCAGGAGGGATTTTGTCCCACTCCTCTTTGCAGATCTTCTCCAAGTCATTAAGGTTTCGAAGCTGACTTTGGCAACTCGAACCTTCAGCTCCCTCCACAGATTTTCTATGGGATTAAGGTCTAGAGACTGGCTAGGCCACTCCAGGACCTTAATGTGCTTCTTCTTGAGCCACTCCTTTGTTGCCTTGGCCGTGTGTTTTGGGTCATTGTCATGCTGGAATACCCATCCACGCCCCCTTTTCAATGCCCTGGCTGAGGGAAAGAGGTTCTCACCCAAGATTTTACGGTACATGGCTCCGGCCATCGTCCCTTTGATGCGGTGAAGTTGTCCTGTCTCCTTAGCAGAAAAACACCCCCAAAGCATAATGCGTACACCTCCATGTTTGACGGTGGGGATGGTGTTCTTGGGGTTATAGGCAGCATTCCTCCTTCTCCAAACACGGCGAGTTGAGTTGATGCCAAAGAGCTCCATTTTGGTCTCATCTGACCACAACACTTTCACCCAGTTGTCCTCTGAATCATTCAGATGTTCATTGGCAAACTTCAGACGGGCATGTATATGTGCTTTCTTGAGCAGGGGGACCTTGCGGGTGCTGCAGGATTTCAGTCCTTCACGGCGTAGTGTGTTACCAATTATTTTCTTGGTGACTATGGTCCCAGCTGCCTTGAGATCATTGACAAGATCCTCGTGTGTATTTCTGGGCTGATTCCTCACCATTCTCATGATCATTGCAACTCCACGAGGCGAGATCTTGCATGGAGCCCCAGGCCGAGGGAGATTGACAGTTCTTTTGTGTTTCTTCCATTTGCGAATAATTGCACCAACTGTTGTCACCTTCTCACCAAGCTGCTTGGCAATGGTCTTGTAACTCATTCCAGCCTCGTGTAGGTCTACAATCTTGTCCCTGACATCCTTGGAGAGCTCTTTGGTCTTGGCCATGGTGGAGAGTTTGGAATCTGATTGATTGATTGCTTCTGTGGACAGGTGTCTTTTATACAGGTAACAAGCTGAGATTAGGAGCACTCCCTTTAAGAGTGTGCTCCTAAACTCAGCTCGTTACCTGTATAAAAGACACCTGGGAGCCAGAAATCTGATTGAGGGGGTCAAATACTTATCTCCCTCATTAAAATGCAAATCAATTTATAACGTTTTTTACATGCGTTTTTCTGAATTTTGTTGTTGTTATTCTGTCTCTCACTGTTCAAATAAACCTACCATTAAAATTATAGACTGATCATTTCTTTGTCAGTGGGCAAACGTACAAAATCAGCAGGGGATCAAATACTTTTTTCTCTCACTGTAGCAGTAGTTCGATAAACCACAACATAAATAAACCCTGTTATACATTGCTAGAGTGGTTAACATTTACAGATAAGGAGTTTTTCTCTCATATCTGGAAGGAAACTCCTATTTACCAATTTGCTTGTCCGTAATGAGTCCCCCCACAATGCCGTGGCTAAAGAGGAACTCCGCCACGGTGGATTCACTGTAGAAATCGTAGTGATTTTGTGCTGTGTGCCAAAAACGAGAACGAATTCCTCGTCACACTCACCGTCCTCGAGTTTAACATCTGTGGAAGACATCATGGTCCGAAACTCCCACAACTTCGAGTTGGTCAACCGCATGTGAAAACGTGTCGCTCTCACTACCACCCACACAGGAGTCATCGGCGTCTGCAAAAATAACCTACATCATAAGCAGCACCTGACATTCCTCACCGAGGGGCCATTCTCAAAAACGGGGAGTGATCAGGAATTCAGCAGCTGCAATTACACAAATTACCAGTGCAATTAATAAACAAGTTACAATCACAAATATTCCACATATAGCCTCATCAGACTGTCAGCGCAAGTGCTGTTAGCGAGCGGCTCAAAGGCCAACACAGCACGCAAGGGAATTAATACCAGAAACTTTCTTGCTGTGAGGCACAAGTGTCCTCCACTGCACCACCCTGCTGCCCATGATGAATGTAAGTATGTAGAAGTTATTTTGCACCATACGTAGCCAACTGTGCTAATCGGACACTTTTAGGGGCCGTCTAAGGCGGTGCATGGCAGATTTTGTGCAGTGGGATGGAGGCTGCATCTACCCATGACGTAGAGATTTTAATGGGTTGCTTTACAATATTATTGCTGTAAAAACAATCTTGGAAACAATATAAATATCCCTATCAGTTGTAATAATATCTATTTGAACTGTTACCATAGCAGTTTCGAGGGAATTTAATTTATATCTCCAACTTGAAAAAGCTAAGATACATAATCATACACATTGTATGCATCAAGAGTTTCCCATCAATGCTTCCGGTAATGGATTATGATTCGTACACCTTCAACCATTCGAGAATCAAGGCCGATACATGCCTTCTTAGAGCAACGGGCGGGTTATGCAAGGTCGCGAATCTCATGGACAGTAAAAGAAACCAGAAAAAAGGAATGGATATTAAGGGGCTCACCATCTCCTTCCACCTTGACTGATGTGCTAGACTTGAGGCCTTGCAGGTCCGGCTGCATTTCAACCTCTGCAGCGAAAGTGCCATCTCCGAACGACAAGAAGCTCCACATGTCTGCAAGGTAAATGTTTGAAAATAAAATGGTTACAAGCAATGCATGGTTTCAATGCACGAGATTACATTTAAATGCTTCAATGTTTTAAATGTATGTAAAATTTTGCAAAAGCAACCTTGTTGAGTGGCACAATGATACTCTTTGGTTCTATTCGGTAAAATCAACAAAAATCACGACGTTTCGGCCACAACACAAGCGGCCTTGATCCTTGCAGTCACGAAAGCTTCAAATCTAGAATTGGCACAATGACAGCCCCATGGCCCGACAGCCAAGGTCACAGCTTGCTGTTTTAATCCAAAAAAAGCTGTCCCCATCAGTGGACGTGTCTCGCCTCTTCTTGACATTCTGCAGTCGGGGCCAATGTCACGGCAAGCTTCTGCAGCACCACACCACATGCCGCCACCACCACCACCGCTGTCTCTACGGCTACTGCCATCTCTCTCGCCAGCCTCTCCTGCCCAAACTCGAGCACCACACGAGTCGCTTCTCGACGATTCGGGGGCCGCGCATCAGCCGAGTCCCGAATAATAATAACAACAATAACAACGTCAACTTGTAACGCGCTGTCGCACAAAAATCCGCACACTCTGGTGCAGAGAGGACGACTCGGACCCACGGGCAAGGCAAACAGCGGCCACGCTGCGAGACGGTGCCAACAACTGGCCAAGCTCTGCGATCCTTTACATGCGAAGGTGCTATCGGTGAATTAATGTGGGAGGTAACGGGAAGGGAGTTTCGCAACATCTGCGCGCGATCCACAAACCCTCGCTGCTGATGATGCTGCTGCTGATGCTGCTGCAGCTGCCACCACGGTGCCGGGTTACAGACGCGCATCGTTGCCGCCGCCACCATTGCGTCGCGACATCCCCGCTGGGTCTTCCTTCTCCTCGCTCGCTCGCTCGCCGCAACAGCGGTGGCGGTGGCGACGGCAGCAGCAGCGGCAGCAGCAGCGGCGGCGGCCGCTCCCCTTGAGCGCTTCGGCGGCAGCGGCTGCGGCCTCTCGCGGCTGCGCGGGAGCGGCCTCCAGGCTCGCGGCCCGGCCCGGGCGCCACCGCGCATGCGCGGCACCAAGGGCCGGGCGTCACGTGACGCGAGTTACCGGCTCGCGCGGTGCGGGAGGAAAAGGAGGAGGGGGTGGCAAAGTATAGGGCGGGGCGATGGCCGGGGCTAAATGGGTTAGGGGCGGGGCAAGGAGGTGAAGGGCGGGGATAAGAGGGGTGTGAGGGGCAGGGTTTTCAGAGATGAGGGGCGTAGCTCAGATGGGGTGAGGGGCGTGGTTAATATGGGAGAGGAGCGGGGCGATGGTGAGGGGCGTGGTTAAGATTTGCGAGGGGCGGGACTAAGATTTGTGAGGGCGGGGCTACAAGTGGGGGCGGGGGGAGGTGTTTACATTGCGCTCAGAGAGCGCTCTGGGTGGATGTCTCCGCAGCTGTAACAGCAGGGCTGGCGGGAAGAGCGAGTGCGTGGCTGTTTGGCGAGAACGACATCGCTATCCGTGTTCTATGAGCAGCTATCCGTGTTCTGTGAGCAGCTATGCGTGCTCTATGAGTAGCTATCCGTGCTATATGAGCAGCTATCCGTGTTCTATGAGCAGCTATCCGTGTTCTATGAGTAGCTATCCGTGTTCTATGAGTAGCTATCCGTGCTGTATGAGCAGCTATCCGTGTTCTATGAGTAGCTATCCGTGCTGTATGAGCATCTATCCGTGTTCTATGAGTAGCTATCCGTGTTCTATGAGTAGCTATCCGTGTTCTATGAGCAGCTATCTGTGTTCTATGAGTAGCTATCCGTGTTCTATGAGTAGCTATCCGTGCTCTATGAGTAGCTATCCGTGCTGTATGAGCAGCTATCCGTGTTCTATGAGTAGATATCCGTGCTGTATGAGCAGCTATCCGTGTTCTATGAGTAGCTATCCGTGTTCTACGAGTAGCTATCCGTGTTCTATGAGTAGCTATCCGTGTTCTATGAGTAGCTATCCGTGTTCTATGAGCAGCTATCTGTTCTATGAGTAGCTATCCGTGTTCTATGAGCAGCTATGCGTGCTCTATGAGTAGCTATCCGTGTTCTATGAGTAGCTATCCGTGCTGTATGAGTAGCTATCCGTGTTCTATGAGTAGCTATGCGTGTTCTCTGAGTAGCTATCTGTGTTCTATGAGTAGCTGTCCGTGTTCTATGAGTAGCTATCTGTGCTCTGAGCAGCTATGCCTGCTCTGAGTAGCTATCAGTGTTCTATGAGTAGCTATCCGTGTTCTATGAGTAGCTATCCGTGTTCTATGAGTAGCTATCCGTGCTGTACGAGTAGCTATCCGTGTTCTATGAGCAGCTATCCGTGTTCTACGAGTAGCTATCCGTGCTCTATGAGTAGCTATCCGTGTTCTATGAGTAGCTATCCGTGTTCTATGAGTAGCTATCCGTGTTCTATGAGCAGCTATCCGTGAGTGTTCTATGAGCAGCTATCCGTGTTCTATGAGTAGCTATCCGTGTTCCATGAGTAGCTATCCGTGCTCTATGAGTAGCTATCCGTGTTCTATGAGTAGCTATCCGTGTTTTATGAGTAGCTATCCGTGTTCTATGAGTAGCTATCCGTGTTCTATGAGCAGCTATCCGTGCTGTATGAGCAGCTATCCGTGTTCTATGAGTAACTATCCGTGTTCTATGAGTAACCGTGTTCTATGAGTAGCTATCCGTGCTGTATGAGTAGCTATCCGTGTTCTATGAGTAACTATCCGTGTTCTATGAGTAACTAACCTGTCAACCCACACGGGTTACCCCGTATTCTTGTACAGGGGAAATTTAGTTTTCAGGTCCACACGGCAAACAGTCGTTTTTGGATACGGGCAATATATACGTGTTTATTTGTGCGTTTCTCCCTTGTGATGGAACTTTGTAGGATGAACGTTGAGATTTATAGGGGCACGCGGTGACCAATAAGGTCTGAATTGGTCTCTAATAAGGTAGGGCACTGATAATTAAGGGCTCGACAGGTTTGGTATTCGCAATAACAATACTACGCGTGGTTAGCGTCACACGCAGCGCACGTTAAATACCCCGTGACGCGATTGGAAGAGTAGGCCGTCGCGGTTCAAAGTTGGGGAATTGTTCGCAAATTACTCAAATGGGCTTCCAGCAACGGCGCTGCGTGCGCAGCGCCGTCGCTGTACACGCAGCGCGGTCGCTGTACACAGAGCGCGACCACCAGCGGTCTCCTGCGAAAAACCTGACAAAAGAGCCCCTTTTAAAAGTCACGCGACTCAAGGAGCCCCCCCCCCCATCGCGTTAACAATGCACTAAACCGTCTACATGTTGAACCTTTTTCGCACCGCACCTATATAGCCAACCGTGCTAATCGGAGGTGCGGTAGGACAAACTATACACAAAACGTCTAAATAGGAGTTTTAAATCCTAACAAAATCAATTATCAAAATAAATGGTGACACGCTTTGGCCAGTTATTCAGAGCGACGCGAGAAGATATTTTACGAAAATGGGATTTTTAGAAAGAACGGTATGGGCATTCATATGTAGCGTGGAACTCACTCCGAGGCAAGGTAACACCTATATTTTCATATATTCATATTCAACGTGACTTTACCGAAAGAGCTAAGAATATGAATTACTGCAGTCACGAAAGCTTTAAATCAAAAGGTAACACCTGTTCATTCTTTGATCTCCATACACGCCAGTTGTGAGCGCACACTCCACTTCACGTCTAACACCACGCGTGGTATACCTGATTCCCTGCTAGCTACCCCGACTCTCTGCTACACCGCCAGCACATGCCCGTGTGTTCCCGCATGCCGGATTTTAATCCCCCAGCTAGACTCTGCCGACATTCCAGGATCTGTCCAACAGCCAACCCGCAGCCCCTACACAGACGCCTCTCCTCGGCTGCACGTGCGTCACTCAATTACCGCACGTGCCTCTCATCAGCTGCGTCACTCAATTACCACACGTGCCCTCTCATCAGCTGCGTAACTCAATTACAACACGTGCCCTCTCATCAGCTGCGTCACTCAATTACCACACGTGCCTCTCATCAGCTGCGTCACTCAATTACCACATGTGCCTCTCATCAGCTGCGTCACTCAATTACCGCACGTGCCTCTCATCAGCTGCGTCACTCAATTACCACACGTGCCTCTCATCAGCTGCGTCACTCAATTACCGCACGTGCCTCTCATCAGCTGCGTCACTCAATTACCGCACGTGCCTCTCATCAGCTGCGTCACTCAATTACCGCACGTGCCTCTCATCAGCTGCGCGTGCGCCAATCCATCACGCACGTGCCTCTCATCAGCTGCGTCACTCAATTACCACACGTGCCCTCTCATCAGCTGCGTCACTCAATTACCGCACGTGCCTCTCATCAGCTGCGTCACTCAATTACCACACGTGCCCTTTCATCAGCTGCGTCACTCAATTACCGCACGTGCCCTCTCATCAGCTGCGTCACTCAATTACCACACGTGCCCTCTCATCAGCTGCGCGTGCGCCAATCCATCACACACGTGCCTCTCATCAGCTGCGTCACTCAATTACCACATGTGCCTCTCATCAGCTGCGTCACTCAATTACCGCACGTGCCTCTCATCAGCTGCGTCACTCAATTACCACACGTGCCCTCTCATCAGCTGCGTCACTCAATTACCGCACGTGCCTCTCATCAGCTGCGTCACTCAACTACCGCACGTGCCCTCTCATCAGCTGCGTCACTCAATTACCGCACGTGCCTCTCGATCAGCTGATTCACTCAATTACCACATGTGCCTCTCATCAGCTGCGTCATTCAATTACCACACGTGCCTCTCATCAGCTGCGTCACTCAATTACCACACGTGCCTCTCATCAGCTGCGTCACTCAATTACCGCACGTGCCTCTCATCAGCTGCGTCACTCAATTACCACACGTGCCCTCATCAGCTGCGTCACTCAATTACCGCACGTGCCCTCTCATCAGCTGCGTCACTCAATTACCACACGTGCCCTCTCATCAGCTGCGCGTGCGCCAATCCATCACACACGTGCCTCTCATCAGCTGCGCATGCATTACTACACTACACATACCAAAAAAAAAATCATTCTCAGATTTTCTGACAACAAGCATCATAACAACTCATGTAAACGAACCGCGTGGAGTCGTGGGCAAATCTAAATAATGAAGGTTGCCAATCTGGGCGCGGGGTAAACGTGAGCCGAACAGACCCCCCCCCCCCCCAACAAGCCAAACAAGTTCGCCGCTGTGGTGGTGCCGTACAACTAGGAGAGAAAAAAAACCACACACGACTGGCGTGCACGCGCTGCCTGAGACACCACTCTCGTGCAGGCGATCCGAAATCAAAACGCGTTGGGAAAGCTGAATTCTTATGAAAAGTAACGCAGCAATCATTGTGCGTAGTTTTTTTGTTTTCATCAGCGTGCAGGCAGTGCACGCTGATGGATATTCCTGGATGTAAATGTTAACCCGCTGGGGGGATGTGTGTATTGCTGATCGCGTTATGGCGATTGATTACGGCGATTAAATACACCAGGTTTTTTTTTGTTGTATTGGAGTTCGCGTGGCTGATGGATATTCCTGGATGTAAATGTTAACCCGCTGGGGGAGGGGAATGTGTGTATTGCTGATCGCGTTTTGGCAATTGATTACGGCGATTAAATACGAGGTTTTTTTTTGTTGTATTGGAGTTCGTGTGGCTGATGGATATTCCTGGATGTAAATGTTAACCCGCTGGGGGGATGTGTGTATTGCTGATCGCGTTATGGCGATTGATTACGGCGATTAAATACACCAGGTTTTTTTTGTTGTATTGCAGTTCGTGTGGCTGATGGATATTCCTGGATGTAAATGTTAACCCGCTGGGGGGAGGGGAATGTGTGTATTGCTGATCGCGTTACGGCAATTGATTACGGCGATTAAATACACGAGGTTTTTTTGTTGTATTGGAGTTCGTGTGGCTGAATGTAGATGTGACTCGCATGTCGCGCTTGATTGCGTTATCTTAGAAAAGTTCCCAGGTTTGCCCGTGTAGAGCCGTTTACCGCGGGTGAGGACAGCTCCTCCCAGCGGCAGTCCCCCACTCACGCAACGCAGCTGTGAGTGAGATCAGAATGGGATTTTGATCAACAGTTTCTCCTTATTAGTATTTCATATTTTATCCAGAACATATTGAATTGGCTTCTTAAGATCAAACCGTAAAAATAATAGGGAGTTGGGTAAGCTTTCACGACCGATGTTACGACATTCCGGTTTTGCTGAGAAACCAAATCAATTGGCATATTTGCCCACGCAATAACTTGATTCGATTGGCTCAGTCGATGGGTGATTGAGCGTCAGGGTAAACAATCTACACGCCTCAGCAATCTAACCCAAAGCTAATTATGAATCAGGTACAGCATTCTTTTGCTTTCACAGTAGGGTTCCGTTGGATGTGCATCAACGCACAGGGTGGGGTTAGAAGCAGTTTAACAAAGAAAACATCTTTATTATGGATATTGTATTCCATATTATCACCTAATTGTGCGTTATCATAACAGATTTCAGCTGCATTATAACCTGAAAGACCTCGCACCATCAGAAAAAAACCTAATTGTAAATAACATGTTAATTGCAATGAAAGAGGATACAGTACAACTTGTGTTTTCACTAACCACCGCGTGAGACGATATCAGCAATACTTTCAGGAACTACTTAGGCTAACATCTTCAAGGTAATTTGAGAGTACTGTTTCTGAATGGATGCCTTAGCAGCAGTACTTGGATTGCGATCGAGGGTTTAATTACTGCACTGTACATAAAGCGGACTTGAGGTTCTGCTCTTTTTGTATGCGAATGTTAATTTCCTTCATGCGCGCTGCGCCTGTGACCAGACGCTTGTGAAATGGCTCACCTAAAAAAAAAACAAGAAAATATTCCGATAAAATATTGTCCTTGGAACAACTACTGTACGCGCCTCTATCTCGGCAGGGCTTTAATAACCCCAAGGTGAACGGATTGCGACAGAGTCTGGCACGGAGCAAGGTAACGTGAGCGTGTCACGGCTGCCTGAGACAAGGTCACATATCCGGTGTGGGTGGGTTGAGTGAGAGGTCACGGAGCTGCCCAGCTGGGAGGAGAACAGGCGACGGGGCTGGACAAACTTGGCGGACGCTCCCAGCAGACCGAATCGATCGTTCGCGATGCCGTTGCTCAACTCTGTCGTGGTGGTAAACGAGAGGCCGGGGCTCTCCGTAACGCAACAGGACTGTGAAGCTCGAGTTATCGCGAACTGATAAAGAATCTTACTTGACCAAAAAGGGCAGTACGTTTCCTGCCCATACAACAACAAAAAAAAACACGGCCCCACTTGCCCCAAAAACCGCAGGTACAGTGAGTGCTTGCTGGCCGACAGCTTGGAGCCCGTGCCGCACCTGTAGCGTGTTGCTTCGCTGAGTTTACACGAACAGCAAAGCAGCAGCATCAGAGGCGCTGCCTGCATCGCGGTCCGCACGGGCGCGCACGAAGCCACGCAACTCTGCCAACCCGCTTCGCGTGCCAAGGCGCAGATGCTCACACCGATAAGAGGGAGGGAGTGGGGGGGGGTGCAATCACCCTCCCCCACCCCTCACCCTCCCCACTCCTCACCCTTAAAACACCGAAAACTTGTATTTAAAAATGTTTTTTGTTTTTTCAAGAGAAAACGCGTTCAATGTTGTTGTTTTGTTTTTAACTATCAGCACGCGCGTCCCTTCGGACGTGACCGTCTGTCCGCCTCTCCGGGACGTGACGTCCAGCCGGACAAAAGTTTTATTATTCTTTCTACTCTAGCGTGAGCACGATGTGTTGACATTTCGGGACCAGCATCACCTCCCTCCTCCTCCTCCTCCCCCGCGAGGTCCGCCTCTGCCGAGAGGTTCGTCGCAGAGGTCACGGGCGGCGTGAACCTGGTAGGGAAGGAAGTTCCACTGCCACGGATTTACAACTCAGCCCGAGGAGTTTCCCCACGCAGCAGCAGCAGCATCAGCAGCAGCCTCCTTCCTCCTACCCCCGGCCAGATCCGGTCCGTTCCAGCACCGGCGACGGCTCTCACCTGCGACCTGCCACGGCCACCACCGCCACCTGCCACGGCCACCACCGCCACCTGCCACGGCCACCACCGCCACCTGCCACGGCCACCACCGCCCTGTACCAACAACCGCTGCCTGCAGCGACGTTGCTAAAGGCGACTCGCATCCCAGGCACCGGCCGCCGCAAGAGGCGGCGAGTCCGCTGACCGCATCGGTTGGCAGAAGCGAGTGCCAGTCGCCTTTAACGCTGCCGCATAGGCACCGCCTCGCCGCGTTGGACTTTCGACCGCGCGATTCACAGAAGAGGAGGAGGAGGAAGAGGAGGAGGAGGCGCCGCTGCTGCCGCCGGGTCTCGAGAGCGAGGGAGGCGAGCGGGGACGCCTGTTGAAGGTGACTCCGAAGCCAAGCCCGTCGGCTGTGCCCTGTGTAAGGAGGACCTCTTATTCTTCTTCCACTGCTCTGCCGTGGCTGTCTGCGCCGCTCTCTCCGCGTAAGGAGTCCCCGTTGTGTTATATCGCCGCCTTCGTTTTGCCCCGTTGCCACTCTGTACTTGCGTGGCCGTGTTCGTCATCTCTGTGCGAGATGTTTTCCAGTGCTTTGCCTTCGTAGCCTTGTTAGTCGATGCGTAAAGGAATGTCCACGGCGTATCATAGCCGCGTTTAGCCTCTGTCTGTGTGGAGTTCTTTCCGCTGCGTATCGTAGCCGTGTTGGACTCTGCGTGAAGGCGTTCCCATTGTGTGTTTGAGTCGCTGTGTTAAGGCGTCAACCGCAGAGGTTTCGCCGTTCTCCATGGGTCGCGTTCCCTCTCGCTGTTCGTGTCCCAGGGGTGGAATTTACAGTCCCCCCTCCCTCCCTCCTCCTCCGAGGTGAGCGGTCGCAGCTGTACTTTGTACGGCGTTCGGTGAGGAGTGGTTCCGTGAGCCTGTGGCGTGTGCGAGTTGTAGGGAGCGGTGGCGCAGTGGTTAGCGCGGTGCGCTTCGAACCCCCCCACCCCCCCCACCCCCACCCCCCGAGTTCGATTCCTACTCGCGGACACCAACATCGCTGATGAACATCAGCGGTTCCTGGTTCTCCCTTAGGTCTACTCTGCCTCGAATGAGTAACTGGTGCAGTGTGAAAAAAAACATAAAGATTGTGGAGACAAAGGCGGCCGGTCGTGGTCCTGGCAAACCACCTCGTGTGCCGTGCCGGCCTTCATAGGTGCTACTCGCAACAGCACTTGCCCCAACGGGCCATTAAAGGCTCCGACGGGGGACCTTTGTGTGTAAGTATGTTGACATTCTTTCGCACCGTAACGTGGCCACAACCGTGCCAATCGGCGGTGCGAGTTGGTCCAGACGGGCGTCAGTTAACGCGTGCCAGTTCAGTTGTTACTCGATCGGGGTGGGGTGGGGTGTGGGGGGCTTGCATCACGCAGATTCGAGTGTCTTCATCCCCAACACTGTAAGCAAGCGCCACGTTTCTCCAGCCCGCGTTGCCCAACAGGCTCTCCCCAACAGGCTCTCGCGTCTGCTCTCCGAGCGAGAGGGGGTCGCGTTTTGCTCTCGACAGCTCCGTGACCGTCACCCCGAGCGCCCTCTCAACGTGGAACAAACAAGGAACGGGTTGGCCCAGGGCCGTAGAGAGGAGACGCGCGGGGAGACACGAGGGTACCGGAGGATGTCGAGTTGCAGGTTAATTTGTTTGACCAGCCGACAAGCAGGAGGGGAGGCGGGGGGGGGTTCTTCATTTGTGAAGAGTGACCCGGGTTGTCGCCAAAATGGCAAAAGCAGAACAAAGTGAATACATAAATAAATGATAAGAAACAAATGTAAATTGGAGGAAAAGAATCTGGCTGTCGCCTGATTAAGTTAGTTGTAATTAGTGGCGAAACGTCGTACTCAGATTGTAAATGTTGTGGCTTGGCTCTCCAACACACCGGTTAGTGCTGTACTAGTGACGAATTGGCCACGTTCTGTTTACGTGACAACCCTTACTAGTTGGCTTTGTCAACTATAACTTGTCACGAGATATGTCAAATAGTGCACACGGGAATCGATGTTAAATTATTATTTTCCTCTGTAACTTAAGCAGGCTCGGGTAGGTTATTTTTAGGCTGGTCCATAATTCACGAGAAAATTAAGTTATGGAAACATTAAACGGATATGGGTCGCCTGTTGTGTAAGCAGAGACCTGGGGAGACACACGGAGACATGGCACTAAATTTCATAATAATAGATCATGAGTATGAGGACCGCCACACGTTTGAAACCACTGTTGGGTTTGACAGCATGATGGGTGGTGTTTTCACATGTTGTGTATTGTCAGGGGCCGCACTAAAGGCCACCAGTGGCCCGCGGGCCTTGCAATGAAGAACGCTGCCCTAGAGACACACCGACAGGCGTGTGAACTGTAATTGACCTTGACTAACGCCGCTTTGTGCCACCCAAGCCCGCCCGGCTCTTGCCCTGCATACAAATCTGGAACATCTAACCTGGCCACCAGCCTAGCGGCACGTTCGCGTCGCTCGTCCGTGATGTCTCCGAGGGGTGGTAGTCGCGTCCCATTCCACTCTGCGTCATCGTTTTGTAAGCTATGTCAAGCCCCTTGAGTGATGGTGCGCTTCGTAAACATAACGTCAGATTAGGGAGAGAGAGAGCTGTCAACGCTGTGTTCTTGCATGAGTCGAGCCGTGCGACTGACCCCCCCCGCCCCCTCTGTGCTAACGGACACTCTTCTCCCTCCCCAAACCACGTGCAGCGTGATCCCCGCCACCGCCGCCACCATGGAGAAGCCCCTTCACTTCATCCGCAGCGACGCGGACGGCAAATTCGTGGTGGACGAGTCGGTGGCCACGCAGCTCGCCCTGCTGCCCGAGGGCCCCGCGGAGGTGGTGGCCATCATCGGCAGCAGCCGCACGGGCAAGTCCTACTTGCTGTCACGCTTCTTCGGCTGGGGCAAGGGCGGCTTCGAGACGGGCGCGAGCACGCGTCCCGTGACGCGCGGCGTGTGGTTGTGGAGCCGCGAGCACCCCCTCCGGCCCGATGCGCGCCTCGTGCTGCTCGACACGGAGGGCCTGGATGAGCCCAGCACGGCCGAGGGCCGCGACTATGACTACAAGCTCTTTTCGCTCACCGTGCTGCTCGCCAGCTGCGTGCTCTACAACACCGTGGGCAAGATCCAGCGCAGCGACATCGACGCCCTGCGGTGCGGCTCCCACCACTCGCCACACGCGTTCACGCACGCACGTGTGCACGTGTACACGTGCTGTCTTCCCCTCTCGTCGTGTCCTCCACCCTCCGGAGAGTGGTCGCCCCCCTCTCGGCGTCTGGAGACCTTTCCCGCTTCTATCCCTCACACACTGCGCCCGGCTCCAGCTTCTCGCGCGGACCGGGGGCCAGTGGGTCGGTTGTGTGCGGGGCCACCGTAACAGTGATCCAGCGCTCGCCAAGGAGAATGGCTGAGGTGGTGCCGACGGGATATTCGGTGGCATAGGGCCCATGCCAGCCACCCCCCTAGCGCCGGCCCTGTGGCTGCCACCACATTTACACTTTTTTGTACGCAATAGGCCAAACAAGGCAAGCCATCACAAGGGCGCTGCGATATGTGTCGGTGGTCATACATTAGACTTTTCTTTTTCAAAGGCGTTTCCTATGTGGCAACTGCCAAGATATTTCCAAATTTGGTGTAAAATTGTGGAGTAATTTGAGGTTTCTTGGCAGCTGCCTCAGGCCCTGATCCACAGGATAACAATGAAAGGAAGTGCACAATGCCAGTCAACTTGAATTGATAACTCTGGTTGTTGATACAAATATTTGTCAGCGATATAAAGATAGTCTCTCACGTCGCAAATGGTTATTACGAGGTCTTCCTGTTATTTATTTTTCTAACACATACAAGCGTGTTTTGACAGTCTGTGATTTATAGTGGAAAATATAACTGCGGTATTTCGTCTCCATTATCTTGGATAACCGAGGAGATTAGGATTCCTCGTTTCTCGTATCCACAACAGCCGAGTTGCGTAAGGGCGGTGCGGGTCTGAAGAGTTCCACTGTGTAGCCCACGTGACTTTGCCAACGGCAGGAATCCTGAGAGGGCATTGATGGCCCTGAAGCATGTCCCGCTACCCATTCCCACGAGGGCTTCTCACGGTGCGTGTTTTTAATTCCGTGATCTAGGATAAATATCAGTTGGCATCGCTCGCAGTGAAGCAAAAAAAAACTTGTTTGTATTTAACCGATAAAGCCCACCGAGCCATTAGCTATTTTTCAGAAGCGACCTGGTCGTTAATGATAGCTCAATGAAGAAGTGGCTTTTGTGGAAATGTATGGCAGCTAAATACTCTAAACAGCACGTTGATTATAAATGTGGAGGGAACAACCGGAGGACACGGACACAAATTCACGTGACCACGGGGAGGGAGACATGTAAACTCCAAATGTGCTACAGGGTTGTCCCACAAATGATGGTGCGAGCCCTGCTCTCTGTGGATCTGTGGCGGTTTGGAGCGGAATTGGCGTGTGTGGTACGCGCTGGCGTGGTTCGCCCGTGCCAGCAGCATCAGCAGCAGCAGCAGCTGCGTGGGAACACACGCCGTGGGCAGCACCAGTCTGACGCAAGTGGGGAACCTGCCTGTACCGTCGTGCTTGCGAGAGCGTATTTAATCCGGCCAACTCGTGCTCGCTCGTTCATCTCAAGTTGTATCTCGGTGAGGGAATGGGCGTTTGAATGGGTGATTTCCAGGATTCTACTCACCACCACCATCATCACCAACTTTGAGTTATTAATTAACTGTATAATTGTTGATTAACTTCTCTACATTTCGTGTGCCAGGAAGTACCATTCCGATTGTAAAAAAAACATGAACCCCATGGGGCAAATAGAATGTATTCACTGTGGTCCTTGCACTGCGATGGGAACTATGGGGCCAGTTTGACGTCGGTGTCCGAGGAAGCACTGTCGACACCTCGCAACAAAGCGACGGCAGATTTGGCATTCACAACGACGGTCCAGGAGCTCAAAGTGCACCGTGGAGCGTTTGTGTCTGTCACGATGTAGACAATGGACGGCGGGCGCGCCTCTGGGCTCGCTCCCACCCGCCCCTGCGTCGTCCACGAGCCGGAGCCGAGGCTCCCCGTGAAGTTTTGTGGCTGAATGTTCACTCGCCTTGAGTGTGTGGGCTCAATCTCAATACATCTACGAATCGGTTCTGACTCTCGAGACCAGAGGGAGTTTCATTTGCTAGCGTCACCTGGGGAAGAAGGGGCGGCGGTTTACTTATTACAGTAGAGTCCCAGTTGAGTAATTTTGTGGTGTAGTTAGTTTTCTTATATGGCAAATTTGAACTCTGAGGATGGCACACAATGGCCTACTCTTGCATATGACGTCAGGGGATTTCTAACGCCACTGTGAACAAACGGTGCGTTGTGTTTGTATGGTTAGTAAACCAGTGGCGTTAACCGGATTGAGACCGTGACCCCCTGCAGCAAGTGGCAAACGCGCCACCGCTGTGCCGCATCACCACCACAACACTTTGTGTGGTGTGGCAATGGAACTTTCAAATTGTACAATTGTGGGCAACTCATTCTTTTAGGGTTCTTTACACATTTTCTTACACAATGGGCCAAACCTAAATCAACAGAGTTGTGTCGTGCTTTGGATCGAACATTCCCAGCCCCCATTATTATTTGGTTAACGTCGAGGTTTGTCTAGTGGGAGTGGAGTTGGTCGGCGGGTACGGCTGTGGGGGGGGGGGGGGTCGATGAATGTGAGAGGGAGGAAGAGTGGAGCGGCGAGCGTAATGGGGAGCCCCAAAAAAAATCGCCGTCCATTAAAACTCCATGCAGAAGGGGCGCGAAATCCCTCTGTAGGCGGTACGCGCACCGCGGATTGTTTTCCGTCTTTGATTTTAGATAGTTGAAGGGGGGAGACCTCGCGTGACGTTTTGACGTTGTTCAATCACGTCACCCTAATCCACGCTCCGGGGTCGGGGCTTGATGCCGCCTCTGGAGCACCTGGGTTCCCAGCTTTGTCCTGGCACCATGACAATACTTTTGTTGAAGGGCGTGCATCGCGGCGCTGCTGGCTGGGCGTAGGCTACACACAGCGGTAGCCAGCGTGTCTGCAAGTGGGGTTGGTGGGTCATGCAGAGCAACAGGGTGCAATGCAGGAAGTCAAGTTCCGGCGTTTGTGTGAAGGTTGACCGTTATCTCCAAACGTATGCAGTGGGACTCTAAGAGATCCTGCGACGTCATTCGAAATGAGGACACAAACTTTGTGCTGGCGTCGTAGTCCAAATTTGCCGAATTCCAAAGATTACCGGCTAGTTACTTGGTTGGAATCTCTCACGCTGCTGCTGCCACCGCTACAGAAGCAGCAACGTCGGCCCCTGCTGATGTGCAGGCTGCGTCCGTGTGCCGCCTTAGCACCTTGGTGACGGCCGTGCGTGGTGGGAATGGCGCGGGCACCAAATGGACTGCCTTGTTATTATTATTATAATCGTCGCCATTGCCGCCGCTGCTGCTGTTGTGGCTCTCCATGCTGCCATGCCGTGTTCAGCATCGTGCTGAAGCTCTCCGAGTACATCCGCCTGAAGCCGGCACCGGGGACGCACAGTGGTACCGGCCATGGGGAGGAGCTGGCCGGATCCCTTTGCTGGGTGATGCGAGACTTCCACCTGGCGCTGGACTCCACGCCTGACAAGTACATGGAGGAGGCATTCAGCCGCTTCGAGTCGTCCTCCGAAGGGAAGCTCGTGGACTCGCTGCGCAAATACTTTCCTGTGCGGCGCTGCTTCCCGCTCAGCACGCCGCTGGCGAACGCCGCGCAGCTCGGGTGGGTAGGCACGCACGCTTGCACGCTCGCGCATGCACGCTCGTACACACGCTCGCGCATGCACGCTCGTACACACGCTCGCGCATGCACGCTTGCTGGACGACTCTAACTGGCGTGTGATTGGTGCAGAGAGCTGGACAACATGTCTCCGAGCGAGCTGAACGAGGACTTCAGGAGGCAGGCGGAGGACATGATCAGCACCGTGCTCACGTCCGTGGTGTCGCCCAAACGTATCATGAGCGACGACGGCTCGATCCGCACGCTCGACCCGCTGCGTGAGTCGCCCACCTACCTTGCCCCCCACCGGCTTTGCTCCTTTATTGCTTGTTCATTATAACAGTGTGAGAGCAAGAGGTGCCACAAAAAGTTAAGTACATGTGAGAGTAAGCTGTCTATTTTAGTCTGACGGTGACATAAACGCATGCAAATCGAAAAAGAGAGTGCAAAGATGTGGGGGAAAGAGGCGCTAGAAAAAGTTAGGTGCAGGTGCAAGTAAGTGGTGACGTCACCACTTACTTGACGTCACCGCCACTTAGTGGCGAATGGCGGTTGTTGTTGTTGTACTTTTGGTTAATACTGGGACATAAAGAGGGGGAGTGAAGGGAGGGAACCAAGATGTAGATGATCAACAAGGGCTTTCCACAAACGTGGAGCAGCAACGCGGAAATACTTTTTACCAAACACAGTTTGAAGAAATATAATATTTAGTAGGAATAAGAAGGCACTTTTGAAGCCACGGGAGGGAGTACTTGCAACTAAGTGGCCCTGTAGGTAATTGACAGGTTTGTTCAAGAGGGCCTTTAGGATGGGGAAGGCCCAGTGATCGTCTCTCTGGATATCCAGGGGGGACAGATTTGAGTGAATGTGCAGGTTGCATGAAGAGTTCGATAGGTGACATCAAGGGTGGAATGGAGAGTGGAGTGGTATCGTGGAACGAGATGTTTTAAGGTCGATTCAGAAGCTAGGCGCTAGATGGTGTCACAAAAATAATATATAATGAAATGTGAGCAGGTATGGTGGCTTTAACAAAGGCAGGGCTTGGGCAATGTTCGAGCAATCCCCATGGCAACCAAGTTGAATCACCACTACCATCAGGTTCAACACCTCGATTATCAGTGCTTGCATTACTGCAGTTAACCACTGTAACAGACAGACTTGGAACTTGTGCCCACTCTGTGGAGAGAAACTCGCACTCTCAATCCGACCTCTGCTGCTGCTGCTGCTTCTGCTGCTGCATCCTTCCCAGAAGCTAGTGCAGCATTTCCACACTGTGATCTTGTTGGAGCGCAGCTGCAGGCCCGCCAAGGGCAGTCGCGATCGAGGTCACCACTCAGACGGGCGGTGGAGAAAACCTCATCTCTGTTGGTGGCTGAGCTCCAGTGGCAGAAATTACACATTCCCCTTGGTGGGGCCAGTCCATCCACCGAAGAGGGGGTAATCGTTTAATTGAACCCAGAGTGATAATGGTCAGAGATGACCGCTCAACAGAATTTGAACTGTCACCCATCTGATAGCAAATCAGGTGCACGCATCGGAGCCAGGCTGACCTTGGTGTTCAGAATAAGCATGCCCTGGTTTTCGGAGTCTGTTTTCGGGTAACTATTTCACAAGTTCAACTTTACTCCTGTCGATTCCAAACATGCTGTACGACTTGTACACTAAACACGTGGGAACGGCTTTAAAATGTGTATAATCTCCTGTAGATGTAGATGCCACCACCGCCATCTATTACGCGGCGGTTGAACTTACAACTCTCGTTCCGAACAGGCAACTGGACATACGGACAGGTTTGTTCGTATCTCTGAAAGTTCGTAAGTCGAATAGTCGTAAGTAGAAGAGTCCCCTGTATATAGATTTGTGTAAGTTTATTTTGTTTAAGCCTTGTGCACTTGCATGAACATTCTGCGGTGTTTTTCTGTTCATGCTGCAGTAAAACAACTTACAGTAGGAGAATTGGTTTGTGCACGGGCATGCCCCAGACACCTACAAGGGTTCTCGTGTACGTAACCTCGCTCGCTTCGTTATGGTAATAGGCAGGGGGAAGCCATTTTATATTTAAAATTACGAACCAGAAAACGTGGCCACGGTGTTTGAATCTTGGATCTGAGGCTGGTCACCAACGACCGTAATAAAACAAAATGGCAGGAGTATTGTACGGCACTCAAGTTGGCCGAGCACATTTGCGATGACCTATTGGGTTTATAGAATGTAACCGGTAAACTGGCAACCGCTCGGATGATCGATTTACCAGTTCCCGCGGGCGTTCCGCGTCGTCCCGCCGAGCGTCGTGCCTGCGGCCCCAGTGTAAAAAAAAAAAACTATATAATTTTCAGACGTACTGTACTCGGTGTGATTGCGATCTCGCTTGTCCACCCAGGAGAGCCTCGCCGAGCCTCGAGAGCTCTCATCCATGGCAGCGCGCGACCTTCTCCCTTCCCCTCTGCCCCGCACAGAGTTCGTGACGGTGGCCCAGCACTACGTGGCGGCGCTCAATGCGGGCGATCAGCCGTGCGTACAGGACGCCTACCTGGCGCTGCTCGAGTGGGACGCGCGCCGCGCCTCCGCCGAGGCTCTCCAGGCCCGCCGCGCCGAGCTGGAGGTCCGGCTGGGGGGCGCGGACCCTCCGCACGGGCCCGCCGTGCTCGCGCGGGCCCTGGCTGCGGCCCACAGCGCCGGCGTGTCGGCGTTCGTGATGCGGCTCGCCGAGCTGGGCCTGCACAACGAGACGCCCGGCTTCCTCCCCGGCTTCCTGGTCTGCTCGCCCGCCCGCCCGCCCGCCCGCCCGCCCGCCGCTCTCGTTCACTATCTCCGTTACCTTGGCTACAGTCTGAATTGGTTTAATTGACCAATTAGTGAGTGGGGAATTAATTCCATTTAAAGTGTGCGTAAAGATGTTGGCTTTTATTCGGACGCATTGTACCCTTGCACAACGGCACGGCAGAAGGATGGCGAGCTATTACGATGTTGCTTTTGTTCTCCGGGGGTGTTAAAGACTGGGAATGTATCGACGAATGAAGGTGGCGACAATTGCATGAGCCGTGGAGCAGCTGCTATAGCACCGAGTGGCTGCATACAATGACAACGGAGCCAGGTGACGCTGCGGCTCCAGTCACCGTGGCGCGTGCGAAGCAATGGACGCGGTTGGAGGGATGAGGGCCAGGGCTGGCTGTGGCCCAAAGGAGGGGAGGAATGTCGCGAGCGAGCCTCGAGCAGGGAGCCCGCAGCACGGGCGGATGGGGGAGGGAATTTCACACCAAACTACGGGGGGCAGTGGCGGCACAGAGGGAGCGAACTTTTACTCGGCAGGGGTTGCTGAAGGGTTTTGCGGGAAGGCCTTGTGTGCTGGAGCGGAGAGCTCGTGGAGTAGGGTGGAGCAATATGAGAGGTAGCATGGGCCGAGCGAGTCCACGGACGGCCTTGTCGCTGGGGTGGTGGATCTTACAGTTGATTTGGGGATGGGGATCGGGAGCAAGGAGAGTGAATCGTTGGCATGGAGCCGCAGTGCCCTGTAAACCGGATGATGATAGCGACTCCAGCAAACATTGTGCGGGCACACAGTCACCCGCAGGCACATGCAGGCACACACGGTCACGCTATTGCAGCACCACTGGGGAAATGAGAATATTCCACGATCACCGTGCTACTTCTTGCGCACTCACCTCCACCCACCCCCCTGCTCCCCCTTAGAGTGAGCTGACCGCAGAGCAGGAGGAGGACTGGAAGCACAACGAGAAGCTGTCGCGGGAGCGCAGCGCTGCGGCCCTGAAGGAGATGGCGCGCGCCGCCCTGGGGGACGAGGGGGCGTTCATGGTGCCCGGCGGGCACCTGCAGCTGGTGCTGGCGATGCTGCGGCTCGTGCACGAGTTCAGCGAGAGGAAAGGTCCGTGCCGGCGCGAACCACCTCGAATCTTGAATCTGTGCCCCGACGAGAGAGCCCGAGGAACGTGCGCGCGACCGGAAAACAAACCGAGTTGAAGACAAGCGGAGGTGGAAAACAAGGAGTGGGGGGTGGGGGGGGGGGGGGAAGGAGAGGGCGTAAGAATGCAGGGGCTTGATTTTTAGTACTGCTCTCATCGTCATAACGATGATGAGAACTACGTCGTTAACTCGCATTCATGCATTGCAAAAAAAAATACATAAAGTGTAGATTGCATTACGTGTACAGTAAATTGGCCGCCTCTTGGCAATAGTGATGAGGGTCCAGTCAGAAGCAGAGCCAATCTTCTAAACCAGCGGTCCCCAACCTTTTTGGCACCAGGGACCGGTTTCGTGGAAGACAATATTTTCACGGACCGGTGGGGGGGGGTTCATCATTGGGTCTTTCCCCCTTTTAAAAGAAGCTCTCCAGCGACGTTTGTTTTTTACTCATTGTGGCTACTAGGGGTTAGAGCTTGTGGGCTTTATACCAACACTGTGACTGAGACAAGTAGTGCAGTGCGGGAAAGAGGCGCGGACAGAAGTGGTAAATAATAAAATAATGGGGCAGGCCACGCGCGGACTCACCGCTCTCACCTCCTGCTGCTGTGCGGCCCGGTTCCTAACAGGCCACGGACCGCTACCGGTCCACGGCCAGGGGGTTGGGGACCCCTGTTCTGAATGACACAACGGCCGCAGAGACATCCTGGCGGCACTTTCAGCAGCGATGCCCTCGAGCCGCGTGTTTGGGGATCGGTTCAAGCGGCCCGGTCCGTCCTCGTGCCGAAACCAACATTCCATTGCTTCTCCTCTATTCTGGCCCTTGTATGTTGAACTTCTTTCGCACCGTACGTAGCCAACCGTAGTAATTGGAGGTGCGGGGGGAAGGACAGCAAACGAAACGTGACGAGCAGTCCCTAAAAGAAATACATTTTCAATCTTGATTTAAAAGCGGCTTCCTAATATCAGAAGAGCAGTTCCAGACGGCCGCAGAAGCGCATCTCAAAGCTATGGGGTACGAGCATTACCGCTGCGCCACCGCCCTGCCACGCCCTATGGAATGGCACGAATTCCAAATGTATTCAGTAGATTTCCAAATTGTTGAGCCGCTCTCATTGGCCGCCCTGCGGGACAGACCTGGGGCCGTGCGCAGCCGAGGCCCTGGCGGAGTTCCGGGAGTCGCGCTGTGCCCCGCTGGAGGCGGCGGTGTCGCGCTCCGACGCCGAGATGACGCAGATGGAGAAGGAGCGCGCCGAGCGCCGGGTCGCCGAGGAGAAGGAGAAGATTCGCGAGCAGACGCGGGAGGAAACCAAACAGAAGTACAAGGTGCGGACGTGTCTTGTGGGCGCGCGTCACCCCGCGTGGCTCCACGGCCCGGCCAGCTGCACGCTTCGCTCTTGGGAGATTGGTTCACTTGAGGCAGGGGGTGGGGAACCTTACTCTTTGGTTCTATTCGGTAAAGTCACGTAGGTAAAAAATAAAACAACAAAAATCACGACGTTTCGGCCACAACAAAGGTGAAAGGAACAGACCTGTTGGGACGACAGAGGTGTGTCTGTCCCTTTCACCTGAAGAAGGCCACTTGTGCTGTGGCCGAAACGTCGTGATTTTTGTTGATTTATTTTTTACCTACGTGACTTTACCGAATAGAACCAAAGAGTATGGATCCTTGCAGTCACGAAAGCTTCAAATCTAGAAGTGGGGAACCTTTTTTCTGCTAAGGGCCATTTGGATATTTATAACATCATTCGCGGGCCATACAGAATTATCAACTTAAAAATTAGCCTGTTATATTTGGTCAAACATTTTATTAACTCATCCCTAATGTGCTGGCTGGAACTGCTTCTCTTTGGTGAGGCGTGTGATATTGTTAGCTGGTATTGATGATGTTGCTACTCGCAACTGCTTTTCCAGTTTTGCTCCCTAGATTTATTGAATTTCGAGTCCCGCCTGCGGTTGCCTTGGCAAGGCCAGACCAAATGATTTCGTTGGGCTTACACGGCCTACGGGCCGGACGTTCCCCACCCCTGACTTAAGAGAAGGAAGATGATTAAAAGAGCTTTACGATCATGTGGTAATAACATCACCGCGTGGGTGTGTTAACGCGCGCAAGTGACGTCGCGATGACATCACGAGAGCGCCATGATGAGGATCTTGAGCGTAGACCCGGAGTTCTTCTCATCAGCAGCAGCTGCTGGATCTGGCAGAGAATAAGTAATGGAAAGAGGTGGTAGCATTCATGGTGGTGATGACCTCTTGACCGCGGCCAGCGCTTGGCTGCGTGGTTTGTGGCGCGCTCGCACGCAGTGCTGCCACTGCTGTTGCTCAAGGTAACAGAGCCGCTCCCACAATCGATTCCCCTTTTGTTATGATTGGGAATTTAAAAACGTAAAGAAAATTAGTACTGGAATCATGAGATGTCTTCAGTGGAAATATGCAAAGTACAGTGAGGGAAAAAAGTATTTGATCCTCTGCTGATTTTGTACGTTTGCCCACTGACAAAGAAATGATCAGTCTAAAATTTAAATGGTAGGTTTATTTGAACAGTGAGAGACAGAATAACAAGAAAAAAATCCAGAAAAATGCATGTCAAAAATGTTATAACTTGATTTGCATTTTAATGAGGGAAATAAGTATTTGACCCCTCTGCAAAACATGACTTAGTATTTGGTAACAAAACGCTTGTTGGCAATCACATAGGTCAGACTTTCTTGTAGTTGGCCACCAGGTTTGCACACATCTCAGGAGGGATTTTGTCCCACTCCTCTTTGCAGATCTTCTCCAAGTCATTAAGGTTTCGAGGCTGACGTTTGGCAACTCGAACCTTCAGCTCCCTCCACAGATTTTCTATGGGATTAAGGTCTGGAGACTGGCTAGGCCACTCCAGGACCTTGATGTGCTTCTTATAGAGCCACTCCTTTGTTGCCTTGGCCGTGTGTTTTGGGTTATTGTCATGCTGGAATACCATCCACGACCCATTTTCAATGCCCTGGCTGAGGGAAGGAGGTTCTCACCCACGATTTGACGGTACATGGCCCCGTCCATCGTCCCTTTGATGATGCGGTGAAGTTGTCCTGTCCCCTTAGCAGAAAAACACCCCCAAAGCATAATGTTTCCACCTCCATGTTTGATGGTGGGGATGGTGTTCTTGGGGTCATAGGCAGCATTCCTCCTCCTCCAAACACGGCGAGTTGAGTTGATGCCAAAGAGCTCCATTTTGGTCTCATCTGACCACAACACTTTCACCCAGTTGTCCTCTGAATTATTCAGATGTTCATTGGCAAACTTCAGATGGGCATGTATATTTGCTTTCTTTAGTAGGGGGACCTTGCGGGCGCTGCAGGATTTCAGTCCTTCACGGCGTAGTGTGTTACCAATTGTTTTCTTGGTGACTATGGTCCCAGCTGCCTTGTGATCATTGACAAGATCCTCCCGTATAGTTCTGGGCTGATTCCTCACTGTTCTCATGATCATTGCAACTCGTCTTGCATGGAGCCCCAGGCCGAGGGAGATAGACAGTCCTTTTGTGTTTCTTCCATTTGCGAATAATCGCACCAACTGTTGTCACCTCACCAAGCTGCTTGGCAATGGTCTTGTAGCCCATTCCAGCCTTGTGTAGGTCTACAATCTTGTCCCTGACATCCTTGGAGAGCTCTTTGGTGTTGGCCATGGTGGAGAGTTTGGAATCTGATTGATTGCTTCTGTGGACAGGTGTCTTTTATACAGGTAACGAGCTGAGATTAGGAGCACACTCTTAAAGGGAGTGCTCCTAATCTCAGCTTGTTACCTGTATAAAAGACACCTGGGAGCCAGAAATCTTTCTGATTTGAGAGGGGGTCAAATGCTTATTTCCCTCATTGAAATGCAAATCAATTTATAACATTTTTGACATGCATTTTTCTGGATTTTGTTGTTATTCTGTCTCTCACTGTTCAAATAAACCTACCATTAAAATTATAGACTGATCATTTCTTTGTCAGTGGGCAAACGTACAAAACCAGCAGGGGATCAATTACCTTTTTCCCTCACTGTAATCTGATTCATTATAGATGAACACAAGGAGAAAAACTATGGAGAACCGGTGCCCTCCCTGGGTATTCTGGATGCTGTAACTCATAACCTTGACTCTGTTACCTTCCAGTGTTGTGCATGGACCTGCGTGTGCCTGTGTACTGATGCTTTTCCATCTGTGTTTCTCATTTGAAATAACACCTCAATGCCTGTGATGGCAACCTGCGTTGTTTGTGTCGTTGACAGCAACAAATGAGAGAAAATGAAGAGAAGCACCTCGAGGCCGTTACTAAATACAAGGTGAGTTCCAATATGCAATGCGGCCAAACTCTCAGCTCTTCCGAGCTGGTGGTCTAGACAAGGCTGAGAGCATTGTGAAATGTACATGTGGTGGTCGCGCGATGTGGAAGCAAGGCACATGGATGGGAGTCGTGCTTCCTGCTGTTTGTGAGAAGCGCATCTCTGTGTGCGCTGTTAAGAGCTGGCTGACCTGTGAGCGGGCATGCGTCGAACACGCGTGTCTGCCCGTGGGGTTCGCGTCGACTCGTTGCAACGCGTGGTTTGGTGTGGGCACGTGGTGGCGGGGCCTAGGCCCTGGATTAGCCACCACCCGCTCTCCGAGTCTCCGCTGGGCAGAATTGTAAACCGGACATTTGTGTTGGCGGGGTAATTATAATTATCAACGGCTGTTGCACCGCGATGATCCCCAACAGAGACAAAACCCCCGTACACGGCGTGAGTTACTTGCACGACGGTGTCGGGTTTCCTGCCTACTGCATCCAGACTCCATCCAGCAGTGGATTGGCAAAGGGCTGTTTTTTTTCCCCTCTTGCCTCTGCGAAGGGGCAACAACCCCGGATGTCGGGCGCCTTGTGGACTTGCGATCGCGTGCGCTGCCAAGGTCGAAGCCTGGCAGTGGAGTGTCGGTTCCTCGAGTCCTCCTCCACGTGCTGTTTGTGTAGAGGGTGTGAATGGGAATGATCACGGTGCAAAGTGCAAAGCTTTAAAACGGCTTTACTTTTTTGCAGTCAACAGGGCAAGCTGCAATTCCCAGCGTAGCTGTCATGGGGTGGGGGTTATTGGCACGTTCGCCAAATGTTTGGGTCCAGACATGCATTGCTTGGGTGGAGCAAGTGTGTCCCGATCAGCGCTCCGTTCGCCACTGCTGTGCCGAGTTGATTTTCAGATGCACCGATGGGCAACCATGTTTGTGTTGTTTCTTAACGAAGATCCGGAGTAATTTGTTGGGGAAAACCACTGTCATGGAAAATATCGGTGAGAAAACTGCTCGATTGGTGGACGTTTATGCATTTTGACCATTTTTTATTGCTGGGTTTTGGCAGGGACTTCCTTTCCACAATAAAGCCCACAGCCGTTTGGGAAATACAGTAAACCCCCTTTTTCCCACACACACGATCAATCGAATTTATAACTTACCTCCAGTGGAAGTTTCAGTTTTAATCAATTGATGTCTGCGTCGTTCCATACATGCATACGCTGTTGCGTTGGTTTCGGCAAGCATGTTGCGGTCTGAGTTTTACAACTATGCGGTGTGGTCGTTCAGAGTAAACACGTTCATAGTAAACACGTTCATAGTAAACACGTTCATAGTAAACACGTTCAGAGTAAACACGTTCAGAGTAAACACGTTCAGAGTAAACACGTGCGTGGTGGCAAGTACGAGCGATGTGCAGTGCGAACGCTGGCTCCGACGATGTTGACGCACACGCTGTGGGGTTTAACACGATCGTTGCTGCTGTGTCTGTTCCAACCAGATGGAGGCGCAGCAGGTGTGCGGCGAGATGGAGAAGCTCAGGGAAGAGAAGGAGGTAAACGGCATCCACGGCTCGCGCTCCCGCCTGCTCACGCTCCAACTTCTCACGCTCCCACTTCTCGCGCTCCCACTTCTCGCGCTCCCATTTCTCACGCTCCAACTTCTCACGCTCCCACAGCTCACGCTCCCACTTGCTCACGCTCCCACTTCTCACGCTCCCACAGCTCACGCTCCGACAGCTCACGCTCCCACTTCTCACGCTCCCACTTCTCACGCTCCCACTTCTCACGCTCCCACTTCTCACGCTCCCACTTCTCACGCTCCCACTTGCTCACGCTCCCACTTGCTCGCGCTCCCACTTGCTCACGCTCCCACTTCTCAGGCTCCCACTTCTCAGGCTCCCACTTCTCAGGCTCCCACTTCTCAGGCTCCCACTTCTCACGCTCCCACTTCCCACACTCCCACAGCTCACGCTCCCACTTGCTCCCGCTTCTCATGCTCCCACTTCTCACGCTCCCATTTCTCACGCTCCCATTTCTCGTACTCCCACTTCTCACGCTCCCGCTTGCTCGCACTTCTCACGCTCCCACTTCTCACGCTCCCACTTCTCACGCTCCCACTTCTCACGCTCCCACTTGCTCCCACTTCTCACGCTCCCACTTCTCAGGCTCCCACTTCTCACGCTCCCACTTCTCACGCTCCCACTTGCTCCCGCTTCTCACGCTCCCACTCTCACGCTCCCACTTCTCACGCTCCCACTTCTCACGCTCCCACTTCTCACGCTCCCACTTCTCACGCTCCCGCTTGCTCACGCTCCCGCTTGCTCACGCTCCCACTTCTCACGCTCCCACTTCTCATGCTCCCACTTCTCACACTCCCACTTGCTCCCACTTCTCACGCTCCTACTTGCTCCCACTTCTCACGCTCCTACAGCTCCCGCTCCCACTTCTCACGCTCCCGCTTGCTCCCACTTCTCACGCTCCCACTTCTCACGCTCCCACTTCTCACGCTCCCACTTGCTCCCACTTCTCACGCTCCCACTTCTCACGCTCCCGCTTATCACGCTCCCACTTGCTCGCACTTCTTACGCTCCCACTTGCTCCCACTTCTCACGCTCCTGCTTGCCCGCGCTCCCACAACTCGGGCGCCTCTCTGTTCTCCCCATGCTCTGCATGCGTTTCCTCCTGGGTTCTTGGCTTTCCTCCCCACACACATGCACACACACATGCACAATGTAACTTGTATTGTCCAAGCATCCCAATGCTGCAAGAATTACTTTCAAATAACTCCATAGGGATTATACGCAGCGGCAGGGGCAGAAGCAGCATCGCCCCGCCCCTCCACAGTGAAAACTTGGCAGGAACCTCCTGAATGAGAGAGCCTCGAGGCTCAGTGAAGCCTTCCTGGATTAACAAGAATCGATAAATAACGTAATCTGTAAAAATATGATTTCCCCTTTGCATCCAGCACTGACGCTGGAGCTGCGGTGGTGAGCGCGGTGAACGCTGTGGTGTTCACGGTGTGTGCCGTGTGCGTGCGCGCGTGTGCAGCGGGAGCTGGGGGAGGTGAAGGCCCAACACCGGACGGAGCTCGAGCGGCTCGAGGAGACGCACCGTGACACGGTCCGCCGCTTCCAGAAGCAGGAGAACACCGCAGCTGCACCCAGGCAGCAGCGACGCAAGATCCCCCTGATGTGCCTCTCCAAACAGAGCCAAGATTAACCGCGGCAAGGGCGGCTCGGCAAGGTTTCTGCTCGGACGCCGGCGCGAGTGGACGTGGCTTCCCGAGGGCGGAGGTTCGGCACGTTTGGAGGAGGTGTTCGTGTTACCCAGCGCGTGTGTGATTAGTGCTATTTAATGACAACCGGTAAGCTGGTAACCACTTCTAAAATAATTTACTGGTGCCATAAGTCAGCAAACTGGTGATCGTTTCCGGTGGAACTGTTAGTCACGAGTGCACCAATTGGCTCATGCCACCGTACAAACCGCGCGGCGGCCCCAAGTTACGTTCGCTCTCGTTTCTTAGTTGAAAGATAAAGGTGTAGCTCTGAAATTGCTCACTCGTGCCACTTGCGAAGCATGCCTCGACACGCGGCAAGCCGATGACTGCGTTTTTACCGTTTTTACCGTTCTGGAAAATAACTCTGAACAAGCCCCTCGTGCATTTACACAGATGGCATACTCGGCACACTTCCAACAAATGTCGTTATTCACTTTTCTACATATCTGTTCCGTCTGATATACATGCTAGTGGACAAAAATGTAATGTTAAACACCTGCTTTCCCAATCAATTACTGCAGCAATAACACACATGTGTCCGCGTGTGAAGAAAGGGGATACGAGTGGAAGGAATATCATTGGGAAGCAGTGGGCAGCAGGGCTGGGAGAATTAATTTTAGCAATGTTGTTTGTGTAAATTGTTGGCTGACCACAGTTACTTTAGCTAATTATGGTTTAGTTCAACCATCTATTTAAATTGAACACGATAAAAAAAACTGCCAATTTTATTTAAATGTGTGAAAAATATTAATGTCACGTAATTTTTATTGACTCAATGGATCCCTCTGTTTTCATTTTAAAAAACAAATTAACATTTTAGTCGCACACCTATTTCATTGGCTATGAATGAATTGTGTCCTGACAGGAAACAGATGTTCAGTAGTTTCACAGATGTCCCCAGTGGAGGAACGGTCCAATTGTGCCTTTGTGCCTTCTCACCTGCAACAGGAACATGCGTTTAAGTTTGCAACAAACCTGGAGGCATTGTACATTGCACAAAATAATGGGTGTCGTTTGAGAGAGGGTAGTCACACAATAACCAGGAAATACGCCCCATTGCTTCTGTCTCTCCACATTAAAAGGTATTGTAGGTCTGCAATAATCCTTCAAGGATCTGTCTTACAAGGCCGTTTTTTTAGCTCCAACGAACATTGTCTCGTTTATTCCAGCGATGTTGTACATGCGTGTGATTTACCCTGTGCATTCGGGCGTGGAAAATGAGAAAATTAAATGCGGAGTCGTAGTTTATATACGGGGCTCGTTTGTGCTCAGGAGACTCGGCTTGGAGCGAATTTCCTTCACCAGGCTATGATTTGGCCAGGTTGGTTTGTACCTGCTTCTAACCCAGGAGCTTCCCATCCTCATTGAGCCACCAATTAATGATGGTGCTTGGAGCCTCCTAGAATATATAAATCATGTACATTTCTCTCACATGGTGATGTTTCAAATAAAATATCTAATTACTTCGAGTTATATTTAACACATCATGACACAGCAATGTCTTCTGGCATACCATTTTAAGCCTTTCAGTCTTATGGCAGTGAACTTACGACAAGAGAAAAATAACACGTTTGTTTAGCTGTGCAAGGTTTAAATCTGGAACGAGTGGCGGAGTGTGGTTGGCATTGGGACCTCACCCAAGGACTGAAACGCCCCCCCCCCCTCGTCCCAATTTGCAGCTGGAGCCGTCCCCTTTCAAACGTTTGAGATGGGACGCGATGCAAGTCTCGTGTTCGTGTGTGAATCGCTGTGAGATGCCCCGGCGTAAAGTAGAAGTGGCTCTATCAAAGGCAAATCGTGAAATCGTTCACGAGTTTGTTCTTTCCGCTCTTGATGTCTCCTCCCTCGTGCCGTGAGGCTGACTTGTGGAGGAGCCAACGGGGAGGGGGGGGGGCATCCTTGAGATGCTGGGTGGCCCACCGGGTTTGTGGTGCCCAGAGCAGAAGTCTTGGCAGTGTTGGGGAGGCTCTCCCACCAAGCCACTGGGTGATGATGCAGCGGCAATTCCCCGAGGAGGCACCAAGGAGCATCCCCTGCAAGGCGACTCTATTGTTCTGCTTGAGGAGCGAACGTGGACGGAATTTTTGTGTGGGTTAAGGTCTGACAAATTCGACCGCTTGAATGCCATAGGGTTGGTATTCCTTATGTGTTTTATCCGAACGCCGTTTGCGTTGCTTGGCTGAAACAAACGAGAGCCTTAAATTATTAGTTTAAAACGATACTTTATGCCGGGTATGGTACATTTCAGTTTTATATGGAGAATATTGTTTGTTATTTAAAAATTTAAATGTTTCAGTACTTGGGTTACAAATGTTATTGATGTACAGTAGTTGCATAAAAGATGAAAACATTTCACCCACAAGGTTGCAATCAAATGTGGTGTAGTCCGTGTGCATACATCTGCTTTGTGGAACTTTAATACTGCTTAGTACAAAAGTGATGGAGAAACGTATTATCTTTTTGCCTATTATCAGCTTGCTTAAAAAAACATTTCTAGGGGGAAAAAATAATTGTTGTGAATGTAATTTGTAATTACGATAGTCATTAAGGTTATGTACACTGCACTTTGCTCATAATTGTAACAAGTTGGTGAATTGTCCATGATTTGTCATTGACGGTCCACCAACCAGAAATCTGCGGTCCACCAAATCCCATCTTTTCGTGATCCACCAACCCCAAATCTCTCCGTTATGCATCTGCTCTAAATTTCACCACGATTCAGCAATCCACAAATCTTTCCGTGACCCGCCAACCCAAAATCTCGCCGTAATCCACCAACCCCAACTGCTGGGAGAACGAAGGTGGGGTGGGGTTAGGTGAGGGTCAATAAACTTGCCCCATTTTTTCAACTGCAGCTCCTGGGGCCTTGGTAATAATCACATAGCAAAAACATATCGTATCCACTCTTACCCCTCTCGGCCTATTTGCTGTGGTTAGGGTCATTGCCTGAAACGTCGTCGACTATATACAGAGTGCTTCAAAAAAAATTAAACACTTCGGAGAATTTGCACCAATACCACAATGTGCCTCCGGGCTCTGGAGACCACCTGGAGAAAATTCCAGGCACGTGTTGACAACGATGGCGAACAAGTGGAGACTCTTTGAAGCTATCAACATACATTTGTTATCATGTTTCAGCGTAGTATCCGTTCTTAAAAACGATAGTACCATAATAAATGTTAACATTTTTTTGAAAGCACTTTTATTGACGAACGCGTTGAGTTAATTAAATAAAAAATAGTAATAATAATGATGGCTTTTAAGATGATAATAATAAATTGTGCGATCATTCTGGCAACACTTGGGGCGCACGTGATTGTCCGGGAGTCCAACGTGGCCGCCGACAGCTCGGAGGGGAATCCGCTCCACGTGTGAAGGAGAAAATTATTCGTAAATGAAAAACCAGAAATATCACAAATCGTCGGTGAGTCTCGTTGCGGCGATTTATTTACGACAACAAACGAACATTAAAGACGCAAATGTGCCGTGTTGCGGTGTTTGTGTGTGTGGTTGTTTATACAACGACAAGAAATGTGTCTGTGAATGTGCAAAACCTCCAGCGGAGGGCCGCGTTGGGCCTCCTCCTCCTCCCGGGCGAGGTCGGAGCACCCCAAAAAGCCTCCCCTCGTTTTGTCAGCCCGCGTCGGTCTTATTCCGGTGCCCGTGTCCACCGAGGGCCTTTCTAGGCCAAGCAACCGGCTTGACTGTGGCCGTGTCGCGCCGTTTGGCTTCGAGAGCTTAGCGGGAATGGGGCGAGGCGAGGCCCTACACGGAATGTGTTTGCTGGGGGGTGGACGGGAGGTCGCCCCGGTAGGGGGGTCTCCCCGGGCAGGTCTTGGGGGGAGTCGCTCCGGGCAGGCCTTGGGGTGGATTCAACATTTCCTCCATCGGCGAGATGTGAACGAGAGAAAAGGGCGACGGCAAGAAGGAGCGGCGCGTGTACGGGAGTCGAAGCGAGCCGTGGACGAGATGACGGAAGAGTTCGACACGAGACTTGCTAGGACGAGTTCGGCACGAGGAATGCACCGAATCTCGCGTATCATTAATCACCCTCCAAATGTTTGTTATAAGTAATGATTGTAGCCGAGATGTTGGCTCGCCCCCTGCCTTTTATGCTCACGAAGCAGGGTGCCCCCACTCCCTGCTCTGCCTTGGCCCTAAGGCCCGTTGGGTTGTGTCCCGCGTGCCTGCACCACGAGGCGGCCAGCGCTGCCCCCACCACCACCACGACCACCCATGCCCCTCTCGCCGTGTGTCTCGCGGACGATGCAGAGGGCTGCTGCTGGCGGCGGCGGCGGCGGCGGCACGTCGTTGTCGAGCCGCGACCCCCGGCGAGAAGGGGCCCTCGTGGCAGGGCGACAAGAGGCGGGAAGGGGCCCTCGTGGCAGGGCGACAAGAGGCGGGAAGGGGCCCTGGTGGCAGGGCGACAAGAGGCGGGAAGGGGCCCTGGTGGCAAGGCGACAAGAGGCGGGAAGGAGGCCCCCGGAGGAAGAGGGTCGCTGCGCAGGGCCGGCGGGCTGCCGTCGGGGGCACTCCGGAAGGGATGCGTTTCACGATCGAGCCACGGGCCTGGGGTCGCATCGATGCGGCGTGGGCCGCCGTGGGCCCAAGGGTCGCTGAGGAGGAGGAGGGCGGGGGTAGAGGTCGTGCGAAGGCCGGGAACGGTGACCTCCACGGAGTGCCATTGGTGACCCCGTGCAAGACGGTTTACCCGCGAGGTTCGTGCTCGTTTAGGGTTTTTTTTTTAGCTGTGGCTGGGAAAACAGCGTTTTGCCAGCGTTGAATGGAAATGTGGAATTGCTGAACATTACGTTTTGGGATGTTCATATCGCGATGTACGGAACTGTACCTGTACTGCCCAGTGGACCCTGAACTTGACTTAATTCCACTGACATTTTGCACCCTTCATGGCTCTTACAATTATCAAATTATTCCAAAAACACATCATTTGAAATGGCCCATTATTTAACATGTGATTTTAACTGCACATGCTCTAGGGTAAAGGTTAATGTTTAATAAAGGTTTTTTTTTATTGTTGCACCACTACCAATCCTACTCGGACACTTTTTTTTTACCAAAGAATGTGTTTAGATTGTCAGATCGTAGTGTAATACCCAGGCTGCTGCTGGTTTTCGATGACTTTTCTCCACAACCTTCCTCTTGTAAAGCCTTGGGAGCCAGCGCTACGTTTTTGCCTGTAATGAAACGGACAAAGTAATCCGTAGAACGTGTCCGAAAATACAGTGTAACTTCTCTTAGCCGTGATGTGAAGGGGAGGGAAGGGTGCCATTGCTGGATAAGGAGGCTGGTGAGGTCATAGCTTGTTTCACATTGAGGTGCCATGGTCCGGACATCGGAGGAAGCACATGCAGCGTGCGATAAACATCACGGCCAAAGGACCAGTGCCGTCATGAACGTGCCACAGATAACAAGAGGCAGATGAAGCATCCTGGTCCTTTTGCCGTTGTGTTTCATTGCATCACCTTGTTAAACATATTTCATTATTTTGATGGACATTTATTTCTGGTTGTAAAATAGTTTTTTGTTTTCATTGTCTTGGAACTGCCGTGTGAATAGCCACCAATGTTTTAAACTTAATCTATACATCCACATTGTTTGTTGTTCACAGTGGCTGGTAGGAAAGAGGGTTCCAAGGTTGTGGTCATTCACCAGATCTCTTGTCCACCTAGAAAGAAAGCTGGGCGTAGAAAATTCCCAAATCAAGGTAGTTAAAACAACTCGGATTTATTTCATAACATAGATATTGTGTAATCTTAGCTCTTTCGGTAAAGTCACGTTGAAGGGAAACAATAAAATAATAAAATATATATAACACAATAAAAACATTTTATTGTTTCCCTTCAACGTGACTTTACCGAAAGAGCTAAGAATATGAATTACTGCAGTCACGAAAGCTTTAATCAAAATTTATAGATATTGTGGTTTATAAAAATCTGTTTCTGTAGGCTCATTATTACAGGTTTTTTTTTACATGGGGTAACGTTTAAGCGACATTGCCATTGAACGCCGCTCTCCATCACTTTACCTCCAAAGTGAACCTGCACGGCAGTGGCTTTCAAAGCCAACTTTAAGAGATTGCTTTCAAGCTTATTTTATTGAACCAGGTGAGACAAGGAACTCGAGAGACCAAGATAGATTATCATTTGCACGAGTGACCTGGGGTCACCAAAATGACAAACGCAGTAACATAAAAACATGTTGGAAATATATTTTTTATGATTGAGAAGTACTATTTTTATTTCAGACATTTAATTGACACGTGATAACAACTACATACATCAAATGTAATGCTTATAATGTAATAATAAAAAAAATCGCTCCTGTAGAGTTGCATTCGAGTCACTCGCCATCACCGTTAAGAGGATGAAGGCTGAGCATTTATTTGACATTTATATTTTAAATTAACTTAAAATGTGAAAAAATTTGAGACCACCGACGGTGCACGAGGTGTCCCAAGGGGAACGGATTCGCGAATTTCCATACAGCAGACCAGTACAGTGCATGTCATCATCAGCCATAGTCAATTCACTGCTGAATGAAGACATCCCAAATTGCGAGTGCGCATACGGATCCTGTGTCCTACCACACGCAGCTTGGCACACAAGATGTGTTCTGGGATAAGTAATTTGGTATGTTATAATTACAATGTTTTTTTCATCATTTCTTTGAGGAAGCCTTTCAGCTCACCCTAAATCTGGGGTCTGGCTTTGAGAGGTTTTACTGCTTCCTTAATGGGTGCCTGTGTGTCTCATTGCTGTGTTAGTGTGTAAGGACAAGCTAAAATCATTTGTGAAGTTTCTCGGTTGCCGACTGGAGTGTCCTGCTCGGGGGACATCTCAGTTGAATTCAGCTGCAAGCTGTATCGGTGAGTGTAAATGGGATAATTATTACTCTTCCACCTAATCCCATAACTATATACTATGTAAAAAAATTTGTTTTAGCTATGATTAGGCCAAAACGGTGACACTGGGAGGGACGTATGCAGGATGGGGGGAGGGCTGATGGCTGGGACATGCCTTGGAGTGGCCTCCATAAATCCGGCGGCAAAGGGGAAGATCTACTAATGCATACAATATACATGGAATACTTTTCTTTTCATTCGTTCAATCTATCCGTTATGTCCTATGCTAACAGATTTCAAAGGATCGGACGCTCGTGCAGGTTTTGCTATAGCAACCAAAGCATGTGACAGAACAGCTAACACAGGAAAAAGCTTCGACTCTGAAAAGCCCCAAAATAGTGATGGTTCTGGCTCTGCGGCCTGTAACTGGATGTTGGATGCGCACGATAGTTGCAGAACAAGCACCGACCATGACTGTCCAGTACCACCAGCGATATCGGGGTGTGAAATGGATGTCCGTGAGCCCCCCGTGCACCCGTGGAGTGACACGGCATCCAAGGGAGCCATGGCGCAGATGGAGCAGCAGTGCACTGCAGTCGACACCGACGCGCTGTATCATTGCAACAACACCTTGGACGACGAGGACCCATCCTACAGCAGCGCTTATGAACCGACAGAAGAGCTGATGGCCCAAGAGTTTGAGATAATTTACTTCGAGTCAAGTGTGAACATGTATCCCGTGGAAGGTATGCGATCGCTGGGAGTACGATGCACCCGTTGGTTGATTAATGTTGATTCTTATGGTGCTGCAGCCCAGCAACTTCGTACCTCACGTCACTGCTAGAGGTGCTTCCACTAGAGGAAGCTGTGGAATAGCAAGTCTAGAGAGTCTTTTGGTCTACTCTTCCATGCGGACCAGACATTCTGTAAGAGGAGGTATCAGTACCCAAGCTTTAACCCACCACGCTTGACCTGCTGGTCGACTGTGCTGTACCCATTTACACTGCTGGGTACACAGAGATTGGTTGTGTCAACTGCTGTTGACAGCATCCCCAACTCTTAAAAACTCACTGCATTATTTAGTGGAAATAATGAGGAACGAAACAATATAGTAAAACATCGACATCAGATTATATGAATTTGAATACATTCATGGCCCTGCATTGTATTAACTCATCAGGTCAGTGAATATACACCTCGTATTGTCACGAAGAGAAGTGAGCCAACACATTGGTATCAGTCAATGCAAGTCCGTGTGTCTGTTGGGTTTGTAAGATATTCTATGGCTCTGCAGTTTATTTAGATGTGAATGTGAAATGCGGACGATAAAACTCCGGTGACTAGCCAGAACACTCGTTTAGCCCGGGCCGACGCCCTGGCAAAATGATAAATAATTCCACACGGCCTCCCGGCACGCTTGGTAGTCCACGGTGTGCGAAAGTCCTCTGGGTGTGCACTGCCCATGGTATTTTTTTTTGCCGCATCTCCTACCAAGCACGTTCTTCTCACATCTCGCTATTTTCGCTCCGTTCTTGTTTTATTTCTCGAAGGTCATCAAAAAGGCGAGTACAAAGCACACTTGTCTGTGGCGCAGGGCACGACAATATAGGGCAGTGATTTTTTTGTTTG